CCTTTCATCCGTCTTCTACCATGGATAGCCCCTATATCTGTAGTCTACTGTATGTACTACGGGTATTTGGGAGGATGGATTAGTCCACGTCACTAGTGCTTGTCACTCACACGAGCAGTAGCAGTTTGGTGACTATGAGGCTCAGTCATACCTCACGAGCTTGCATAACGAGAGCATCAGTCATTAGCGTGCACAAGTACACCGCGCGAAGCATGCACACTGAATACAGCCAGTTCTCTCTTGCGCGCAACGGCACGCGACCAAGTACTATGTAGGTGCTCATCGTCTTCAATTGAAGCTCCGCTCACGGCCTCCTACGGCACGGCTTAGGACACTTGCAGCGGCAAGTGGGGCTCGCCCGCACTGCCTTGTCACGGTGGCTCTCCGTTGCTAGGTCGTCCTGGGTAGCAACGAGCCAGCGACCTGAAAATTGAGTACGCCCATAGTCACGATGGAGATCGCAAGCGAGAGTGAGCTCGGTTGAAATGCTACGTCAGACGCGCGTCGCCTTGGGGCCTGAGAGGGAAGTCCAGGCAGAGTAAGTATCGGTCGCGAGGGAGAGTACATATGTAGCCGCGGAAGCAAATATTAGCGAGCCACAGCAATGAACGTTTGCTCCGTCGAGCGTCGTACTCTGGGCGCGTCGACCACACCAGTTTCGGTGTTCTCGCGGCAGTATGTCTCCAAACAGACTTGTAGAAGGGTGTATGGTGGATAAAATCAGAGCGCATAGCCGACAGAATCCGTATCCTGGAGGAGGCGCAGGCGAAGAATTGCGGTGGCGACCTGATAGGCGCGGTCACATGACGATGTTGACATTGGGTTCGCACGCGCGTGGTGCGGCCAGCGAGTGAAATACTATACCGCCACCACCCGCCCCTGCCCGCCCTCCCTCTCTCCCCCATCCCCAATCCTACTCTCCTCATCGTCCTCAGCGGCGACGACGCGTCTTTCCCGCTGTCCTGGCTTTGGCTTTGGCTACTCAACCCCGCTGCCCCGCGCCATCGCCTGTCTAGCGCCGCGTCGGCTCGCACTACACCCCGCTGTATATTATCCTCACCTTCCTTTGTCCTCCGCCTAGCATGCTCCTCTCTCCGAACGCCGAGTACGTTTCCTTCAGGCAATCAAAACGTGACTCGAGCTTGTCCCCTTGTCGCATCTCAACTCCCCTCTTTCTGCGCACCCCGCCGAAATCAGCATCGTCTCCGCTAGTGTACGACACCCCAATGCTTTCTCCTTCCCCTCTCAGGCGACAAGCGCTTCCCACCCCAGGTCCCGGAGACCCAGACGACGTCTTTCAGTCGCCCCTGCGTGCATACAGCCTCTATCCGCAACGTTCGCCTGCAGGACCTCCAGATTCGTCTATGGCCATCGATGACGAGGACGATCTCTTTCTTGGTCCGTCTCCTTCCTCGTCCCACTTCGTACCACCGCCATCATCCCCTGCCCTTCTCCGAACACCGCTTCGGACCCCTGTGAAGCACCCCTCGGCTGATGGCCTGCGATTGTCCCCGGATCGTTCTGCATTGTCCGTAAAGCACCTCAACGTCGCCTCGGCTCTCTTCTCTGTCCCTAGCGCCGGCACCAAGCGTAAACCGACGCCCATATGTACGACGCCTTCGAGGAGCCGGACAATGACCCCGCTCAATGTTGCATCGGCTACCTCGCATGTCCAGACTTCTGACTCTGCCCTTCTTTTTGATCGGCTTGCGCCTCTTTCTGCGCCCCGTTTCGCCGGTGCGCGTACGACGCCCCACAGCAAGGCTGAAACTGAGCAGCATCTGAAGAAGCAGGCCGAGACGATGACCATGCTAAGCATCCGCGATCTCGATCACTCTGGCGACGAGTCCGGGTATGACTCGGACCCCGACGCAAACCACAACGGGTCGGGAACAATAGAGAAGCACCACCTCCTTTATATGGGAAGTACCGGCGGCTCGGCCGCCGCGCCGTTCTCTATAAAAGCGAGGGCACGAACAAAGGGCTCCAACCAAGGCAAATCTCCTGGACTCGAAATTCTGACTCGCAGGGGTCTGGTCAACGACGAAGAGGTCGCTGAGGCTATCTCACCCGGTGGACACGTCATCAAACGACGAGCGCGATCACGCCCCGTGTCTGCAGAGTTGCTCGAATCAGTCCAGAGTACGCCCGTTCCATCGCAGAACCAGGTATGTGGTATTGTTCAGCATGGCTCTAGCCACTCCCTTTGTGGTGCATTTCAGCCACATGGATGCTGATAGCCGCGGACTTTTAGGTCACGGCGACTCCACGCTTAAATGAGTGCACGAGCGCGAGCACGGTCGCCTTCCCTTCCACTCGAACCATGCGGACACGAACTACATCCAACTCTTCTACCACCTCTTCTGAGTCTGGTTCGCCGCGGCGACGCCCAAATGCCGCAGGCGCGACTCGAACACGCACCGAATCTCATACGAGCCGAACACTCAACAGGCTACAAAGCTCGAGTTCGGCGACTTTGTTCTTCGGGCCCTCTGTTAGTAGCACCACTAACGCGAAGAAGGACAGTAAGTCAGGCAGGACCTCTTCTGCGAGCAAAGCCCCTGCCTCGCCACTCTTTTTGCGAGTGGAACAGCGTTCCGCACGGCGACCGCCGCTGCCTAACCGCCACAGCTACGCTGGTACCGATGACTCTCCCACATGGGCCACCCGTTCGCCTCCTGCCGCAGCTTCATCGCCTGCCCCTATCAACGCCCGCAAGCGCATGGAGTCAGACGGCTCAGATGACGAGGCGGACCTGTTCTTCAGCAGCGGGCCGGCCGACTCCTCGTTCGCAATATCTCTCCAGCGAGAGTGCACGCCCAGTCCGAAGAAGAAGCAGAAGCGCGAGAGCCTCGACCCGCTCCCCAAGAAGTTCCGCGCGCGCGATTCGGGCGTTGTCCTCTCTGACAGCGACGACGACCTCGACCTCGCCTTGATTGACCGGACGAACTTCGTGATGGCCGCGATGCCACGGGCGTCGACGTCCGTCAGCACGGTCGCGTCGTCCGTCGACGACCACGAACTGGTCACCCCTGGCATCGGCCCCTCCGCGGCGTCCGGCTGGCCGACCGTCGTCAATCTCGACGACGACCACTTCAACTTCAACCCTTCTCACAGCTCGGGCATGGGCGCGAGCCGCAGCGTCGACGCGTTCATCCTCCGAACTCTCGCCGCAGGTGGCTCCATCTCCACCCGTGGGGACGCCGAGCCGAAGCGTGTGCCGGGAACCCCGGTGAAGAGGGTCAAGACCGCGCACCTCGTCGGCGGTGTCACGCGCCCGTGGCAGAGCGCTGTCGCGCACAAGATCGGCTTCAAGGAGTTCGAGGTCGGGCCGGGCGAGGGCGTCGGGAAAGGCAAGGCCAAGCCTCGCAAGAGCTTGCCTGCGGCCTTCCCCAGCCTCGGTCGAGCGAAGGGGAACAAGACGGTCAAGGAAAAGCAGGGCAAGGTGGCGGTGGCTAAGGCGGCGGTGTCGGCGAGTGCCAGCGAGAGGGATACGGATGTGGACTTGGACGACGGGGATAGTCCAACGGTGCGGAGGGATCCGAAGTACGATGGGTTGGGTCTCGGGAGGCCGACAAGTGGTCTGCCACCGTTCGCAAGGCCGAGTGGGGACGGGAGAGGTGGGAGAGCGAGCTGGTTGATGCGCAGGAGCAGCAGCGGTGCGTTCTCGAGCTCGAGCGACGCTTCTTCTGTCAATGCCACGCCTACGAGGCTCACGCCGAAAGGTGCGTCCCTGATCGCTGCAAACATAACCTGTACTGATCAGATGCGATGTGCAGAGTGGATGCTACCTCCGCCCCGAGTCCGTACGCCGGGCGCGTCGCCGCTCAAGAGCGCATTGGAGGCGGCCAGCCGGTCCACTTCCGGTTCTTCGTCGTCAACCTCCACCGCGACGAACTCGCCCACCATCAACGCAGTCACACGTAATGCTCCTGGGATGTTGTCTCAGCGCGAACGCAGGGTCAGCCAGAACCTGCGGACGCCCGCTCCCGCACTCTTCCCTACCCTCCACGGCCAGCGGCCACACACCCACGCCCACCCCGCGCGACAGTCTCATGTGCAACCGGCCGTTCGCGCTGGACGGCTCCCTGCCTCCACTAACGAGGAGGAATCTGGGCGATTTGTGCGTGATTTCGTGGAGATCGACGAGCTTGGGAGCGGGGAGTTTGGGCGTGTGATGAAAGTCCGCTACAAGGATCCGGCCCGGGGTACGGACGTGTTCGCTGTCAAGAAGTCGAAGCGGTTCGAAGGCGTCAAACATCGGTGAGTACTCCCCCACAGGCTCGGTGGAACAGTTTTTCGGCGGCTGACCTTTGCTCGTCTGGACAGGCTTCGTCTTCGCGAAGAAGTCGACATCCTGAAGCATCTTTCCGACGCCGCAGCCCGCTCGTCCGATACGTCGATACGCCTCGCCCGTCGACACCCCAACATCCTCGCCTACGTCGACAGCTGGGAGGAAGACGAGACGCTCTATATCCAGACGGAACTATGTGAGCTCGGCAACTTCGCCCACTTCCTCTGGGAGTACGGCCGAACGTTCCCCCAGCTCGACGAAGCGCGTGTCTGGAAGATCATGGCGGAGCTCGCTGCCGGTCTGCGCTTCATCCACGACGCGAACGTTATCCACCTCGACCTGAAACCTGCGAACATCTTCCTCACGGGAGAAGGCCGGCTGAAGATCGGGGACTTTGGTATGGCCTCCGTGTGGCCCAGGCCGTCCCCTCCCGGCGAACCAAGCTTGATCCCCGGGCAGAAGCCTGCCGGGTTCGAGCGCGAAGGCGACAAGCTTTATCTCGCGCCCGAGGTTCTCCAGGGCCGGTACGGCAAGGCTGCCGACGTCTTCAGCCTGGGGATGACCATGCTGGAGACTGCGTCGAACATCGTCGTGCCAGACCAGTGCGTGTTTCTGACTCCCGTGTATGTATGTGATGGCTGACGTTGACATTTCGTGCGCAGGGGCGAAGCGTGGCACCGACTTCGTCGGGAAGACTTCAGCCAGGTCGAGCTCGACGCGACTCCGGAGCTCTGGGATTTGATCAAGAGCATGATGCGAGCGGCGCCCGCGCTGCGTATAGGCATCCTGCTGGTCGACACGCACCCCGTCGTTGTGCGCGCACGTCGTGCGATGGAACGCATGCGCTCGCGATACGGTGCGGTGTTCGGTGCCTCGCCGCTGGGAGCAGTTCCCGAAGGGTTCCTGGACGAGATTCTTGCGCGCGGCCGGCATGGTGCGGGCGACGACGACGACGAAGATGACTGGGAGATGGACCTTGGCGCATGATCCGCTGCGCATGGCTTCATCAGCCATCCTTCTCCCGACGTCTATCCGTTCGATGATGACTGGTCACCGCTGGGACGCTTTCATTTGCGCGTGTGGCGGCGGACCGTCGTGGTTGTGTTCTGTGAGCTATGCGTCTTTTCTCTTGATTCGAAATGCCCTCTCCTACTTTGGAGTTCTATTGTCTAACCTATTCGCCTATGCCCCCCTTGCTCTTTTGTTTATTCTGAGACTCTTGTCCTTCACCGGGAGGGGTCTGATTTTGGTTGTGATATTGTTAATGCGGTGTAATAACAGTCCCAATGCCCCCTTCCTCCATGCCCATCGTCGTGCATATTCCTATTCTCCCTCACGCTCCGAAACTATGGCCTTGCTCACTTCGCTCTCACTTGCACATACATACACTCCTCACACTCAAGCCTTCACCCACACGTCATGTCTCCTTTATTCACCGCGGACCACCATCATCCATGCGCTTGCACGAGATCCCATAATCGCGTTCGGCACCTCTCAGCTCTTGACGCACAGACTCCTCCCCCACCCATCACGATGACTACGTGTTCTTGTTTCATTCTCCCTACCCCATCTTGCGTTATGTTGGTACATTAGACGATTGGTTATGTCACGCGTGCATACTTACGGCCCTACACATGTCTCTACGCCCCTCCGTCTCTTCTGCACATCTTGTTCCCAGTCACGTTTGCATCTGTATGTCCACCGTCGGAGTCCTTGATCACGATCTGCAATTACGGTCCACGAGTTTCGACCACCATCCACTCAGCACGTCGCTACGTTGTCCCGCTCTCGGACCAGTCCGATTGTGATCATGTCCAAGCCCATCTCTTGTTGCAGACCGTTGCGACGTTTGCAACTCGTCGTATTTAGTAGTTGTAGGTAGTGTCTCGTCCAATGGGAATTGGAAAAATCGTATGTTTTGGATGGACACTTTGCGGGTCCACATGTCGGAATCCGTGGCAGAGCATTCAGGGTTGTGGACGAAGGGGACGTTGTTACCAGAGAGATCTGACGTATGCTATCTGCATGTGCGTTACCCGAGAAGGTTATATTGGCAACTGAGGCTCATCGCGAACCGCGGGATCTGCCCGGGGATTGACAGCGGCCGGGGCGTTCGAGGGTAACCCCGTAGATTGGCGCCCGTGGGCAGCCCGGACCGGCCTCGACCAGGGAGGGCAGTTGTCGGCCCGGGATGAGCTGTCCGCGATGGCCTTCTTGGCGCGACATCGGACTCACGCTATATAGTACGCTATCTTTCTCGCTCGCGCCATCCGGAGGACGGTGCGTCCGAGTGTGCAGCGCAGCGTAATGCGCCGTAAGCGGGCCCGTCAAACATGCGGGCATGCCGTACTTAGCACGCTACTACACACGTACGCGAGAGCGGGCCCAAGGCGACCCGCGCCAGCAGCTCCAAGATGTTTGATTTTCGTGATTCGTGATGTGGGTGCTCCCCAGCTGCCAGGAACGAGAGGGAACCAAGGCGGGAGTTCTGCAGCCGCGACGCACTTGTGTGTGTCGCGGTGCGATTTCCACGGAACAGCACGAAAGCTAAAGAAGCCGTTGCGTGTCCGGCGACCGCACCTCCGCTCAGCGGGCGCGAGGGATCCCAACGAACGAGCCCTGAGCGAAGCTAGCGACTCGAATGTGTGTGCGCATCTGCATCCGTGTCTCAGGAACGCTGCGTGCGCCGTGCGTTTGGAGCTGCTGCAGATAGCCCCGCAGGCGCGAGCGACGGCGAGGTTATGTCGCCATACATGTCGCGGCGGTCGACACGAGCGCAGCGGCGAAAATCATTGCGATGGCGATGATTGTCGGCGGTGACAGGGGAAGGGTCGACGGGAGGAGGCCTCCAAGGGCATTCTCCTCCCCCCCTCCCCCCCCCCTTGGCTCATGCTGCACACTGTCCCTGGAGGGCCGATGCAGGGGGGCGATTGGAGGATGGCATCGCGATGGGAAACGTCCGCGCGGGATCCGCATCGCGCGAACAAAGTGTACATGGGCGCGGGCGTAACCAGACGACTGCATGCACCGTCCATGTATGTATCGCGCGAGGGCATAGAATGCGAGCCCGGACGGACGCGGAGCGCGACGAGAAGCGTGGCTGGGTGAGGAAGCTGGGGATAGGGGAGCGGGATCGCTGCCACGACGGACGCCACGAAGACGGGGAAATGTAACCATTCTGGGGGCGGACGGTGCACTCGGGACGGGCGTCCGCCTGAGGGCATGGACGGCGAGGCGGGGGGGCTGCCGGATGGGGCAGGAGGGGGCGGGGCGGGTAGGACGAAGGGGGAAAGACCGAAAATGACGGTGTTGCGCGCGAAGGCGGATGGTGGGATTGGTGGGAGAAAGGCTGTTGGAGGGATGGAGCGGGCGTGGGAGGGGCAAAGGATGGGATGCCAGCTGGTGAGAGCCTCTCTCCTCTTTCGCTGAGAGCAGCGGGCGAGGACTGGACTGAGGTATTAGCACGGTGTCTGTCTGTAGTAGATACTGGCCAGCGACGGCATTCATCCGCGGCTGTGCACTGGGCATCGCACCCTGTACTAAGTAAGAATCCACGACTCATAAGCGCTGGGCTACGGCCGAGGCGTACCTGACAACTTGCCAATCTCCTCCGGCGCCCGCCAAGATTTCTCCCTCTCTCCTCGCCTCTATCTCTCTCTTCTCTCCACACTCCCTCCTCCTCCGTCGCCCTTCTTCCTCTCGTCGCCAGCCACCCCGCTGGCCTCAATACAAATGCTCCCTCATCCCCGCCCCCTCCTCGACATCCCACCCCACGATCCTTCCCGCCTCCAGAACAGAGCCCAGCCCGCTCTCTACCATCTTCCACCCTCGCACAACATCCCCCACAACTCTATCCACCACCATCCCTACCCCATCGCCCCGCCCCCCTTCGACCCCCGCCTCGCCCGAGACCCCGCACACGACCTCCACCATCCCACCCAGAACCAGACCTGCGTTCCTGCACTCATCCCTCCGGGCATGGACCCGTCCCAGGTCGACATCCGCACCTTCTACCCCTACACCCCCAACGAGGTCAAGCACCGCAAGCGCACCACTCGCGCTCAACTCAAGGTCCTCGAAGGCGTTTACAAGTATGACACAAAGCCCAACGCGTCCCTCCGCAAGAAGCTCGCCGCCGAGCTCGACATGACCCCTCGCGGTGTCCAGGTCCGTCCTCTCCCCCTCTCCTCCCCTTCGCGTCCCCGATCAACCACTCGACGCGTCGTACCCCTGTTCCTCCCCACATGACCGCGTCCCCTCAACCGTCTTCTTATCCCCCCTCTCTTTCTTCCCTAGGTCTGGTTCCAAAACCGCCGCGCAAAGACCAAGCAGCAGGCAAAGAAGGCCGAGGCCGCTACCTCCGTCAACCCGTCCAAGCTTGCCGCAGCTGGTCCCGCCGCGGCTGGCGCGTCGCCTTCGAATCCCCCTATCGCCCCCCGAGTAGAAACAGATGGCGACGACGATCACAACGATTTGGATGAAGATGCCCTCTCGCCGGCGCCTCCCTCTCCACAGGCCCGCTCGGAAGAAACTGCCCCGGACGAGGCCCTGGCCCCCGATGGAAACAGCAACTTAAACGCGAACGAGCCCGACCAACTCAACTCTACTCCTGATAGCCGCCGTGGATCCATCGCCCCTCCTCCGCTCCCCTCGTGGGCAACAGCCTCGCCCTCGCCCTCCTCCGCGCCGGCCTTGGGCGCGCACCAGCAGCAGCAGCAGCCCCCTGCGCACGCAAGTCCGAACTTCTCGGGCCATGTCAATGCCCACGTCCGTCTGTCCACACATCCCCCTTCCGTGACAGCATACTCAAACGGCCATCTCGCACCTCCCGATCTGTACGCGCAGCGCCGCACGTCCCTGCCCGTCGCCTCCCTCTCCCCTGGCCGCCTGGGCATGGTGCAGAAGCGCGGCTTCGATCCCATGCGCCGACGCCTCTCCTCCGACATGGGCGGACACGGGCACCGCATGCAAGCGCACCCCTACGCGCACGTCGCCGCAACCGCGAACGCCAACACCGCGCACGGCGCGTACGCCGAGGCGGTCGACGGCCCGCACCACCCGCAGATGATGCGCCGCCCGCAGCTCATGCCGCGCATGAGCGCGCCCTACCCGCCCGGCCCGCACCCGAACCAGCTGCACCCCGCGCACGCGCACTCGCTGCCCACCGTCCCTTCGCAGGCGCACCGCCCGTCGCTCCCCGCTCCGCGCACGTACGACATGTCTGACATGCCCGCCCCGCCGCACACCCCGATGTACCACCCAGGCCAGGGCTACGACGTCCTCGCGCCGCGGCACTCGATCGACGGCAGCGCGCTCGGACTCATGCACGCGCACGCGCAGATGAGCATGGGCATGCAGCAGCAGCAGCAGCAGCAGCAGCAGCAGCACATGGACGGCATGGGCGACGCGTACAGCATGGACATGAACGTCAGCCCGCTCGACCCCCGCGGGTACGCGATCTCCCAGCGGCCGATCGCCCCGCCCGTCCCCGGGCCGCTGCCCTCGCCGAACTTCTCGTTCGGGAACCCGTTCGCGCCGAGCCCGTCGTCGAGCTCGGCGTCGGGGACACCGCCGAACGGCGCGTCGCCGCCGCTGCTGTCGCTGCCCCGGCGCTCGAGCGAGGGCGGGGTGTCCGACGCGGACACGGAGGAGAGCAGCGCGGCGCCGCTGTCGCGGTTCGGCAGCGTCGCGAGCATCGGCGGGGGCAGCGAGGTGAGCTGGACGAGCGCGTACAGCAACTCGGAGGGCGGGCACATCGAGGGGGCGCCGGAGGACGGCAGCATCTGCGGGAGCAGGCGAGAGAGCTGGTGAGTCGTCGTTCGTCGTTCGTTTCCACCGACCGTGTGTTGTGTGAGCGACGCGTGTTCGCCACGCGGGTCCTGCTCGTGCATATCTCACCTCTGGTCACGTCTTCGATGGGTCGATCAGAACGTTCGTACGCGATAGGCGCTGACGAGTTGGATCTTGTGCAGCGCGTCCGGACACTTCCTCGAACTCTTCTCGGATCTCGACGTCGGCAGCAACGGCGGCACGCCCGCTCCGCCGCCCATGCACGAGCAGCACCAGCAACACCTCCAGCACTCGTCGTCGACATCGCACTTGTCCCCAGCCATCTATCCCGCGCACCACATGCAGTCGCATTCTCCCGATGCGCAGGCACCTCAGGACGGGGACGGAGGGTACCCCTCGCCGTCATCGGCGTCCACGATATCCGCGGGCAGCAACCACAGCCACCAACAACATACCATCCCCCACGATAACTCCCCGAACCCGCATACCGCCGTCGGCAACGGCAACGGCAACCGGGTAGGGCAAGGCCACGCGAGGACGAACACGTCGAGCGAGCTCGCCTTCGCGCTCCAGGACGCGCAGGCGAAGGACGACATAGGCCCGCTGCAGTATCCCGAGTACCCGTCGGGGAACAGCGATCACAATATAGCGCACGAGCAGGGCTATCAGCAGTATCCGCAGGAACAAGCGCACCACGCGCACCCGGAGTACCAGAAGGCGCAGGCGCAGGGACACTTCCCCACCGTCTACGAGGGATACGTGTACCCTCCCCCCGGAAACGAGAACGAGGCGTACGCGGCGGGCGCGATCGAGCTGTCGCACATGTGCGTGCCGGCGTCCGAGGGCGTCCATTTCATGGGGGGCTACATGCAGTACCCATAGTACCAGTACGGACGGGGCGCTCCCTGCGTTCCAGTGACTGCTGCTCGGTCGACGAGTAATGCGCCGGCCGCTTCCCGACCTCCGATCTCCTGCATGCATCTTATACCTTTGGGTCCGTGAACCCGAGGACGTCCGATATCGGCCCAGCGAGGGCTCGGCGCGTCCCCCCGCCCGTCGCTTCCTGCCCGCCTAAAAGCGTGCTCGCCACCTCTTTTGTACCAACACCCGCATCCCCGGACCATTGTGTACTCTATCGCGTGCGCGCGCTGTTGTCTCACGCTGTCTGTACGTCCCCGTCTTGTCTGCCCGCATCCGCCGTTCTCGCATAGCTATAGCCGCAATCTGCTCTAATGTTCCTGCCCGCAACCTTTGCGTCTCACGCGGTGGGTGCTCTTTCGTTCCCCCCACCCAATCTCTTATCTGCCTGCTTGCTCTGTGTCCCTTCGCAATCTACACCGTCTCTACCTCGTGTTCGGTTGTCTCCTGGTGCAATCACGGACTTACCTTCTCCGATGCCCTCATCTGTTTTTTCGCCCTTCTCTACATATTTACCATTCGTAACGTATCCATACAATACAGTGTCTCTCTTCCATATCTGTGTACACCTATGATATCCCTCCTACGCACTCTCACCGTCTTCCCCGTCTCGTAACGTCCCGCTAGCGTCGTAGCCCGGACCTTGACCCGAACCTCGATCCGCGCAACTTATCATTACATTTATTCCCGATTTGTGTCTCGTCGCGTAGCGGTGCTGCCTGGCACCGCCTCGTCCGTTCGTTAGCCTCGTCGCCCACCGCCTTACCTTACCGCTGTCGTGATCTTCTGCTCTTGACCGTCGTACCGCTCAGCTGATGATGTCGACGCTGTCTTCCGTCCATCTACTGTAGAACGCCTGTATAATCTGCCGTCCCCTCGCATCCATCATCCCCCCCCCCATCAGAATTCCTCTCTCGTTCTCAACACATGCACACTGTCACGTTCCTTGCTCACTCGCGCTCTGGGTTTCCATCTTTCATCCTTCATCGTCCTCGGTCTCCAACTCCGCCCGTCTGTCCCTCTCCGGCGTTCTGCATGTTGCTCATACTGTCTATACTCTCATACCCGGGGGGCGAGGCGGCGCCCGTTCCGTGTTAATGCCCACCGCCGCCGTCGCCGCCACACCCCTTCCTATCGCTCCAGCTCGGAAAGATGGGAGGAGCTGCCCGGCGACGAGCTTTGTACATACGCTGTAACCCTGTACATAGTGTATCATCCCACCGCAATCGACGTTATCAATCAGACTCGGATCGCCGTCCGCAGAAATTGCAGCGACCAGCTGACAGACCGACCCGCACAGCCATCCGCACATCCTCCGCACCCGACCTCAAGGCTCACGGCATTCGTGATTCGTCCGCCACGAGCACGGAGCGAATCCGTGCATGCCTTCAGCAGAGACATAGCCACAGCAGCTTCGACGGGCCCCTTGCACGACGTCGCCTCGTCCCTCATTCCTCCACACTGACAAGCAGTGCTTCGCCAGGTACACTGAGTGTCATCCATTCGCCATGCCACCCTCGGCCCGCAACACCGCTGCCTATTCGCGAGGCACAAACCGCACCCGGAGGGATCTGTAAGGCGAGATGAAGGGGAGGACGCTGATAAACGGCAGTCAAGGTGACATGTGTGATCTGCACACGCGCATCGTGCCCCCCCACCCCCTCACCGAGTCGCTGGTGACCTTGTGAGGTGTGCTACGTGGGTGGAATCCCGCGACGAGCGGGACGGCGATGGGCGAGATGGAGCTTGATCACGATTGCGGATAGCGTAAAACATGGACTTAGCAGTGCGGGCCTAGTGAGATATTGCGGTTCCACATAGGCACGCGGGAGCGCAGCTCCGTCGCCCCCCCCCCCGTCCAATTCGCTTGAGAAGACATGTCCATCGCGATCTGGTGATCTCCACTTGTCTCGCCCGGTCGCCTCGTGAAGCTTCCTCGAGGCGGTGAAGTTGAGTGGGCAGGGCAGTGAACGTTTAGCGACCATACTCAACGCACAATCGGGCGCTGCCAACACTGGTCTTCGCCGTGTGGGAATCCTCCGGGCAGGGCAGGCGTCCAGGAGAGGACGATGTCCTCGTTACGTGTAGACCGCGAAGGTCAGACTATGCGTCCACAGCCGGACCTGCAGGACGTATTTGACTGGGGCGTCGGGTAACTGCTGTCCCTCCTAAGGCAGCAGTGTACTCGAGCGTCGAACGGACGCGATCGTCGCGCGCGTCCGCGGGGCCTGACAGAGTGAAGATCGGCCGGAGCTAATGCGTTTGTTGTGTGATAGATGAACTTTAAGCGTGGACAATGCCAAGGGCAGGAAGGTTTCCGAGGGACCATCACCGCGAGCAGCTGTCAGGATGTGCGCTCCGTAGATCCTTGAGACATCAGGCTCATGTGTCTGTGGCGGGCTGGACGAGGACTCTGCGTGAACACATTATGACGGTGGTGGGGCGCTTGAGGCTGTCGACTGTCACCCTCGCAGACAGCTCGCAGCAGTGGAGTGCTCAAAGCTTAGTGATGTTCGTGGGAGGAATGACAGAGCCACCGAAAGACGCAGGATGGTGTGGATGGAGCACAGGCGGTGGGATCCCGTACGGGCGTGGTCCGCCAAAACCGAGCCAACCGGACATGCCCAGATTGAAAGATGGCTGTTCGCCCCCGTCGCCGTCTCCGCTCGAGCCAGGGGCGCCCCCGCCAGCGAGGTGCGAACGAGACGTGAGGATGTCATGCACCTGTCGGACAAGTGTCACGCCAGACGTCAGCCGATGCCGTGTATGCGTGCGGATATAACCACCAGCACGTCAGCGCGTACCTGCATGCGTAAGCCGTGCGTCGCAGCTCGCAAACCTCGCAGTTCTTCCGTTGTCCGCAGAGATTCCGCGCCTCGTGAGGCCGCCAGTGCGCCGAGTGCGCCCGCGAGCGTCACCAGAGACGAATGGAGAGTGGCGAGCGTGTCCGGAAGCGGCGTCGAGGGGTCTAAGGGCGGTATGGAGATCGAAGCCGGTGCATTGGGAGTGAATGATGAACCTTGCGCGTAAGGCATGCCAGGTGTCTGACCGTGACCAGGCGTGGGGAACGAGGACGCGGCGTAAACCGAAGTCGGAGAGGTGCTTGCATACATCGACGGGTACGTAGAACTCGGAGGCGACAGTGGTACACGGCTTTGCCCGACAGATGAGGAGAGATACGGTTGGGCAACGCTTGAAGTGCTTCCGTATCCAGTGTGAGTGGACACGGTCTCGGGCGGAGGGAAGTAGGACGCGATATCTATAGAATCCCGTGGGGCGGAGGACGGGGGATTGTCTGAGCGAGCTACCGCGGTTGCGGGGGCCAGCTCTTCAGCTAATTGACGTTCGAATGCTATTGAGGCCTCGAAGTCTTCCGGCTGCTCCTCTTGGGGCACCTCGGGATGAACGTCGGGTCGGTACCATGGTCCTAGAGCGTGCTTTACGGCGAACATTTCGCTGCGGAGCGTGTGTACAACGCTCTCTAATGCTGATAGTCTCAGGCGCAGCATTGCATTCTCTGCAGCCAAGTCGGAAGGGGGCTGTCCTGTAGAAGTCGTCGGACTTGCAGAAGCAGATGCGGAGGTCGTGCTCTGACAGGCATAGTTGCAGTTCATCATCGACCGGATGATGGAGTCCAAGGACGTACCTTCTCTTCGGGGTGGTCTCGGGAATCCGTTTCCGGATATTCCTGGGAACTGGCTAACTTGACCACACCGGACTCCGAACACTGATGCTCTTTGACGTCCCTCCTGAGAATACGGCTAGAGCAGCGTGCCTCTGGGCAGGGAACTTCGATGAATTGACAAACGTCCTTGACGTGGATAGGGAGGAGAAGGCGTTGGCAAGTATACGGACATCCGAGAGGTTCTTGAGGACACCGGACGATCAACTCGTCCACCAACTGCCAGATTTATGGATACCGTGAGCAGTCAAGATAGCAATGTGTCAAATTGGACATACGTTGCGTATCACGGGGTCCGCGGGAGTAAGGTCATGAACACTCAGGGGAGTTCGGTCGATGGGACATTGGCGATTGATGGCAATAGCTTGGGAGATACATTCGTAGCAAAACGTATGGCAGCACGTCCGGGTGGTGCAGGGTTCGACGAAAGGTGAGCTACAGAAATATTTCAGCGGGCCGGACCGAAGGATCGAGCGAAAAGACAGACCGGCAGATGCAGCATACCTAGGCGTCGACGCTCTCCGTGAATATCAAACTTTTGTATGATGACCAAGCGAACAACTCACAAGATTCGCGTTGGGGTTATCGACATACGTTAGAGATGCCATGATGATGGCGGCACCAGAGTTCGGGATTGAGAAGCGCAAGGACTCGCCGAGTGCAGTGGCAGCGGAAGACCGTTGTCAGTACTGAGAACTGCGAAGGCCGTCGCCATGCGCGTGATTGCTCCCGGACACGCGAGATTGCCTTTCCGATACTCCCGGCCCCGGCCCGGTCATAGCCGCCTGCCAAGCGCCCACAGCTTCAACCGAACTTCAAATTGAAAGTGCATCCACCGACGGTCATCCTTCTGCCATCTCTTTGCCGCAATCCCGCCGCAAACCTCAGCTCATACGAGGCACTGCGATGGTCTCTGTGTACATATCACGGCCGCCGGCTTCAAAGAGGCGCATTTTGTTGCATCGATGAAATGGGCCCGGAGGAGCCTCGGACCGTTCCAGCAACGACTCGCGGTCCGGTACCTCGAGCCTGACCCTTCCCTTGGCCCGCCCCGCCTTCGAGGACCTCATAAGGAGCGCACAACCTTGACGGACCCTTTGTCGACTTCGCCTCCCCAGTCACACTATGACCTCGTTCGCGTATACCACCCCGTTCGCGTCTAACCCCATCGAGACCAGAGAGGAGCTAACACAGTATCTCATCGGTCTACTCGATCCCCTTGCCGCCCACACGTCTCCCGGAGGTGCTCGCATTCATCTCGGTTTCACTGGCACCCATTACGACGAGGCAGCAGCTCATCTGGAGGGCTTCTCGCGCCCAATATGGGGTCTTGCGTCCTTGCTTGCGGGCGGAGGCTCATACCCTGGCGTGGAGCGCTGGATCCGCGGTTTCACCAATGGTACGAACCCTGATCATGAAGAGTTTTGGGGAAACATGCGCAGCAAGGACCAGCGCATGGTCGAATGCTCCGCTATCGGTTTCGCCCTCTCGGTCGCGAAAGAGCAAATCTGGGATCCCCTCCCGGATGAAGGCAAGCGGAACCTCGAGAACTGGCTCGGTGGTATGAACGACAAGGATATGCCCAATACCAACTGGCTATGGTTCCGCGTATGTCCCCTTCACCTTTCGCGTGCTCTCAATGAGATTGACTGCCGTGTAGGTTTTCGCCAACCTCGGGTTGTCTAAGGTCGGCTCCCCCAAGTTTGACGCGAACCGGATGAAAGCAGACCTCGATCACCTGGACACATTCTATATCGGCGACGGATGGTCGCGGGATGGGCCAGAAGGCGTCGTCCAGCTCGATTATTACTCATCTTCCTTCGCCATTCAGTTTGCCCAGTTGGTCTACTCCAAGTTGGCGCAGGATTACGACCCGGCCCGGTGCGAAGAGTTCCGGAATCGCGCCCGCCAATTCGCGCTGGACTTTGTGCACTACTTCGACGAACAAGGTGCATACTGCGTTCTGATTGGCCTGACGTGCTGTTGACTATTCATGCATCCTCTGTACAGGCCGCGCAATTCCCTTCGGCAGAAGTCTGACCTACCGCGCCGCCATGTCCTCCTTCTGGGGCGCTCTGGCCTTCGCCGACGTCGATCCCCCAGCACCTCTCACCTGGGGCGCCATCAGAGGCCTCCAGCTCCGGAACCTCCGCTACTGGGCCCGCCAGCCTGGCGCATACAACAGCGACGGCACCTTCACCATCGGCTATGTCTATCCGAACCATAACATGACCGAGAACTACAATTCACCGGGCAGCCCGTACTGGTTCTGCAAGTCCTTCATCGCCCTCGCCCTCCCGCCCTCGCACCCCTTCTGGTCATCTCCCGAAGAGCCCTACCCCGCCGCCCTCCGCAACACCGTCAAGCCCCTCCACAAGCCGCTGCACATCGCGACGAACCTGGGCGGCCACACCTACGTCCTCTCCTCGGGCCAGCAGTGCTCCTACCCCGTCAAGCAGAGCGCGGCCAAATACGGCAAGTTCGCGTACTCCTCCGCGTTCGGCTACAGCGTCCCCGTCGGCTCGCTCACCCTCGAGGAGCACGGCGGCGACAGCGCGCTCGCGCTCTCCGCGGACGGCGGCGAGACGTGGAAGTTCCGGCGCGAGACGAAGGAGGCGCGCATCGAGAGCGGGGGGTGGCTGCGCTCCGCGTGGTACCCGTGGCCCGACGTGTCCGTGGAGACGTGGCTCGTGCCCCCGACCGCGGACGCCCCGCTCTGGCACCTGCGCGTGCACCGCATCCGCAGCGGCCGCCCTCTCCTCTCCGCCGAGGGCGGCTGGGCGATCTTCGGGCAGGGCGCGGAGGACCGGGCGCTGGAGCCGTCGACGGGTGAGGCGTACGGGACGCTTGAGGAGGGCAGCGCTGCACGTGCGACGTCCAAGGCGGGCGTGTCGGGCATCGTCGAGCTGCGCGAGCGGCCGAGCAGGAAGGGCAGGGCGATGCGCACGGACGCGAACACGAACCTCATGGTGCCGAGAGCGGTGATGCCGACGCTCCTGGATGAGCATGATGCGCAGGAGGGGGATATTTGGTTGGTGACGGCGGTGTTCGGCCTCCCGAGCAAGACTGGGGAGGAGGGCGCTGAGCCTGGCTGGGAAGCGGAGTGGAAGAAACGGCCTGTGACTCCTGAAGCTATCGCTTCGCTCATCGCGTAGGGCATCGAAACGTAGAAGAGAAGCGACAGTATGTATCACTATGTATCGTAATTCGTGGCTCTCGGGATGTCGTCCTTGTCATTTCGGGTCGATGATCCACTTGGTTTTTGAAATAAATTCACTGACCTTGTCTTTCATGCTTCTTGAATGGATGACTGTGCGATTACACTGAGAGCACAATGCGGATAGCGATACAATTCCTGAAATGGCGTACTACGAAAACACGTCGTTCGAAACACAGAGCAAAGACAAAGGTACCTAAACGTGCACTTGCAAGATAGCATCATCCTCTTCCTCTTCGTCCTCACCGTCGTCTCCATCGTCTCCGTCGTCTCCGTCGCCCGCCGCTCCATCCTCGCCGTCGGCCTGAGGGACCTCCGTATCGGCACCGTTCACCTCCGGCTTTTCCGCGTCCTCCATAGACACATCCTTCTCGGGGTTCTCCTCCCTGTCCTCCGGAATCGCGGGGAGGCCAGACGACGAACCGGACTTGTCCTTGCCCCCGCTCTCGCCCTGCGCCGCCTCCTCCACCTGGAGGGGCACGCCGGCGGTGAACGCCTCGCTGAGCGAGCTGACCGTCGACACGGCCATATCGAGGACGGCCTCCACGCGCCGCCTCAGGGCTTCGCTCGAGCTCGTCACCGTCTGAACGAGGGGCCAGGCATAGGCATCAGCTTTTCCGATACAACTGCACGGCGGGCGAGCGGATGGAGGGTACATACCATAGAGAGCAGATTGATGACGGCGTCCGCCTCGTCTAGCGTGACCAGGAGAGAGGGCTCGGGGGCGTCCTCGCTCTGCTCCGCGTCGTCCTCTTCGGGCATGTGCAGCTCGACGTCGCCGAAGTGCGCCTCGAGGAACCAGCAGAGGCGCTGTATCCGCGTCACGGGCGCGGATTCGTCGGTGATGTCTGCGTGAGGATGCCGGTGTTCGGGGGGGTGCGAGTGCGAGTGCGCATGCGTCGTCACTGAGACCGCAAATCTGTTAGTCAGCAAGCACGGACGGACGAGAAGGGAAGGGGGGCTACGGACATTTCACGGAGGCGGGGCTCTTGTCGATCCCGCTGATGAGCGCGAGCGTCGCGTCGGCGATCATGTCGTTGCTTGCGCTCGAGTCCCACTCGAGCGTGAGCTCTTGCTCCCCCGACAGCTTGACGTCCACGGCGCCCATGACCTGCACTGCACTCAGTCACGCGTCCTACCGCAGAGAGCCGCGACGACCACGGTCCGATCCAAAGCAAAGACGCACCCTCATGGTCTGGATGCCGTCCTTGTCCAGCCCCTCCTCGATCTGCCCGAACATGCCCTCCAAATGCCAGCGGACGAGGTCCCAGCCGACGCCGAGCGCGACCTTCTGCCGCTGCGTCACCACGCACGTCGTCAGCCCGGCGAAGTCCCGCAAGTCGCGCGGGTCCAGCAGCGTGTACGAGTAGTCCTTGGACACCAGCAACCCCGAGATGACGTCGTTTGGCTGTGGCGGGTGCGCGGCGAGCGTGCCGATGGCCTACCCCATCCCGCTCGGATTAGAGCCGACCACGGCGGGGACAGCGATACAGAGAGCACCACGCACCTTCGCCACACGCTCGCTGCGGAAGGTCAGCTCCAGTGTCTCCAGGTTGCGTGGCGTATGAATCTTGATCTCCTCGTCCCGGCTCTTGTACCGGTCCTGCATGGCGGCCTTGAGACGGCCCATGCCCGTCGCCTCGCCGTGGACTAGTACCTGTTGTCGTCGTGCACATTAGCGGGTCTCCTCTAGAACGCCAGGTGCGCCACCCACGATATGCTGAGGCTTGACGAGCTCCATGAACTCCGAGTTCTGCGAGTAGTCCACGTGCGCGCTGAACGAGATGTAGTCGACCGAGAGCTTTCTCTGGATCGTGTTCCCTTTCATGCCGACGATCTCGCTAGGCTCGTTGAGGATGTCCTATCACGACACAAAGGGGGGGAAGAAAGGCATGAACATCAACTCACACTCTTTGACAGACGGGCCACGCGGGACAAAGACGAAGGAGGAAAGAACACATGTCCATTGCTTCGCATTGTACATACAACACGGATGGTGGGGTACACGACGACGATACCGGCCGGTCCTGATGTGGTAGCCACTCACCCTCGCCATCGTCCCTTCCACGGAGTATCCCGTCACGATGCAGCCGTTTTTCGAGTCCGACGCCCAGAGCTCCAGGAGTTCCCGGCTGGGGCCCGAGTTCATGAACCCGGGTGATGCCAACACGACACATGGCGGGCCCTCAGCGATCTTGCGCTCCCACCCTCGCGTGCCGGGAACGTTCGTGATATGCCTGATCGGAGTATGAGCCAAATGAGGTTCAGTGCAGAATAGAGTACGCACTTGAATACAAAGGGGTTGTCGCGCTTCGCGAACCGTGTTCTTACATTGGAGTTCATGGTATGGATGTACGTCTGGTACACAGCCATGCACTTCCGGGCGAGGCTGGAGGCGTAGTATATTGGTACATTGTGAAGATCCGGATGTTTTGCCCAGTATTCGTCCAGAATCAGCAGAAGCTCCTGCGCCCGTCCCAACGCGAACGTAGGGAGGAGGACATGGCCTCCGCGACGGATGATGGAGTGCACTAGATTAGTGAAACGCGCCTCCTTGTCGTCTCTGGGCTCGTGACTTTGGACCCCGTACGTGCTCTCCACGATGAGCACGTCGGGGTGTATCGGTGGGATTTCGGCCTTGACCAGATGTCGGTCCTCTTCCCGAGAGTAGTCGCCAGTGTACAGGATCTTCAGACCAGCAATATCGATCAAGAACATGCAAGCTCCAAGAACATGACCAGCGTGGTAGGGCGTGAAAGTGACACCAGGACAGGGGGTGATCACCTGGTGGGCCGAGACCGGAATGATAGATGCAAGAGACATAGACATCTCCAGCGGTGTGAACAGGGTGTCTGCGGAGGAAGTGCTGTTCCAACAGACTTAGCCGACATGTGCACGGGTCGTTTTGAGAAGACACACCTCATTCGAACGAAATCTTGCATCATGAATTTGTGGAGAGCCTTCGTAGGGTGCGTCATGTACACCTTGCCCTTGCCGTCGCGGAAATTCGTCTATTCACTTGTTAGTGTCACGAACGCTCGAAAAGGACGACCTGAAGCTCACCTTCTCCATAATGTACGTGAGTGCTGCAGCATGATCGAGGTGGAAACTGGATGTGGTTTAGATAGTCGTCTCGAGCACGGTAGCTTCTACGCACTGTGTGATGAGCAGGACGTCGACGGTACTCCAGTCCAAATCGTCTATGAAGGGAAGAGACGCAATTCCGCTATAAGCTGGGTGGACGCCGGCATCGCAGACGATTGTCCGGCCACGATATTGTATAACGCAACAAGACCTTCCGACTTCCTGTCCAGCCCCAAGGAGAGTTATACGGAGTTTTGGTACGTCCGACATGAACAAGACAGCTCAGAGCTACAGCAGCAGCGCAAGATAGCCCCTAGCAAACAGAAAGAGAGGGGAAAGCAGGTGGTGACACTGGTGGTCAGCGGACAACTTCGTCCGGCGTCAGACACCCGCTCTGTCTTCCGCACCTCCAAGCGCCCACAGAAACTCTGCTCCCGGAAGCCATCTGAAGTCTCGCCTCGACTGTGCAGTCTTCGCTCTGCCTCCTTCTCGGTCGTCTCGCCTGTTTTGCGACACCTCTGCCTGGCCGCTATGACAAAGCCACAGAAACAGCGGCCCAAGACATCAAGCGCTAGCCTGAACACTGCTCGCCAGTCTGCGGCGAAGCAAGCGGTGAAAAAGCGGGTAAAGGCCCCGAGCCGGATATCTAAGGACCAGGTCGCGGACGCTACTGCGCAAATCAATATCCAATTTGCGCAAGTGCAAGCCCTATATGCCCAGGCATGCTCCTCCACTCTAAAAAGACGGCATCCTAACTGACCGGTAGTTCAGCCCAAGCAGACCCGAGACGCTGCTCCCTCCGTCCTGGAAGCGGATGTCCAGGATCTTGCGGCTGTCATGAAGACTCTATGACATCTGTGTACTACACATGTCCCGCAGGTATGCATGAGACATTATCCGCAGGTCAATAGTATTGACAGGATGCTGCCAGGCAAGAAGCTATGCCAAGAGGGACTACCACCACACTGAGTCTAGGCCTCGCGGCTATGACGGAACCTAAGGAAACACCCTGCAACAATGGAACCAGCGTGCTTCGGATTAGGGTCTTACTTGCTGAGGATTCCTTCTGGTTCGTGGTGGCGAATATCAGAACTTCTTGCTGTCTCGGTGACACCAGTCTCCTCCAGATTATGCTCTTGGGGTATTTTCAATCACACCTGTGGGATCGTGTACTGTGTGAAAAGCATACCCTTATCACTCGGGCATGGCGGCCGCAGTTTGGGACACGAGGGATGCCTTGCTTTCACGAGTGGAGTAGTACATGTCGCAATGTTACGGTGCATCATACATACCTGCCTACTCTTTGATGCATGAACTGCATAGACAGGGCTGAGAAACGGATCGAAATGAAAGTAAAGGAGGATGTTGTCCACTGAGAGAAAACGACGGGTCAGGATGGTCTACTAGTAGTCCGTCGTGGTCAGGCTTGGTGCAAATGCGCCCTTGTCGATGGTTCGAATTCTTGGGGAGGTAAAGGCCACAACTGTGAACAACTGCTGCCATGAGGCAGCGGGCCTTGGAAAAGTCGCGCACATTACATAATGAACGAGCGAGTGTAAGATGTGACAGACGCGTGACAAAACGCGTTCCTACAGGCGCCGGGGCCGTCGACCGCAACGGCGCGTCTGCGCAGACACACACTCTCCTTCACTTCCGCCCACGACGTCCTCCATGCCGTCTACGGTGCAGAGCAACCCTGCCCACGGGCCAGGCGCGACCTCCCTTGCTTTCTCTCGCGATGGCTCGTCAGTCCTGCTTAACCTCATCTCCGCCGCGTCGTGCTGACCTCCCGTCCCCAGACGCGTCTACACAGGCGGAGCAGACAGTCTCGTCAGGATATGGGACCCACAGCTAGGAGAGGACCAGGAGCCACCCAGCGCCGCAGAGGCTGCCGACGAGGTTACCACCGTTGCCGCAGGAGTGCGTCCTCTGCTCTACCGTCATCCGCTCTCCGCTAACCCCACGCCGCCCTCAGACGCACTGCTGGCTATCTGGAAGTAAAGATGGAGACGTGCGCAAGTACGAGATCTTGAAGCCCGTTCCGGACGCCAAGCCTACCATGGAAGGCCTCGTCGCAAGTGCGCAAGGAATTCCCATCCGCTGTATAGTTGTGGACCCTAAGGGGACCAGGGTTGCGGTCACGTCCGAGTGAGTGTTTCTTACCTTCTACAGAGCTCTGTCAGTAGAGGAACCCATAGTAGCGACTCCTTGTCGCTCTTGCATTCTCCTATCACGACGAAGAGCGTCGTCCCGACGTGAATCGGACCCTTTCTGAATAGCAAGGCAATCTCTACTATTGGATCCATTGACATTGGGAATTCAGAGTGGGCCATTGTGGTCAGAATTGTCGCTATTGCTAAAAGCTCCAGATTCCGCGATTCTGCTTTTGCTCTAAATCCTGGACGTAGGAGAGGACTGACTGTCACACAGCGAGCCGGACGTAAAGCTGATCGACCTCGACGACATCACCAAAATCTCTATACTGAAAGGTCACTCGAAGGCTGTACGCAAAGCGACGTGGCATCCATCTGGCTCACTTCTTGTACGTGAAACGTGCGCATAGTTCTCGATTCGAGCTCACGGCGGGCAAGACAACATGCGGCGCAGATGGCAAGGTAATCGTCTGGGACGTCTCAGGGAGCGAACCTAAGGAAGAGAAGGTCATCGACGGCATCATTCCCGCCGTAGCAGATTCCGAGTGAGTCTCCGCCGTTTTCCGCACTTAGTCCTCTGACGAACCGTTCGGGGGTGCGCAGGTCCCCCGAGTTCGGACACGACTGCTCTGCGGTATGGCACACCTCCGGCCAGTACTTCTTCGTCGCCACACGGACGCACGGTAGGTCCTTCTTCCGTCCGGTATATCCTTGCGCTCGACCTGATTCCCCTCGCAGAAATCGTAACAATATCACGATCCGACTGGACCAAGTCCTCGACGCTCTCAGACGACGCATGCTCGGGCGCCATCACCGCTCTCGCGCTCTCCAAGAACGGGGTGTACCTCGCAGCCGCATCTAAATCCGGCGTTTTCATCTGGTCGACGCAGAACAGGCGCATGCTCTTCCGGTACGCGACCCCTTCCCTTGTCTCTCTACAGCGGGTCGTCAAATATCTGCTGACCACTAATTTGGCTAGCTTCCAGGGTGCGCTCAATGCGCCCATCACCCAGATGGCATTCTCACCCGTCAAGAACCTGCTCGCCTGGACGGACTCTGCTGGTGATCTCACGCGCTGGCGCGACCCTATACCGTCCTCCTCGCCCGACCCTGTCAAGCTTTCCGTAGGTACGACGGCGGTTGGGGTACCCGTCAAGCGGAAGAGTACCCCCACACTGTTCGACGATGATAATGTCAACGTCGCGCGCGGTGAAAAGAGCAAGCCGAGGGACGACAACGTCGATGACGACCTTGGGATCGACCTGGACAACGACGATTGGATCCTCGACGACCTCGGTGGGGGACTGAACGACGATGACGGGGAAGCGAGGCGGATCGCTACCGAGAGCGGCATCCGCGAGATGGTCAGCGTGACGAAGGCGCAGGGCCCTTTCCAACCCGGCTCGACGCCAATGGAGAACAAGAAGCGCTATCTAGGTACGTGGGCCCCTCCCTGATCTCTGTCCTCTCTAACGCGCGCGCACACACACACACACACATAGCGTACAACATGATCGGCGTGGTGGAAGTAACTGACCAAGACACGCATCATATCGTCAACGTCGAGTTCCACGACCGCTCCGCGCGCAAGTCGTACCACTTCACCGACCACTTCCGGTACGAGCTTGCCGCCCTCGGCGAGCGCGGCGCGGTCTACGCCTGCCAGCCCGAGAGCTCGCACGCGGCGCACGTCATCTACAAGCCGTACGGGGCCTGGGCGGCGCAGTCCGAGTGGACGTACGACCTCCCTACAGGCACGCGCGTGCTCGGGGTCGCCGCGGGGGGCATGCCCCCGTCCGGCAAGTCCCTGAGGGAGAAGACGGACGTGGACATTGGGGGGCAGGGAAACGTCGTGATCGCGACGAGCGAGGGGGAGCTCATCTTCCTCACGGGCAGCGGGATCGAGCGGGCGTGTCTGAGCCTGCCGGGGGACTTTGTGACGATGGTCGCGGGGAGCGAGTGGGTGTTCGTCGTCACGCGGGACGGGAGCACGTCGATGGACGGCTCGCAGAACTTGACGGGGCGGCTGATCAAGTTCGACGACTTCTGCATACTGCAGAAGGACGTGCTGCCGATACCGAAGCGCCACACGCTCAAGTGGGTCGGCATCACCGAAGAGGGCGTAAGTCGCGCGCGTCGCTCGAGTCTCCTGTTCCCTCGCTGCACGCTGATCGCTGACCGGCCCTCCTTTGCGCAGGCACCTGCGATCTACGACTCGGCCGGTATCCTGAACGCGATGCCGCGCTTCCGGATCCCGCTCTCGGCGACGTGGGTGCGCATCCTCGACACGAACAAGCTCGACCGGCGCGAGGGCAAGGACGAGTCGTACTGGCCCGTCGGCGTCGTCGGCGACAACTTCATGTGCCTCATCCTCAAGGGCCGCCAAGGGCACCCCGGCTTCCCGCGGCCCCTCATCCAAGAGCTCCCGATCCGCCTGCCGTTCAAGCGGACAGATGCCAAGGAGTCGCCGCTCGAGGAGCAGTAAGTTCCCCATCTTCTCTTTGACCGACGCACCATGGCTCGGCTGACCTGACTCCATGCAGGTTCGCGCGGGAGACCCTCCTCCTCGACATCCTCCGCGACAGCCTCGGGGACGACCTCACGACGCCCGAGCTCGCCGTGCGCGAGCTCGCGCTCGACAAGGCGCTCATCCAGCTCATCCAGCACGCGTGCAAGACCGACCGCCTCGCGCGCGCGCTCGACCTCGCCCGCCTCCTCCACCTCACGCCCTCGTTCGACGCCGCGGTCAAGATCGCCGGCTTCTACCACCTCATCGGCCTCCAGGAGAAGATCGAGGCGCTCAAGGAGGAGCGCGCCGACGCGGACCGCCTCGAGGGGCTCCGCGAGCGACGGCGGCAGGCCCAGGCGGACTTCGCGCCCATCCCGGCCATGCGCCTCCCCGCTGCCGCCAGTGACGCGGGAGGCTCGCGCCCGAAGCCGTTCCAGGACTTCCGGCCGCCCCCCGCGCTGCATAGACCGGGTCTCGAGCGGGCTGCCGCTGCCTCGAGCCAAATCTCGGACGATAATACGGTGCTCAACGGGTCGTCGTTTGCGGACAGCACGCAGGACGACTATTCGTGGCAGTCGCCTGGGGGCCGGAAGCGCCCCGCGGACGACGAGCCGGTGCGCGAGACGCGCTCCCCAGGGGCAGATTCTGGCGCGAAGCGTCGCGCGATCGGTGAGCCTGCCTCGGCTGTGAGGAATGGTGCCCCTCAACCTCGTGAGTATCTCGGATTCAGCGTGCCCCGCTATATATGTTCGTTCGCTGACTCGGTCGACGACGTCCGGCGGCAGGCAGCAACCCATTCGCGCGCAAGCCCGGGGCGGGTGACGCCAACGGGCGCAACCCGTTCGCGCGTAGCGCAGACGCGAACAAGAGCGTGCACAAGAGCGATAGCTTCTTCAACAAGGTCGACGCGGCCGAGGCCGACAAAGGCAAGCGCGGCGCGGCGGGGGGCAAGGGCAAGCCGAAGGACGCAGGGAGGCAGACGACGCTGTTCGGCCTGCCTGCTGTGCAGCCTGCGGAGAAGGAGAAGAAGGCCCCGGCGAAGAAGAGGAAGGCTGCCGGGGGCGGAGGGGAATCGCAGGAGGCGAGCAAGGGGCTGGAGAGCCAGACGCAGACTGAAACGCAGACCGATACCCAGCCGGACGTCGCGATGGACGACAGCCAGGCTGAGACGCTTGCGAACGATGACACTCAGATCGACGAGCAGCAGACACAGTTGGAGACGCAAGCTGACGACATGGACGAGGTATGCACACGGTTCTACGTCTATGTACCACTTGAGCTTACCTTGTTGCCCCGCAGGAGCCGATTGAGTGGCCAGAGTCCCCGCCGCGACAGCAGCGGGAGCTCGCGGTAGACGCGGAGTAGGAGTGAGTGTGCATGTTCCTGTATTACTGTACCTATAGACTAGTAGCGTGTATACGATGCTTTCATATATCGATGAAGCATGCGGAGGATCGTGTCACGACCAGAGACCGTGCAAACGAACAGTCCAGAATCTACTCCTCGGGCATGAAGGCATCCCCAATCAACAAATCCTGGGAGTCGAATTCAGCTTTGGCCCTACGCAGCAAGGGAGAATAACGCACCTGTGGCTTGAACGGCCACGCATCGAACGCACGATGTATCAGCGCCCAGTCCGCGACGTTCAACTCCCGTATGCGCTTCGAGACGTTCACCCGCTGGTCACGAGGCAGGCTCGCGTCCCCCAGCACCTTGAGTAGCGTCACCGCTCCGGGAGCAAGCGAACTGCCCGACCGTTAGCCGTTGAACGTTCCCCATCTCCCGCTCGACGGAGTGCGTACCTGATAGCGTCCTTGAGCACCGTGCTCTTGAGCACGAACAGCCGCCGGAGGACGTAGTCCCACTGGTCGGTCATACCCTTTTGGATCACCTGGGTATGCGCGTGCGTGACAGGCGATGTCGGTGGGCTCAACTCATCCCCTCCGGTACCAAGCGGAACGACGCACCTGGTCGACGTATGGGACGGCCGTGATGCCGTACATGGGCTGCCCAGGCTTCCTGCTCAGGCCCTTCTTGTAGACCGCGGGTGGAGGGTAGAAGTGCGCCTCGTAGGGCGACACGAGCGCAGGATCGAACGCGTCCTGGATGTCCGCCGTCGCCTCGGCGATGACGGAGAGCTTGCAGCGCCTGCTCGTGCCCGGCCCCGCGGTCAGACGCTGTAGGCGGACCCGTTTACGTGAATACGAGGCAGCACAGAGGGGGGTCCCAGGGGGGTTGTGCGTACCGACCAGACCCACTCGCTCATGATGATGCTCATCGGGACGCGGCCGTACTTGAACAGCCAAGCGCGCTCTGGGATCGAGCGGAAGAGCTGGGCGACGAGCTGTTCGCCGTAGACGTTGTGCGCGAGGTGGGAGACGAAGTGCAAGTCGGGGACTGTGCGTGGGTATGGGAGATGAGGGACGGCATGGGGAACAGCGCCAAGAAGTCACTCACTTGTGGCATCCCATGGACAGGCTTCAACGTCATCCAGCAGACCGTGCTCGTCCAGATGCGAATATGTGTCCCACTTGTGTCCGGACATGGGGACGACGGTTACACGAGGGTCCGCATCTGCAAGAGGCTGAGTAATTCAGCTGTATACGAATTGAAACAAGACCGTATCTAGAACTTACCTCGAGATACTTGAGGTATGTGGGATCATCTTCGAGGATGATGAGTTTGCGCACGGTAGAGCTGGGTAGCTCCAAGAGAGCACGGGAAAGCGCGCCGGGCCCTACGTCAAAAGTCAGGCTACCAGCTCACGCAGAACAGTTGCTTCTAGTACGCACCTGGGAAGGCCTCTATGACGACCTTGCCTTTATCCGTGGCGGCAGGGGTGCGTGTAAATAATGACTGGGCTATTGAACGGGCAGCTTGTGGGGTGCGGACGAAGACACGATCACGTCGTGCGACGGTCTGGTAAGTGAAGGTCTTGCGCCATTCTTCTTGAGGGGGGAGTGGAGGTAGCAAAGACTGGGACGAGTAGGTTCGTGCGAGTGATTGAAGGCGCGAGCGAGCGCAAAGACGGTGGAGGCGGAGAGACAACATCGCGAGTATGCCTGTGGCTAATCCCAGTCAGGCCTGACACAGAGCTCTTCCTCGTCTGTGTGTCTAAGACGCCCGGAGGCCGGAGAGGCGGGCCGGGATCTGAGGTCGGCGTGACGGACGCGTCGGGGTCAGTGACGGGCACGCGTCGGACCAGTCACGTCCGGGAGGGTCGGGGAGGCGGCCTCCTCTCACATCCTCCACATCCCTTTCCCTCAAGTGCCGCTCCACCATCACCATCGAGAGTCAAGTCGCTTCGCCAGTGTAACCCTCTAATCCGACTCCAGAGCCCATTCTCGCCTGTGGCTGAACGGCCCAACATGTATATCAAGACCTTGACCATCCAAGGCTTCAAGTCCTGTATGTATCCCATTCCGCCCCGGTGAATGCCAACACGTCCTTACCCGTAACAGACCGGGACCAGACCCAGATAGAGCCTTTCTCACCAAGACATAATGTCGTCGTCGGCCGCAATGGTTCAGGCAAGAGTAACTTCTTCGCAGGTATGTGTCCAACGCAATGCGCTCTGTTGTCTGCGACCAAGTCCGCTCTCAACGTAGCCATCCGGTTCGTTCTCTCCGATGCCTACACCTCCATGTCGCGAGAGGAGAGGCAAGCCCTTCTCCATGAAGGTGTCTCAACAACCCAGACTCTCTCTGCCTTCGGTTCGTCTCCCTCTCCCATTGTCCATCTTACCCAGACACCTAATCCTTGACCCCAACCACAGTGGAAATAGTGTTTGATAACTCGGACAACCGTTTCCCCACTGGTCGGGAAGAAGTCATCCTCCGGCGTACTATCGGTCTCAAGAAGGACGAATACAGTCTGGACAAGAAGAGTGCAAGCAAGGCCGACGTGATGAACCTCCTCGAAAGTGCAGGTTTCAGCAAGAGCAACCCCTACTATATCGTCCCACAAGGTCGAGTACGTATTGAAACCTATTCTTCCCACCCGACACGCGCCACTCACCTGTGTGCTCCAGATTACAGCACTCACCAACGCAAAGGACCACGAACGTCTCGCGCTTCTAAAAGAGGTCGCAGGCACGAAGGTCTACGAGCAGCGCCGCACCGAGTCCCTGCGCATCATGGCCGAGACAGACTCCAAGCGAGCCAAGATCGGCGAGCTTCTCGAATACATCGACACCCGGCTGAACGAGCTGGAAGAGGAGAAGGAGGAGCTCAAGGAGTTCCAAGAGAAGGACAAGGAGCGCCGCTGCCTCGAGTACGCCCTGTACCAGCGCGAGCTCGAAGAGGTCGGCGCAGCTCTGGAGGAGATCGAGGAGGAGCGCAGGGGCGAGCTGCACAGCGCCAACATCCGCCGCGAGCAGTACACCGACCGCGAGAAGCAAGTGCAGGTGAGCCTTCCCTCCTTTTATGCGCAAGCGATCCGTCAAACGTATGTATGCGCCCTTCCTTCGCCCCCATAGAATCTCGAACGCTCCATCGCGCAGCTCCGCACGACGGTTACCACCCTCAACCTCACCCGCCAAGGCACCCAATCCGAACTCACCGACCTCATTCGGGCCCGCACCGAGCTCGAGTGCACGATCGCGGACCTACAGCTCGCCGCCCAGCGGGCAGGCGGGCGGCGCACCGTGCTCGAGGACGAGCTCGCCGCCGTAGAGGCGACCATCGCCGCCAAGGAGGCCGAGCTCACCGCGCTCGCGCCGGAGTGGGAGCGCGTCCGTGCGGCGGAGAGCGCGGAGCGACGGCTGCTCGACGAGGCGCGGGCGCGCCTGGAGGCCCTGTACGCGAAGCGTGGTAGGCTGGACAAGTTCCGCACGAAGGCGGAGCGCGACAAATATCTGAGGGCCGAGATTGCGAGCATGCAGCAGTTCCGGAGAACGCAGGCGGCGGCGCTCTCGGGGCTTGAGCAGGAGCTAACGAGCGCGAGGCAGTCGTTCGAGGAGGTGAACAGGAGCATCGACGACACGCAGGCGAAGGCGGAGGACGCGAGGAATCAGGTGCGCGAGCTGGGGGAGCAGATTGCGAGGCTCAAGGATGAGCAGGCGGAGAAGACGGAGCGGAGGAAGGAGCTGTGGCGGGAGGACTCGAAGCTGGAGTCGCTCGTGACGCATGCGGCGGAAGAGCTGCGAGGGGCGGAAAGGACACTTGCGAGTATGATGGACAAGGTGCGTGAGTTCTGACATCTGTGCCACCTCTCGCTCACGCAGCGCGTTGAAGGACACCGGCAATGGCCTGCGTTCCATTGACCGCATTGTCGCGCATATGCCGAATTTTGAAGGTGTCTACGGACCCTTGTATCGTCTGTTTGAGATCACAGACGACAAGTTCAACATCGCCGTCGAGCTCACCGCAGGCAATAGGTCAGTCCGTTAGTCAACGTCACCCGACTCTTGTTCTGACAACAAGTTTCAGCTTGTTCCACGTTGTTGTCGATACCGACGACACGGCCTCACGTTTGGTCAAGATCATGATGCAAGAGAAGAATGGCCGGATCACCTTCATGCCCCTCAACCGCCTCAAACCCAAAGTCCCGCCCTCGCCAAACGCGCAAGACGCGATCCCGCTCCTCGACAAGCTCCGCTTCGACCCCAAGCACGCCAAGGCCTTCCAGCAAGTGTTCGGCAAGACCTGCGTCTGCCGCGACCTCACCATCGCCGCGGCGTACGTGAAGTCGCACGGGATCAACACCATCACCCTCGACGGCGACAAGGTCGACCGCAAGGGCGCGCTTACCGGCGGCTACCACGACGTCCGCCGCTCGCGCATCGACGCGATCCGCAACGTCACCACCTGGCGCGCCAAGCACGCGGAGCATGACGCACGCCTGCTCGAGGTCAAGGCCACGATCGCGGCACTCGAGCAGGAAATCACGAGGGGCACGGGCGAGCTGCAGAAGCTCGCCGCGCGGCAGGCCCAGGCGCGCGCGGTGCGCGAGAACGTCGCGGAGGAGGTCGCGACGCTTGGGAAGGAGAAGGAGCGCCACGCGGCACGGGTCGCGCGGTTGGAGGGGGAGATTGAGGAGCTGAGGTCTGAGCTGAGCGGTTTGGACGCGAGGATCGAGGGCTTCCAGACGGAGCTGCGGAGCCCGATGGCGCAGAACTTGACGGGCGAGGAGGAGGACCTGATCGAGACGCTTGGGCGGGAGGTCGAGCAGCGCCAGAGAAACCTGGTCGAGCTCGGGAAGCAGAAGAACCAGGTAAGTATCGTCATCACTGGGGATATGCTCTCGACTCGCGGCTGACAATAGGAACCTTAGGTTGGAGGCAGCAAGAACATCCTCGAGATAGAGCTGAATGAGGGCTTGGTTCGGCGTCGTGAAGAACTGCGGCTCAAGATCGAGGGTCTCGGCGCGTCGGAAGCTGGTGATACAGACTCTGAAGACGCCTTGGAATCCAAGACTCGTGAGCGCAAGGCGCTCAACAACTCTATCGAGTCCTTGCAGAAGAAGATTCAAGGTGAGTCGCTTGCTCCATGTATGCCACCGTGAAGCTCACACCGCCTCTAGAAACCGAGAAGGAGCTTGAAAAAACTAGTACCCAACTTCAGGAGCAGCGCCAAAAACTGGAGTCGATTCAGAGCCAACAGGCCGAGGACGTCCGTGGGATCTCCAAGCAGCAGAAGAACACCGAGCGGTATTTAGCGAAGCGTCAGATGCTGCTGAACCGCAAGGATGACTGCAATCGCAACATCCGTGACCTCGGTGTTCTGCCGGAGGAGGCGTTTGAAAAGTACACCAACGAGAAAGTCGACCGAGTACGTTTGCATCTGTGTATCACTTCGCTGAGAACCCTGTTCATCCCGGTCCCCCATCACAGCTCATGAAGAAGCTGCACAACGTGAACGAGGGTCTCAAGAAGTTTGCTCACGTCAACAAGAAGGCCTTTGAACAGTACAACAACTTCACGAAGCAGCGTGATCAGCTGATTCAGCGCCGAGAAGACCTCGACAAGTCGGCCGAGTCGATCGAGGAACTTGTCGAAGTACTCGACCAGCGCAAGGATGAGGCTATCGAACGAACGTTCAAGCAGGTCGCAAGCAACTTTGAAGAGGTCTTCGAGAAGCTTGTTCCAGCGGGACGCGGACGACTCGTCATCCAACGACGTATCGACCAAGTATGTCCGCGCATGCTTTCAAATCCCCCTACTGACAAGTTTGATAGGACGAGGAGGATGCTGAAGAAGCGGATGAGACGCAACAGAGCACTATTGACAATTACACAGGCGTTTCAATTCGAGTACGTACCCCGCTCGATATCTATCAACGCAGGCTGACTGCCTTTCAAAGGTATCATTCAACTCCAAAGTGGACGAAGGCTTGCGGATACAACAACTGTCTGGTGGACAGAAGTCTTTGGTGGCTCTTGCGACAGGTGGGCTGGTTCTACCTGATGAGCTACCTCAGGCTCATGCTCTTCGCAGTGTTTGCTATTCAGAAGTGTGATCCCGCACCTTTTTACCTGTTCGATGAGGTAGGCCAAGCGATCCTTGACCTCGAAGATTTTTCTGACGATAACTCCAGATCGATGCCAATCTCGACGCCCAATACCGGACGGCGGTAGCTGGTACGTCTTATGCGATCGCCATGAACAATCTCATCAGTGCTGACGGAGTGCTCCTAGCCATGATACACGATCTATCCGCGACGGCCCAATTCATTACGACGACTTTCCGCCCGGAGATGTTGAACACCGCAGACAAATTCTACGGAGTCTTATTCAATAACCAGAAGGTCAGCACCATTCGGTCCATCAGGCGGGAGGAGGCCATGGAGTTTGTGGAACAGGTACGCAAGACACCCATTGACATTGTGGCATCCTCCGAATATCTCACGTTGCTTCCAGGAAGCGCAAGCGCAATGATATCCAAGTTCGTCGTTCGCTGAGCTGTACGTCTCACCTTCGGTTTGCTTTCCTTGCTATCGTTACGCCATCTGTACCAAGAGCATCTGTATCTGTATGCCTGTTGATTTTACGCACTTGTAGGGCTTTTGAAGCTCCCGAATGAGCTAATGTGCAAAATAGTCCGCTGAAGATCAAGGCATAGAGAGCGCTTGGAATCAGGCGTCACGCTTAAGCAAGTTGGCCTGTGCGTGGGAACGCTTCGCAAGGCCCATAAAAGTGCTGTTCTGCTGTCTGCAATCCTCAGACGATTCTTCCACGATCATTCACGCCTATGACGAGAACTTAAGCAGCGAGATGAGCACGGCGGTCTTCGGGCTGCCGGCGTTGACATCGCTCGTTCGGCTATCCACCTTGTTACGTTCAAAGGGACGGGCAGTTCAAGAGCTGAGGCGTCTTCGTCTGGAGGAATACGTGTTCTTGACATGTATATGTATACCTCAGTGTGCGCAGTAGAAATGTCAGTTTGGTGTTTATGCCATAATTTTGTGACAATGCTACGGAGTAGTGGGCGTCGACGCATGTTACACCAAGAGTAGAACGTGTACATCATCGATAGCCTCGTTCACGCCGCCGTCTCATCAATGTCCACACACCGCGAATACGGCAGCAAGTGGTGCATATAAAAGTATAGTCAAAGGGCTAGTGTATCCTGGTGTGGTTTGCAAGGACCCACCAAAGCAAGTACCTTTCGCCAGCTTGAAGCTTGAAGTCCCGCAGTTGGTCGGCATCGGCTAAGTACATACGTCCGAGAGTTGCCTATGGTGTTGATGCTAATGGAATGAGTTCAAGAAGTAGCTCGAGACGGGACACAGCCAAAGCACACAGGATACGTACTCTTTGACTGCATGTCGAGCGAGAACGACTTCAACCCTGCTCCAAGAGATTAGATTAGATTGAGCTGCTGACGTCGTGTCCGCTCTCAGCCGCATTGGCACTGACGCTGCCTGCGCATTACTGGCGTCCTTCCTGCCACCCCACTTCCTGCATCCACATCTTCTTCCAAGTAGTACGGAACTGTAGCGGAAGGGCACTCTGATTGCGTGATACTGGTAAGTGCATCTGTGATTATTCTGGGATTGCACTTCATGCGATTAGTAGCAGGTTCTCAAGCGAACTCATCATCCTCAAGGATGCCTCAAGTGTCGCGTTCGCCTAAAAGAAAACGCGTCAGGAGATACTTCTCTGCGTCCGCAGCCACTGGCTTACGTTGGAATCCTAACCTCTACGCCGCGTCAGCAAGTTCATCCACCACCAAGAGGCGTAAACGCGGATTATCCGTGTCTAGTGACGAGACATATGAATTCTCTCCGAGCCATACTCGCAACGATTCCCACTCAGATGAAGACGCTACCTTCAGGTACTCCGCAGCTTACAGCTCTTCTGCTGCTCACGACCATGAACCCCAAACTCCTGAGGGCCCACGAGCCCCCCTAGCGTACGCCTCGCTCCCTCCAACGCCCATTTCTCCATCTCCTCCCCTTCAGCCAACCTCCCCCTTGTCTGCCCCCTTGCCCTCTTTTCTGAGCATTGACTCCGTATATGAACCTCCATTCTCACTATGGGACTATTTGCGTGAAGAGCTGCTGGCTACGGACTTCGACTCACATCAGGAGTTGAAGTGGGAACGAGTGAGCAACTTCCTAAGCATGCCTATTGCCCTCGAGAAGGTCAGTTACCCATACGTCATCACATGTGCATTCATCTGTTCAAACCAGCACATCTGCAGATATTTCTGTTCGGGTTCATCGTTTGCCTCGACTCGTTCATATACACCTTCACCATCCTTCCTATACGGTTCATCCTAGCGTTCTGGCGGCTGCTCCTCAACACTTTCTCGCGAAGTGCTCTATCTCTTCCTCCATCTCAGAAGGCCGACATCCTTCGCGCCTTCCTCCTTGTCATCTCTATAATCATTCTAGCGCCACTAACGGATGCGAGCAAGCTGTATCATTTCATTCGAGGGCAAGACACGATCAAACTGTATGTGATCTTCAACGCACTCGAAGTAGGTGCCCAATCCTGGTTTATGATCCATTATAAGTCTCAATACCGCAATAACCCACCAGATCGCTGACCGTTTGTGCGCGTCGATTGGCCAAGACATCATTGATTGTTTGTTCTCCCGCTCGACTCTGGAATACATATCACATAGGAAGAGGCCTACGTCGCACACACTACGTCCGTTCTTCTACTTCTTACTTGCTGTCGTCTACACAGGTAATTCACGGCATTTGGTAGAAATCCACCATCTGACCTTGCGCAGTTGCACACGCACTCGTTATGATCTATCAGATGATTTCCCTAAACGTTGCAGTGAACTCTTACGACCATGCACTCTTGACGTTGCTGGTCTCCAATCAGTTCGTCGAGATCAAGGGTAGTGTTTTCAAAAAGTTCGAGAAGGACAATCTCTTCCAGATAACCTGCGCAGGTATGTCGCTGCTTGATGCATACCGGCGATCTCTCAGGAACGTGCTGCTCATACATCGATGCAGACATAGTCGAGCGCTTTACCCTTGCCTTGATGCTACTCGTTGTCGCCTTTCGTAACTTGATAGAACTCTCGGGCTCTACTTTTAACTTCAACGAAGGCTTCGCGTTACCAAAGAGCTTCGGTTGGTTCCGTGGCAACAACGTCTTGTGGACGATATCCTACGTTAGTTTCTGAATGGCTCCTTGAATCCTGTCACACTAACATCAGTATACCTCACAGCCGGTCCTGACCGTGATGGCATCCGAAACGCTAGTAGACTGGTTGAAGCATGCCTTCATCACGAAGTTCAACCACATTCGCCCCTCCGTGTACGAACGCTACACGGATGTTCTATGTCGTGACCTTGCCAGCGGAAGCGCCGTTGGCCGACGCGGAGCGCAGAAGGTGATTCCACTGACACTCCTTACCGGCGAGTCAACTCACGTGTTCGGTGCAGCATACGTATGTCGACCAATCTCCTCTTGTTGCTCGGCGACTGGGCTTTGCCTCGTTGCCTCTCGCGGTCCTCGCGGTCCTCATCGGCTCGCAATCTGTCGGCCTCCTCATCTCGATGCACGCGGAGGAGTCTCCTCTTTGGACTCGGTCGTGGCAGGAGTACACGCAGAATGACTGGACCAACATAGCAAAGTGGAGCGCGATCGCATTCCTGTGTTGGGGCTGGTGAGCCTCTTGCGGTTCCTTATGTTCACTAAAGATGCTGAAGGGTGCCATGGCGACAGCTTGTTGGTTATCAAGATCATCCTAGGGGTGCACCTGCTAACGTACGCCACGCGCCGACGTGCGGGCATGGAGGCGCGCGAGGAGGCGGATCGGGTGAACGATTTCGGGCGCGATCCCATCGGCGAGGGCAAGGAGGAGCAGGTACGTCGTGAACGCTCGCTTTGTCCCACCCCGTCTTATGCGGGTCTATCTCTTTGCAGAGGTACAATAAAGAGCTCAAGACATTGCTGGACAATAAGCGCGACGATGCGAGCCCTGTTGCTGAGATTGGCGAGCGGAAACCTGGAGAGGGTGACAAGGATGGGGGGAAGAGGAAGAAGTTACCTTTGGAAGAAATCACGAGATTCACGATGGTTAAACGTATATGGTGATGTCCTCTGTTGTCTTGTTGGCGCACAATGCTACACTACAGCACATGCGCCATTGGAGACCTGGTAGCCCTGCCAGCGGATATCAGACACTCCCAACATGCGGAACGCAGCCGGGGTTCAAGTACAAGTACGAATCATAATCATATTGGAATTCAACATTACAGGATATCTATGGAAAGGTAACGGTGAAGTAGGTGAGCTAGAATGTGTGCGTGATAACGGAGCCTATGGATACAGCAACGAGACAAGTCATGAGTAATTTGAGGTTGAGAGTGAGAGACATTCTACAAAGAGTGTGTGCGCCGGACCTGGGCGATAAGGTGTTCTAGCAATAGATATAGTGATACAGTGGTAACGTCGAAGTCGAAGGCGTGTCGTAAGCCGTGGACATGATGGGCGTGCATCGATTAACGATCGTCGCAGAATATGATCTCGTAGCTGAGGGGAAAGGCGATAATGGAAACCAATAGGCGAAGTAAGGAACGAACGGATGTGTATGTATGCTGTATGCTTTTAAGTTGCTGCTGGACGACCGAGAGTGCGTGCAAGGACGCAAAGGACAGAAGGAAACGGCGCTCAGATCCGGGAATTGTACTTGTTTTCCTTCGTCTGGCTGGAATGTTTGCGTATACAGAGCGGCCGCACCGACTCCGGCTCGGCAACCGCCTGTGCGACCTGCTGCTGCTGATACGCGTACTCCTCGCTCTTCCACGGATTGGTGCGAGACAGCCTCTCGACATACCTCTCCTCCGCGAGCCGCCGCTCGTACTCGCTCCGACTCTCATACACCTTGGTCGGCTCAGGCGGGTCGTCGTCGAACATGAACGGCGCGATGACGACCTCGCCCTCGTACGAGAGCGGGCGGTCCTGAGCGGGAGGGGTGGCGGCCATCTGCACAGGCCGCGAGGCGGGGGAGTCCCGCACGCGCAGCGAGCCCTGCACCTTGGCGATCATCCCCGAGCCTGCAACGGGTGCCGTGGGGATCAGCATGCCCCTGGCCTCTCCGGTGCGCGCCCTCTCTGTCGGACGCCCGGTCGGACGCGTGCTGCGGTCGGGGACGGCGGAGCCGCGCGAGTGGAAGATGGAGTCGCCGTCGTCAGGCCGGACGTCGCGCGGGACGTCCATCGCGCTCGGCCGCCTCTTCCAGAGCAGATCGGGCAGAGGCTCGCCGGGACGCGGGGGAGGGGGCCCGTCGGCGCCGGCAACGGACGGGGGATGGAACGCTGCCGCACACCACCCAGCGGAGAGGCCCTATACGCAGGCGCATCGTTTCTGGCCGCTACGCGTCCGCGCCGGGATGCGTTCTCGTCCGGGCGCCCGTGCTGCCCGTTGCGCTCATCTTCCCGACGACGAGGCTCAGCCTGCCGGTGAGCGCGGGTGGCGGCGCGGAGCGTCACGTCGGCCGAGGAGGGGGTACGGCGGAGGGATTGGGTCGGCTGCGGTTGCTTTTGGATGGAGCCGGTGGTCGCGGAAACGTCGATGCCAAAGCCTCCACGGTCGTGTCGTACGCGCTCGTCCAACGTTGCCTGGCGTCGAGGGGTCGGAACGACCCTAGTGACCCCCGAGGTACCGTCAGGCGCGGACTTGACAGACATGTCTCGAGTGAGGCCCGGACGGTGGTGCCCGTTGTTGTTCCTTCGCGGCGACTGATGAATGGTGTGGCCAGTAGGAGGCGCAATAGCAAAGGGGGAGAACACCTTCTGCATCACGTAATCCTTCGGCGGGACGGGTGGCCCCACCTCCGAGTCGTCGTCGCGGACCCCCCGGCGAACGGTTGGCTGGTGGCGCGAGGGACCAGGACTGGGTGCGGCTGCGGCCGGGCGGGCGGACTCCTTGCTGCGCCTCATCGCCTCGCGCTGCCTCCTGTCCTCAGAGACCAGAAGGGCGGGGGACGGAGCGAGCCCAGTAATCCCATGACGGAGCATGCTCGCGAGCGGATCGTGCCCCTCCGGGCGGTCGGGCTTGACAGGCCGCGTCGGCTTCGCGGTCTTCGCGCCCCTCTCCGTCTTCCTCCCGCGGCTGGTCCGCATCTCGAGGACGTCGGTGTCCGCGCTCCAGCGGGACTGGAGCTGGGGGCTCTCGGGCTCGGTGGCGATCGTCGCGCCCCCGACCCAGAGGTTGAGGGTGGAGCTGGACGCGTTGATCCCCGGGAAGGGCCGGATGTCGTCCTTGGAGATGTTGCGGTGCCGCAGGGAGAGCGTCCGATGGAGCCCAGATTCTGAAGACTTTACGCGCTTGTGATTGCTCCCGTAGTAGTCGAGCGAGGAGTCGTCTTGGGTGCGCTGGGGCCTGGGCCTGTACGCTAGCACAGGCGCGATCGCTCCTCTGTGTGGTTAGGAGGGCGGCATGTGTGGTGGAGGGCGAGAGACAGGTTAGCCGACTTATGCGGAAACGAGTGGGAGTGGCTACTGACCTGACGGCGTCCGACAGCCTCCGCGCGCGCTCTATGGCCGATACAGATAGGCTTCGCTTCATGATGGGTATGTGTGTTGACGTTGGGTATAAGTGGTGCGGGTAGTCTGTAGGGGATCGGTGGTGGAGGCGTCCGAGAAACGAAATAACCTAGGGTTGAGAATCGAATGGGGGAGGCTTATATCCCAAGGCAGCTGGACGCTTTGCTCTCAGAACCACGACAGCGGGGGCGAGTGCCAGCCAGAAGGGCGAAATCAGGGACGAACCTACAGGGACTTCTCAAGCGGACCAAAGCGGGAGCTCCTGTCGAAACAGAACAGTTGGAACACAGCGCAACGCGAGGGCCGGACGTGGCCTCTGCTTTAAGGCCTGCCACGGTCTTTAGCTGATCATTATCCTATTGGAACATGGGGAGGCCAAAGGCGGGCTATTGTGCATAATGTGCAGGCAGCGTACGGACGGTTGAAAGCGGGCAGGGTGCTTAGGCCGTCAAAGCGGCCGCATCCCAGATTAAGAGAAGAATAGTTCGCTAGCTTCACGCAACCGCGCTGGGCGGCTACGAAAGACACAAAGCACATTGTCAGGGGCGCACCACATTCGGAGATGAAGTGAAGTGAAGGGCGCACCGTAATTCACATCCTCTTCTCCTGCTGTTGTGTACACTCTTGCGCGGTCATGAACGTCCGTGTAAAGTCGAACTTTCAACGCATATATGGAGGGCTTTCTGACTCCAGTATTCCAAGCGGTACCACTGGCAGAGACCTCACAAGACTAGATCGAGATACGTGCCACAGGCCCGGCAAACAGATAGAGCACCGGTTGCAGGAGATCAAAGAAAGTTGTATGACAAAGCTTGCCGCGTAGAGTAGCAGGTGCGACGGCACTTGCCTCTGGTTGTTGGAGATAGCAAAGGGGGGATAGCTTTTCCGCTGCTGCTCACTGAATGCGCTGCAGCGCACGGGGTATGCACACGGAACATGCCTCGCAATCCCAGGATCTGCGTGCAGGTTGCCGAGCGGCGTTAACCTTCACAGCGCAGCGTATACGCAGCAATTCATTTGCACATGTAACTCACTGGCTATCTACCGCGAAGGCGGTTGAGAGCGAGCGCGGACCTGCGCGTGCAGAGCGATATAACGCGATGCTGTATTGTCGCCAGCCCTGCCAAGCAGGCTAAGGCACAGCCTGGCCGGAGAAAACATTCAAGTCAATGGTGCGCAGCAGCCTCACATATCATTCGAGTGGCCGACGTGAGTACTTGATCCGCAAGAACCGCCTACGATAGTACGCTGTACAGCATTCCGCAACCCGTAAGGTAGGGAGGCAGTGAGGATATCCGTATCTTGTACGCACAGCCCACTCATGCATGCACGACTCTAGAGTGATTAGTTCCTGCGAGCGCTGTACGGTGCGTATGTGTCCGGATGATGCTCGGCGGGCCGACGGAGGCAGTCTGTGGGAGGCTGACGGGGGAAAGAGCGCGTGCTGTCGAGGGAGAGTGGGGCTGGGACGTGGAAACTGACGTGGAGACGGCCCAAGGCAGCGAGCAGGGGCAGCGAGCAGGGGCAGCGAGTAGGGGCAGCGAGCAGGGGCAGCGAGCAGGGGGCGCACAGGCTGAGCATGATTGGACGGCGCAGCAGGTTCCTGTGAGGTCAGGAATTCTCACGGCCAATCCACCGGCGTCTGCCTGGCGTTGAGTGGGGTGTGACGTATATGGAAGGAGCCACGAGAGGTTCGCTGCCCTGACGTCAGCGCGGCTACCCTCTTAAAAGTGGCCTATTCCTCGCACACGGTCCACAGTCAACTCTCCTCCCGACTCCTCGCAACTCGTGCGTGTCTCATCTCCGAGCTCCTCATCTTCAACCCATTTTGATAACCTTTCTAGCAGCCCCGCCCTCAACTCACGACCGCTTACGACAATCCACAATGGCCGCCGGCGCTGCTGTCCCAGGCCTCTTCTGCGCCTTCGCCGCAATGGTTCTCTTGATCTTTGTACGTGTTGCACATCGTCCTCCTATCGCGCTCTGAGCTCATTCTCCGTCGCTTCAGGCATCAGTCTCAGCACCAACATGGGAACGGATCTCATTCCTTAACGCCCCTACAGGCGGAACGACGACACACTTTGGTGTGTTCGGCTTCACTGGGTCAAAAGCACACGTGGGATGGTTCTTCCCAAGTGGCCTTGGGTGCGCCTTCACAGCTATCGTTGTTGCCTCTACATACTGACATTGCGCTACAGTGACAGCAAGTTAGACGACGGTCTATTCCACAACCTCACCTTCACCCTTATTCTCATACCCATCGGTACGTCGAAACATGATAATATAGTTCATGACGCTACAAACCTGACACGTGACTCCAGCCGCCGGTCTCTCTGCTCTTGCCGTCCTCTTCGGTCTCTGCGGTGCTGCATACCACCGTGCGGGCACCGTCCTCATGACCCTCGTCAGTGCGCTTGCCTTCCTCGTCACGCTCGTCGCATGGGTGCTCGAGATGGTGCTCTTCGGTATTGCCCGCGATCACATGCGCAACCGCAACATCAACGCAACTTGGGGCAACGCCAACTGGATGGTCCTTGGCGCACTCGTGGCTCTCTTCATTGCCTTCTTGGCGAGCCTGGGCGGTTCGTTTGGCCGCTACAGCACTCGTAGGACGTATTAAACCATCTCCCCGCGGACCGTTTGCACGATTTATCAAATTTAAGTCGACACTATCTACCTCTTTGCCACGTCGATCTTGCCTTCGAATTTTGCTGCTATGCGATGAATCTGTACCACCACCGACTGTCCTGTACGCACCCGCCTCGATGCCATACAATACCTCCTTGATTCCCCTTACGCCTCGAGCACTGCTGTATTGTAGACCAGACATTCTCGTTCCTTGTTGGGGTCGTACCCCGGGAATTTCGCGCTATGCTACCTCATGTGTATTGATACAACTCCTCTTAATGGATATATCCTACACTTCTGTTCCACGGCGAGCTTCATATTCTTCCTCACAACTGAAGACTACCATCCAGCATTACAGTTTTGGGCAGTCATTCGCTCATCGTTTCGTATCTGGGCCAGTCCTGTTCGGGACCTCGGGCCGCCTTCCGTTGGCCCAACTTGGTGCGGGCCTCCGAGAGCGTGCGCTGTTTCCGACCAAATATTGTTCCACCTTCAGTGACACCTACGTTGATTCGACATACATATTGTCTCTAGCGCAGCTCGTGCGTCCATTATTGGGGCACTGACTGTACTTGATGACCATCTACTCGACGAGTAGAAAGGACAGGTGAGCACATTTGACGAGGACCCGCCAGCCTTGATGGCCTCCCTTACCCTAGTCTGGTGAACACGATCCACGCCCAGCATTTACAGCATTCAGGACTATGGCTGCGAAGAGAACAGTCAACCTGAAGCATGCCCTTTCGCGGTCGTGCTCATTCATTGCCGAGCGCTGCTCGCCATGCCCCCTCTCTAAGGCCGAAATTCTGTCCCGTTCGTGATATACCGTCTTTGCAGGAAAAGCTCTCGTAACCTGACCGTGATTCTGACCCCGAAACTTCCAGGCGAGCGATACGGGCTCAAGCTCCATATTAGAAGCCGTTCTCTGTTAGATATGTTGCTGACCGCCCCAACTTGCCTGTAGGGTCGTTGTCGTCTTCTTCCTGGAGCCTGGGCAGCGCGAACGCCTGAAGCCGCTACGCAGCACGTCTACAACTCCAAATCTGCCAGTGCATGCGCAGAGCGCGCACGCGGTGCGGCTCGTATCAGCCGGGCGGGACCTCGCGCGCGGTCCGCTGCCTTCTGCTGCGGTCCACGATCCCGCCGTCCGCGACGACGACTGGGAAAGCGCCAATGCCGCCAGGCTCAACCCAACCCGGGGCGCACTCACGCTCGTCACCGGCCTCGCGTCCGACAGCAAAACCTAGTGACCTTCGTGGGCGAGCCGCCGCCAGTCGTTTCGCTGGCTCTGCTACACGCCTCCCGGTGCCGCGGCGGCCGAGAACGCGAGCGCGCGCCGGAGCGTGGTGGCTTTGCATGACGCGCGAGCGGGAGCAGGAGCAGAAGCTGTACCAGATCGCGGGGATCGTCCTCTCCGTCGCGTTTGTCTCCGCGATCGCAACCTCGCTGGGGTCGGGAGCGGTGTACGCGCAGGGGCTGTCTGGGTAGGACAACGACCTCGCAGCGCGGACGATCCGCCTGACGTTCGCCAGGCTCACAAACGTTGGCTACAGCGTCCCCGCGTCGCTCTGCGTTCGTCCTCACGGCGGCGGCGGGGCCCTCGGCTGGGATTTGCCTTCCCAAAGTTCCCACTCCATTACAGCAGCCGCTAACGATGAGTGTTTAGCTTAGGTACATTGGCTGCGGCCTGGGACTGTTGCTGATCTTGTTGGTGCATATTCGCCTATCAGGCGTGGGCGAGGGTGAGGGGGCCTGCGGTGGGACACGCTTCCGTGAGGATTGTCTCCTAGATCCGCAGCCTCTTGGTTAGTGTCGTCTGACCCCATTGGGTACCCATACGACTAGGCTTACTGAGGGTAGTGGTGGTGCATCATACAGACTGCCATGGAAATGTTCCGTCCTGACTTAGAAAGCGTCCATGCCCCGAGTCTCTCCAGTGACAATTACGTAAACGACCCATTCCCAATATGTGTCACCCCAATCTTCTTGCAGCGAAGCAGACGGCAGATACACACAGTCAGGCATTCCTAGTCCGTCACTCTACTCAAAGATGAATCTGAACGACTTTGATCGGAAATGACTTCGGGTGCTGCAACACTTGTTCACATCACGTGCCATTGACGTTGCCCAAGCATACTTACCTACGTACACCGGCAGCCTTCCTTCATCCCTACCAGGTGGCAAAGGTCGCAGTCGCATTTGTTGAGGTGAGTCGCTACTCCGAATATGTCCATACTTGACTAAAGTCGTTTGGGCAAGTGAAACGCTTCGTTCCCCTCGTACACGTTCAGGAGGCAACGCGCAATGGCAGCTGAGCGCCGATTCATTGGTGAACAGATGAACCGCGAAATTGCGGCGGTGTCTTTTGAATCCTTCATCGAGCACTATGCTCCTTTCCAACCCTCCAGTGAGGTCGTCGATAAATGTCTCGAGCGATTACGCACGGATGGCCTCGTCGTGCCTACGACGGCAGGGGTGGATCGGTTCGCCGGATTCCAGGAGCCGCCATCGCGACAGTATACATCGAGGAAGGTTGCATATGGTCACCTGTCCGCTATATGCCGTAGCATTCTCAGGTCGCCGTGGACGACAGAGTGGTCAGTTGTTCCTTGGTTCAAGAACCCGACATCACGACCGGTTCGCAAAAATCGGAGGCGTCTCACGCGATAGGTGCCACCGCCAACCCCCCCCCCGAAGAGGACAGGGAGGATACTGCCGATATTGCCGTCAATTGTGATTGGATGCTGCCGGAGAGCGACGATGATCCCGTACTACGTAAAGGTGATGCCATTCATAGTCGTTTGAACGCAGTGTCCGCTGCTCTTCATTAGATGAATAATGACCCTCGATGGACGCCTATATACAGTGTATGTGCAGTCTCTTGACTTCCTCACCAAGACATGTGATCTTACAATCTGTCCAGGTAACCATCGAAGACGAAGCGATGTGTTTCTGGTACTGGTCGCGGTCCCATTCAGCAAAATCGGAAGCAGTCGATATCACAAAAGTACGAGCGTTTGCAGTTCTTGACGCCTTGATACACTGACACTTTGTAGGATGTACGTGCGACTATACGCGGCCTCGTTTGCTTCTTATTTGCAAGCATGCCAGAACTTGGTTACGATAAGACCGTCCAACGCCGCTTCGACCCGGCGCTGGGAGGCTATTGCTTCATCTTCCTCGTGCGAGACAGTTACTTCAAGGTGCTTCGCAGCATCCCTGAGCATCTAGGTCCCTGCACTATAGCGGGGCCCTCTACGCGGGTCTTCGAGGTCATCAAGGTCCCTAGTTTCGACAATATCACCGCCACTACGGAATCAGCTGCATCGCCTATGGTCTTGAAGGACGTGTAAGAGCGAGAGGGAGATACAGAACGCCATCTTCGAACGACTCTCAAGGATTTGGCGCTCAGGCTGCAGGACGGTCAAGACCCCCCTCAACTTATCGGTTTGAATGATGCCGAGAAAGAGCTCCTCCGCAACGCTCTGCGTGATGATAATTACAGGGAGTACTTCCTTGCCATCGATTGCGACATGCAAGGAGTGCAATCGAAGTCACTTGCCCCCAAGGCATGGTGCAACGATGTTTTCTCTTTCTGGGACTCTTCATCGGACAAAATTCGGCAACTCTACGCGGTACCTCCGCCAGCTGATAGCGCCCGTTCCTCCTCCCCACGGGCCAATTCACGGTCTTTCGTTGCCAAGCGTCAGTATCGCGTTGTGTTCAAGAAAGTCTGCCAGGCGCTGCACCGTGTGGGTGATTCTGGGACCGTGTTCAAAGCTTTGAAGGACTGCCTCCTTGGTAAGAGGCCCAGGACGTCGCGTGTCGTCTAAAGTTGACGCATACTTCGATGTGCAGCCGTTCAGCTTCTGTTCCTTATCGGCTGGGTCCACCGCGACATCAGCTCCGGCAACTTGCTCTGGGATCCCAAATCGAAGAGAGGCGTCCTGAGCGACCTATGTAGATTATGCCAAGGAGTTCGACGCTAAAGGCACCCGTAGTTCTGATCCGAAGATTGTGCGTACTGCTTTGTCCGGTTGTTGTTGCGGCCGGCTGATTTGGTATGCATCTCTAGGGCACTCCGGCTTTCATGGCAACAGAAATCTTAAGCCAAGAGCTCATCCTGTTCTCTAATTCAAGCGTCAGCTCGAAGGATAAGGAAGCAGCTAGGGGCGAGCCTATTATTCACAACTTTCAGCACGACCTCGAGTCCTTCTGGCTCCTCCTCTGGATACTCACTACGCGCCTCCCCACGTGCACTCCGGGCTTCGACCTGAAGATCTATACAGATCAGCTGTTCCTAGTCCGTGGACTTTTCTACATATGGCCGGACAGACTGAATCCGTATCGAAACATGACGATCGGCCTCGATGTTCGACGCTACCTTCCCGACGACATGAAGGTCTTCGCAGACTGTATACAGAGCTTGAACGAAGCGTTGTATGATGCGTCCATCAATAGGCTTCTCGATTTCGGCAACACCGCCAGCTATGCCCCTCTGTATGGTTAGGTGCAGGAGGCCTTGAACTACTGTATCACAAAATCCCATCTAGTGCAGCTCGCAGCAGCGAAGCATAAAGAACCTCCGAAGCGCAAACGACTCGATTCCACGTAGCCTGTCCGCGTGTCACCACACCTTGTGTCCTTGGCCGCACGCGATAGCAACGATCAGGTATAACCCGTGCGTTCCCTTGGGTCAGTGGGTTCCGCGCTATATCTACGCTCTCCAATTAGTTGATTAGTGTACCACAGCCCCCCCTATCCCCAATGAACTGCCCATGTCTTAGATTCTTCCTGCTTCTGCCTGAGGAGTGCTGCATGCGAACGATCAGAAGGCTCGTGTGGCACCGGACAGTGGGACGTCTGGGGGCTTACCTTGAGGCCATTGATGACTTGGAGTGATTAGGGACTGCCGATGACAATGTACTCCATGGTTCCCAACAGCCTGGAGAACTCCGCCGCCATATGCTCCGACCGCATCGTGATTATAACTGGGACGGCATGTTCTCTGGAAGGTCCTCGTGGTTCAGTGATGACATGTAGACCAATAGTGAAGTGCACGTTGAGTACTACGAATGATAGCACCGTGGCTCGAGTGTTACCAAATTCCCTTCACTGGGCGCCGCCGTGCTTGGCATGGCGCCGAAGTAGTACGTGTCGGATTGAACCCCGTTTCCTGGGATACTTGATGGCACACCTCAGAACTAGGCGCATTCGACTATAACTTTCAGCGACTGTCTAGGGATACAAAGAGTAGGTATATGGGAGCAGCATGCAGATCGGGCTCCCCGCTCTACTGCCAGATCATCCAAAGGACTCCTCAATAAATAGCGTAAGTACGACCGGACCATCAATAATCATACGAAACGAGTGTGGGGGATCTTATGTTCACTGAACAGTGAAGCTGTGGAAGTCGGTTGATTAGTCCACGAAGGCACGGGACAAGAGAGGCTGTACTCACTAGGCCATATCGTCGAGGGTACCATGCTGAGCAACGGCGACGAGCGCAGGCTGGTGGTTGGCAGCAGTGTTGATGGACGCAATACGGTAGGTTCCAGCAGGGAGACCACCGGGGACCTCAACGGAGAGAATGCCGTTGCCATCAGCGGGGTTGTTGAGACCCTTGAAGAAGGCGAACGCGGTGGGGTCCGTGGGCGTGGTGCTGTCGAGCGCGGGGATGGCCTCAACCACAACGTGCGAGTGCCCCTTGATATTGCCTTGCGCGTTGATCTGCTGGGGGGCCGCGAAGTAGTTGTTGTTCGCGTTGACGAAGTTGCCGGTCTCGAGGTTCTTGATCGCCATCTGAATCGTGAAGTTCGTGTTCGCGGGCAGGGTCGCGCCGTTCTTGGGGTTCACGAACTTCGAGGACGGCATGTTGGCCGTCGAGGCGATGATGCCCATCGGCGCGGGGTTGCAGGAGCCGGTCTTGATCTGCTGCCCGTTCGTGATGGGCAGGTTGGGCACCGTCGCGCAGAAGTTGATGAAGTTGTTCGATGACGTGAGCGAGGCAACCTGGCCAGCCTCAGGTGTGGCCTGGCCGTCTTGCTCGAAGCCCGTCGCGATGACGGACTGGAGAAGCGTCAACGACGTCTGGGCATCCGCACCAGCAGCATTGCCACCGGCCGCGTTGTTACCGGCAGCGGCACTACTGGCAGCAGGAGGGGCAGCAGAAGAGGACGACGCCGGGGGCGGGGGTGCAGCGCTGCCAGCCGTCGCACCGGTCGCGGCAATGCGCGCATCACGGTCCGCTGCAGTGTCGCAGGTGATACTAGTACCGGGCGAGTTCACGAGAGGGAGGGCCGCGCAGCTGATGAGCAGATCATGTCACATGTCAGATGTTGGAGCTTGGGAAGCAATCATCAGGAACAGAACACATACACAGTTCCTCCTGCGCAAGGCTGGAGCACAAACTTGCCGCCCACGCATTGCGCGAACTGGTCATTCACGCAGGCCTGATCGCCCGCGTTACAAGGTGAGTCAGGGGTGAGCGTCGCGAACTTCTGGCTGGAGTAGCAAATCAGCACCACCAAGAATACGAGACGTGTAATTGTCCAGTATACGCACTTCAGAGCGATGGCATCCTGACCATTCTTGAGAGTGAAGTCCGCGCGGCGACCGAGGTACCTCGGCCTAGCCGACGCAGCAAGAGCCATGGAAAGAGCGACAATTACGGAGAACTTCATGGTGGTCGTAACGGTTTAGGCGGTCTACGCTATGAGGATAGGATGTCTGGATGTGGACCCCAGGTCACTGAAGAAAGTCGAAAGGCTGGCGATCGCAGACCGCTGGAAAGGGAAGACGTTCAGAAGAACGGAAGGACTGAACGAAGAATGAGTTTCGAGGATGTAGATCTTTATATACGCCTCCAACGTAGCCTTGCGGTGCACTGCCTTGTTTCTTGCCTTCGGGGTGTTACCATCAGGGGCGCTCTCTACTAGCTCCCGTATCCGAAGGTCTGTAGCGCCACATCGGCATGGCTAGCCGTTCTGAAAATTTGTCTCGACTTCATGCGCCCTGAGACTATTTTGCCCCTAAAGATGATCGCTAATAAGCGGCCGTGTGCCGTGATCATGCCTCTCAGTGTGAGGACGTTGTCGAGGCACATTGGCGAGCAAGCCGGACGGCTTCAGCACCAGCGGGGAACACCGGGGGGCATCGTTGTCCGTGAACACGATCATGTCCAGTATGATCCTACCGGAAAAGGATTGGCGTACCCATCATTCTGATCAAATAAGGGCCATGGATGAACGAGGGGTAAACGGAGCATACGGTAGCCGTGACGAGTCACAGAGGCAGTGACTGACCGCAGGTCGACCAGATGCCCAAAAGCTGTCTGGACGGCAACAAGCATGCGCTCGCGCTGCCGCAATACGGCACATACGAACTTTGAAACAATCTGTCATCCAGCATCGCCCCAAAATCTTCAGCGCAACCTGTCGCGTCTGGCAAAGTTATCCTAAACATAGACCAGCTAGGCGCTTAAGCAGGTAAATAAATTCCTCGGAAGAGACGTACCTGTTGTGCCGAAACCTCGTGCAGGAGTGTTGCACATGGGCATCGGAATGCAAAACCTCCCGTGCAAGCCATCGTTGCTCGACATCAAGAACGGGCCGGTTGGTATGTAGCAGACGGCAGATAACCGCAGCCCACTCAGGCTCAAGAAGCCGACTGGGCTATAAAACCGCTCAAACTGTTACAACGCTGGTATTAGTACTCGTGATGATGAGAGCTGGTCGAGTGTGTCGCCAGATGATGTTACCACATGTTTTCTGCACTATAATCACAGCCGTGTACGTCTCATCCTGCTTGGAAAACCTAGGAGGAACAAACATCAGGAGTCACTCCTCTCCTGAAATCAGAGTGGGTGCACAAATGTCTAATGGCCCAGAGGAAGAGCGGTACGGCCCGCACAAGTGCCGCGGGGTAGGCGAAACTAACGCGTTGGCAAGGAGACGAACCAGGTGCGCTACGCCTCCAGACGAGCGCATCGAGTGGTAGGATCGAATCATCAGCGTATCAGTACGACGTCTGATACGGTGACCGAATAGGCACAGGGAGGCAAGATGGGAGTGACGAAATGCCGCGAAGGCTGGGCATGACCATTGCCATTGAACGGATCTCCCTGAGTAACAGCACTGAGCGGGTGAACATTCGGCGTAGACATTGGCAAGTGGCAACGAACACAATCTCGAGTGATTGAGATTGGGTGAACATCGCGCGGCAGGCGACGGGCGTACCGTGGTTCCGGATCGGAACCTCATGTGCGTCTAAAGCATTCGGCGGGCGTAGCGTTGGCGATGAGTACTGAGTACTCAAGTTCCTGATGCATTACGCTTCGATTCATGCTTACACTTCTCCGCATACATATGAGCATTATTCCCTCTTGTTGCAGCAGAGCTATTAATCAGCTTGCTTCCCGCCCCCCCCCAGTGGATTTTGCCTTCGTTATCCACGGCCTGAGACGTCAAGAATGATGATCCAGGGGAGATGCGATGACGTGATTCATCCGTACTAGCTGCCACGAGGCAAGCCCAGACCAATACCGCGTCTGCTCTGCCACAAGGGATCTGAATCTTCGGGGTCCGGACCTCAGACTCAATAACTTTTCATGGTGGAAAGCAAGCTCTCCGTGGACTATTCATTATATCTCGTGACTGGAAGGGACCTTCTCCCCAATGGCAAGGTAGGGGAGCTTGTGCACTCGGAACATTTACCGATTGAAGCGATATCCATAGGACTACTTGGAATCCTTGGAAGAGGTAGAAACCTATGTTAAGAATAACTACACCTACCTGCTCATTCACTTTGAGCGCAGTCTATCCAGGGAGGTGTAACTTTGGTGCAAATTCGCGAAAAGCACGCAGACACAGGAGAGGTGAGAAGACGATCGGCGACTGTCTGTTCGCAGCTAGTAACTGCAGCTCCCGCAGTTCCTACAAATCGCGAGAGCATCCAAGGAGATATGCCGCAGGTACAACGTCCCAATCCTCATAAACGACCGTGTCGACATTGCGCTTGCGATCGGCGCAGATGGCGTCCATCTTGGCCAAACCGACATGCCAGTAGACGTTGCCCGCAAGCTGCTGCCGTCGACTGCAATCATCGGTATGACATGCAACACCGTTGAGCATGTCAAAAAAGCTGTCGAGGACGGCGTTGATTATGTCGGTATCGGACCCGTGTGGGCCACACAGACCAAGAAACTCACTAGCCCGGCGGTTGGCGTACGCGGTCTAGGACCACTGCTGGAAGCTCTCGAGGGTACGGATGTCAAGGCTGTGTCGATCGGTTGGTCCAAGAATTTATCGCATGAGGACGCTCGCTGATCAACTCGAAGCCGGCATCAAGTCGACCAATGCCCTCCACTGCCTGCATGGCGCCGTGTCTATTTATGGCCGTAGTTTGGACGGCCTGGCTGTTGTCAGCGATATTGTCGCGTCCACAGATCCCTACAATGCGGCGAAGAAGATCGCTGGAATTGTGCATGCCTTCAAGGCTAGTCCTCTCCCATGCTTCTCCACCTTCCCGCCGTCCTATGCGTCGGAGTCCGTGAAGCGTCAGGTCGGAGAGTTGCTATCCGCGGTGAAACGGTTCTCTCCTCTCGTACATCAGGTACGGCTTTCAATCTACCGATCTCTCTCATTGAAGAGGTGAACCAAAGCCACAACCTCCAGATCACGAACACGGTTGTCACGACCCAATCTGCCAATGCGACTATTGCTCTTGGAGCCTCCCCCATTATGGCTACCGCCCCGGAGGAGATGGGAGACCTGGGCAAGGTCGCAGGAAGCCTGCTTGTGAACTTCGGAACGATCCAGAACCTCGACGGCATGCTCGTCGCAGGTAACTCCGTTTCAGCAATACAATATACGACATAGCCCACCGCTCATGACGTACCACAATCTCAGGCTTCAATTACAACCTGAAACGAAAGCCGGTAGTTTTCGACCCTGTCGGCATCGGCGCCACGACCTACCGTCGGACCTCGGCCACAACACTTCTGAACGCCTGGCAAGCCACGGTCATCAAGGGAAACTCCGGCGAGCTTGCCGCTCTCGCGAATTCTCAAGAGGTCCTTCCATCTGATCGTGATGCTGCATCCTCCTGAGTGCCCTCCTCTTGCTTCTCACAGGTGCAGGCAAAGGGCGTCGATAGCGTGGGTCAAGGTTTTGCTGATCCCGTTACCTTCGTACGCAATCTTGCACGAAAAGAGCGTGCGTTCCTGGTTTTGTCTCTCACACGAAGTCATATCTGGCAACTGACCCGAGGCACTACAGGCGCAATCATCGTCCTTACCGGCATAACCGACTACGTATCCGATGGAACCACCGTGGTCCGATTATCCAATGGCCACCCGTACCTTGGAGAGATCACCGGTTCGGGTTGTATGGTAGGCACGGCGGTCGCTACATTCTGTGCTGGCGCCAACCTGGCGGAGGAGGCAAGGCGGTCAACGAACGCCGACACAGCCGGAGACGCGAAACTCGTCCGGGGGGACATGCTCGTTGCCGCCGTCGGAGGGTACGTTGCTCCTCCATCCTCTTTTCCGTCTAGATTTCTACACTCATGACGCATTCCTAGGGTTCTTGCCATCACCGTCGCATCTGAACTGGCTGCGGCGCGGGCGGATGTTCAAGGGAGCGGAACATTCCTGCCCGCCCTCATTGATGAGCTTGGCGCGCTCACGCCCGAGAAGCTAGCAACCTACGGGAAGGTTGATGTGATGTGAAGGAGGTGGTAGCGAACAGATATTCGTCCCTACAGTACATGCTCGACGGTTCGACTTACGAAGACTGAGGCGATTCAACACGTGTTCAACGCAGCCCATATGTATTCAGTATGTAATCTCCTACAAATGACGAATTTAAGCACCAACAGGCACAACGGTCGAGTTGGGAGCATCAAGTATGTGGGGGAAGGGGGTCTTGGGCGTGGGTTGCAACCAGTTCTTCGCGTCGTATTCAGCATATGGAGGCGACTCGATCATGTGGAAGGTGTATGCATAGCGTGTGTGCGTGCTCGTGTTGCGCTCCGACTTATGCAGCACGCTTCCGTGAATGAGGACCAAATCGCCTGAGCCCCCATACGGTTAGCCAGCCAACTGCTTCTACATTGACAGGGAGGTCGTACGTACCTGGCGTACAGGCCTCAAGCACATACTTGCCCTCTGGATGCTGCGGAGCTTGTTCGGGAGGTATGAGCTCCTCGAAGCCGGTGCCACCTTCGGGGAGCCGGACGAAGCGCTTCGTAATCTTGGTGGTCAGATGAGAACCGGGGAGGAACGAGAGTGCTCCATTTTCGGGAGTGCACTTCTCTAGCGGTATCCAAAACCCGAGAGCGGATGGGGGATTGGTGTACTGCGGTAGTGTGTGTCAGCCATTCTACTTTTGCCGCTGAGGGACATTCGGAATATGACATGGCTCACCAAGAATGTCCTGATAATGCCAAACCAGAGCTCAAGGTGAATATCTGAAAGTCGGCCGAGGAAACAATTCCTTACGAGTCATTGTGCTCTGGCACTGCAACACGATGTTTGGTGATCCTTTGTTGAGAATATGTTCGCCAGCTCACCTTCGCCTCCAATATGTGGCTGCTTACATATAACCATAGATTGGAGTGCTGCAGCCTTCATCAATTTCAACCCTCAATACGTGACAAAGGGGCAGCTCACCTACTGGGTCGTGGTGGAACTGGAGGTCTCTCACCACGGCCCTGATCTTCTCGTTCTCTAGAGTCACCTTCCGGAACACAGGATCGAGCTCGTGCAGACCTGCCCACCATAGTCAGACCATTTTTGTGCTCCCAGAAGCTAGACACAAACCATGTCCGATCTTATTGACGGCTTTCTGCTTCTCTCTATTGAGTTTGCCGTCACTCACGGCGTCCTCCTCTAGGAAGTAGCGAATCTTGTCACCGGATGTCAAGAAGTAATCATCCCCAACATGATTATCATCTCCGGTGGTGAATCTCGTCTGAAAGATGTCGTTTAACGTCTTTCCAGGAGGTTTACGATCTTACCAGAGGGTGGTCTTCGAGGCTGAAGTTGTCGAGCAGTTGTCTGGTACGCGTGAGGAGGGCTTCCACTTCGTCTGGCTCCAGGAAGCTTGGAAGCCTCAGATATCTGTAGTGAATCATATATTAGTCATCGAACAAGGGAGGTCGTTGGGGAAGGTTGATTGACCCATCGCTTCGGAACTTGCGGTAGTAGGAGAATCAGCAAGTGGAGCCAGGTTGGATAGTGTCCGGCGCGTCACAAACCTGGTTCACCTGCTCCTCGGTCAGGTACTCGAGCTTCGTAGACATATCTGAATGCAAGAATTCTAGTATGTTATGAACAGTCGGGAAGGTGCAGGTTCACGGTGACGCCAGTACGGGCAAGAAGATAAGCGGTGGCTGTGCTCTCGCCCCTCACCCAAAACGGCAACTTCTGTTGTATTGAACTCTGCAAGGCGACTTGACGGCATCTCGTACATCGGTCCTTATTTTAGGTGACACTGTCATCGTTGTTGGTACGGTTCTCAAGGAGGTATTTGACTCATAATTGGGATGCTTCACAGAAGAGTTCGCCGGCCCTAACGCCGGCTATTCGGCGAAGTGACAATGCGGCGGATGGTGACAAAGGTACTTAGCAATGATTGATCAACAGGCCTACGAAAGGGTCCGAGGACTCGGCTGGCATCGCAAGACGGGAGTGAACTTGGGACACAATGGCTTCACCACTCTGAAATGGTGTCCAGACCGGCGAATGTTGCGCTCTCCCCCAAATGAGCCACGGTATTCAACCAGAGCGGCATCACCGATGTACACAGCAAGCTGGACGGACCAACTATATACTCCTCTCGTTCTATTACTTTGCTTAGAACACGGGCGTGAAGTATGCACTGTTGTCAACCTTCTACCGCGCTCTGATGCAGGTATGGTCCCGGTTATGGCCTCTTCATCGAAGGCACTGGAAGTAACACCTTCACTAATTTTGAGCAGTAGCTGTCACCCGGGTGGTAGTGGATTTGGAAAGGATTCTCCTATACATTCCTGAAGTCGGCAAAAGAGAACGCCTACACAATGTCGATATCCGGGAGTCTCTTGAGCTGTATTACGCCTTCATGAGTTTCCCTTCTATATAGCGATGAGAATTCGCCTATAGTGTCGAGCACACACGAATGAACATCTGGAATATGCGATAAGAGATTCTGTGCAATGGGAACATAGGCTGGAGAGCAGATCTTATCGTCCTTTTGATCACACTCATTGTACCGAGTACTTAGACAACCCGATACAGACCAGAGCACGAGTGCTGGCATCGTGTATGCTGGACAACGACGACCTCGTTTTGTTCGTATTCGTTCTGCCAAGGACCTGTCGAAGATGGGTGAGCAAGGTATCTGATAACACTGCACCACTGTACGCACTCGGCTGGCATACCTGTACCCTAGTAGTTGGGCAGGACTTCTGGCCAATCATATTATCGTCTGCCAGAAAGTTCGTCTACATTCAATGAGTGCGGGAGTCGCCATTCCGGGTACGGAATGAGTTGTGAATGACGGCGGATGCGTGAACAAGCGCAAGCCGTCCACGATCACTCAGCACAAGGGGCCCGAGCATCGAGCTCACTGCGTCTGTCGACATTCGAAGGTAAGGACCAACCGCTATCCTGAGGGATGCTCGTGGTTGGTGCGCACACCCCTACAACGGGGTCAGCCAGCTAGCGATTAGCGTCAAACTCGATCAATCATTGACTGGAAGGGCATTGAAGATTCAGTCCGACCGGCCTCCTGGCTGACGGTATGACGCGGAGCTCAGAGCATTCAAGATTCTACCGAGCCTGATGGAAATGGTGATATGACATCAAACAGAAGTGGTGCAAACGGAATGTAGTGGAGGAGAAATCCATAACACGCCCCCGCCATGACGAAAAGGTCCGTGAGAAAACGCAACAAGCGTCATCCCTACTGCTCCGAACCGTCATCGATATTCTCGCCCCTGGCCAGTCGCTGCATGAGGTGGTCGATCTTGACCTTGTGTATTCGATGGTGCTCCTGCCAGCCCTTCCACGGATGGTGCGGATACTAGGTGGAACGGGTTTTAGCACAAACGGAGCTCACTGAATGGAGCAGCTGGGCGTACCTGCCGTCCAAAGGCCTGGAAGATCTTGTCGGATGTGCCTTCAGGCTTATTGAAGAAGTACTGCGCGAGAAGGATGTCGTCCTTCTTACTATACCGCATCTTCTTCTCCGGTGGGGCAGGAAGTGGTTCGTCTCCGGGTACATGGTGCAACTCGTGCTTATGCCTCCTATAGAACTTCATCCAAGACGCACGGGAATGGTGGGGTGCCTGCGCGTGTCCAAGAAATATGATCAGATAGGAGACGCAGTACATCTGTACAAACGAACTCTACCTTCGCAGCCACTTCCTTCCAGAACTGAACCATGTCTAGCTTGTTCTCGTGCTGTCGAGTCCGATACTCCAGGAAGCGCACAAGGAATATGACGTCCTCATCCGTGAAGGCGACGCCTTTTCCAGTTGTACTACGGTATAGGGCTCTTGGCGGCGTTGGCGATCGTGTCCGTCCGACATCCGCGGCTGCTGCTCGATGTGCAGCAGGTATAGCTCCAGGTCCGTGGCTCACAGGTACAGGTTGCGTCTCCTGTCCGCCGTCCGCTTGGGACTGGTCACTAGGACCAGCCTCACTCTCCACGGGCATTCCAGGAGGAGCCTGCTCTTCGCCCTCATCGCCGACATCCATGGCGTATCCTCCCAGGCGGATCTTGTGTTTGTTACAATACCGCCGCCAGGAGTAGAACCTGAGCCAAGAGTCAGCAACTGGGTCCGCAGCCTGCGTGTATGAACACACGTGTGATGTGGCGCCTAGAGTTCATGCCAGTGAGAGGGAGGTGTATTCGAACTACGATGATACATACCTTGATGGCTATTCGTTCGCATATTTCGCGCAGGCTGAGAGATTCCCGCATGAGCGTATCATTACACGAGGTACATCGGGCAGTGTTTTACCTTAGTACCAGTCCTTGTTCTTGACAGTAATCGATGTACCGCTTCAAGTACAGAATATCATCCGACGTGAACAAATTACCGCCATACGTGCTCTTGATGACTCGAGTGGGAGGCGTCGGTGACCGCGCGGGAGGGTTGCGACGGTTTGCGACAAGTGTTGAGGCGGGCGGAGCGGGCTGTGGCTTAACCTGAGGTGAGCACGTACAATGTTGATTATATGCATGGGAGCTGTACCTGAAACTTCGCCCGCTTACGACCTCTAGGTACCTTCTCAGGCTCCGTCCCAGGCATCTCCGTGCCGACGGTCGAAGGGCCCGCATCCTCCATATACTGGTCAGGAGTATCCGAATACGGATGTTCATACTGGCAAGGGGGTAAAATATCAGACGCTACATGCACAGACGACGACGACGAAGCACACGCACATGACCATAATAACCGTCTGGGCCCGGTACCCAACCTTGGCTCTCGTCATCCCGGTAACGATACGCATAATCTGGAGGTGGCGGCACGATGCCAGGCGGAGGCGGCTGCATGGGATGATATGCACCGTGCCATGGCGGCTGCTCCTCATATCCAGGATGACGCTCCATCATATGGTGTTCGGGCTGCGGGGGAGGTGGTGGCGGGGGTGGAGGAGGCGGAGGAGCGAGGTGCGTCTGCGAAGGTGCGATACCGTTCGCCGCTTGCCAAGTCTGTGGTGGGCCAGGTGTAGGAGGTTCCATGGCGCGTGGCGCAACGTCCATCGGTGCACCATATACAGGGTATGGGAATGAGCTGGAGTGGGCGACAATCGGGGCGGGATGTCCCATTGGCATAGGAGGTGGCGGCAGAGGCTGGCCATGGACAGATGGGGGTGGCGGAAGGGGCGTATGATGCTGAGGAGGTTGCTGGAGAATCTGATCCGGCGGAATTTGATGGACCATCTCCTCATGAGGTTGTAGTGGAGGCACGTGTTGCATAGACGGTCCCGGTTCCGGTTGGGGCGGTGGATTAACGATAGGAGTGATTCTGGAGCGTGATGAGTTATAGGGCATGTAGAAAGGTGTCAAAGGGTCTACCCACTGCTCAGTGCCGGTCACTTTGCAATCACCGAAATTGGTGTGGTACGTTTGAAGGGCCCCGGCTTCCACGCACCGAATGACCCATTGAGCATTGAGAACAAGTTTGCCCTTCTTTCCAACATATTGACGGTATAGGCTCTGACCAGATTCCTTGTAGGGATCCACTGGAAACAGCGGTTAGACAGTGAGCAGAGAAACGACGAAAGGGTACGAGCAACCTCCCCGTCCCTATATGACATTACGCCATCAGACATGGACTTACCTAGAATATATGCTACACCGCTGTATCCTGGGGAGACGACGCCACCATGTTTCTGTATTCCGAACAGGTCACATATACGGTCAGTATGTAACTCGGGGGGACGGGTCTGACGAGAACAGTAGCGACAGCCGGCACGCGCCGACACATCCTACGAGCTGACTTCCAAAGACCAACAATTGGTGTATGATGCCCAAGAACGCGTCGCATGGGAGGATACGCGTGGAAGATGCGACATACCGTTATGAGCTCAACGATCTCGTCCCGGTTGTCGACATCCTTTTCTACGTAGATAGCGAGGGGCGTGCCCATCAGGGGGTCCAAGAAAAGGTCATCACTAGTATTTGCGTCGTCAGCTGGGGAAGAGCCGTTCTGGGACTGGGGAGCATGTTGGGAGTTGTCGCGCCTTGCGCGGTTTGTGGAAGAGCGTGCTGGTGCCATGGGTCTTGGCCCGCGGTCGTCTTGGGCAGCGATGCACCAGGGGGGCTTCGGCGCTCCCGGCTCATCTCCTCCCAGGCGGACTTTGAATCTTGTACTCAACGCCAGCACAGCACCAGCGTGTCCCTGACAATGATGAGACCTACTGCTACCTCGCGCTTTGACTTTTTATTCTGCACGAAATAATGCCGTAATCTTCTATGAGGACAGTGAGTAAGTTGAATCAGTATTATTGTGTTTACTGTAAAGGATACCCAGTGGCATAACTCATTGCGTACATCCCAGTCAGCGACGAGATGTCAAGAGGTGACAGAACAGTGTTTGTACACAAAATGTTTCAAAGATCTCCAATTCATTGCGTGTCTCAGTTGATTCACAGAATCCGACCATTCTATTCCATGGATGAGAGCTCCGTCCTTCAAGCCGGAAACCCCGCGTACGCTGTACACTTCCATCTCAGCCTCTTCCTCCGCGAAAGGAGACTGCCCTCAGCCTCGAGGGCCAGGGGGTTTGATACAAATGTTCTCCCGATGTCAACAGCCGCAAGATACACAGTCGATCGAGGTTTTGTCACTGACGTTGATACCTCCAACCGGAAGCAATGTCGCGAATTCATGAGCATAAGATGAAATACACGTAAATCCACATTCGCCTTCGAACCCTAACAAAACACTCGAAGTACATTATATTGGAAGAAACAGGTGAGCTCAGCCCCACACTTCACTACTCCTGCTCAAACACCGTTTCATAGCGCCTATCGTTCAAGACACCCACTTGTTATGATAGATAACACACCTTGGCAAAGCAGGGCTAAGCGCCAAAGTCACTTCAAGTCACTGTCGCCGCCCAGTACCATCCTGTCCATCTCTGATATATATGGCACAACACGACCCGCGCAAGACGTCTCCCTCTGCTGATCTTGCCCGCGCGCATGACTTACGCCAGCATGTCGGGGTCTGTCCGACGCCGACGCCGGCCTGCCTAGAGCATTACATGGAGCACACGCTCTCAAGACCATCAGTGGAGTAGGGTACTTGTTCCTGTCTCGCTGAGTACCATCCCACCAAACATACAGTCGTCGCCGCAGTCTGTGGGCGCCGAAGTCTGCAAGATGCGCCCGCGTCTCAAGAAATCACAACCTCGACATTGCTGAAGTATACTCGCGGTATGTACGCGCGTCGCTATCTCAATCACCCAAATCTCAACCAAGCCGCGTTAGTAGGCGAGAATCCGTCATTATAGCTTACGGGCGCGATAATTTGCAAGGGTCCTGATCGCGAGGTTGACTCCGACGCTCCCTCCGTTTGAAGGCCGAACGCGGCGCCAACCAATTGCCCGCCGATCAATTCACGACATATCATTGGAGGCATTGAAATGCGACGCAACTTACTTATCGCTCTGCGCTACACCCCCGCGATCGTGGTCAGTGTGTATGTGCCTGCCTAACAGCGCGCTTGCTGCACCGCCGGGCCCGCCCTCGGCTAAGTTGTCGGCCTCAGCAGCTGGCTAATATTATAGCATAGCAAAGTCGAGACTCCACTTATACTCAACGTCGAGATGCCCTGGGGCGTACAGCCAATCGCCATCTAACTCCGGCCGGGGGTGCAGTACGAGTTTAATTAATCTTCTGGAACAACTGATGTGATACAAGTTGGGGCGTTTTGCGGCAGTTGAGCTCAGGCGTCCATTTGGGCACTGTAGGACACTCTCTCGCACTCTTTCCTGCACTATGCAGTAGCTCGCAGTTAGAACCCTGTATGACGTATGATGACAGTGCACCGACCTCTACGATGCCGACGCCGTTTCGGACCCGAAAATGTGTGCGACAACTGTGGCACGGACCAAGGTTGGTGGCGGATGCGCGTGCCGGGACTACGATCCCCGCACTCCCTCCATATGCATGCAAGTATCTCCGGTATCTACGCATCTACGCTTTCAGGCCATGCTTACTCATGAACACGATTCATTTTCGAACAGAGACGGCCACAGTTAAGTACGTAAGTGCTTTCGTGCCACGAAGGATATGATGCAGGGAGTCCGCGCCGGGAATACGTTGCAATCTCGGAACACATGTCCCGAACCGACAGCTGTCTTCCGAATCTCCACAGTATGATCGAATCCATGTCCTTCACTGACATGGGTATGATACGAACTGAATCAGGACACCCAACATACACCCGACCTCGTCTCATCTCTGTCGCCCTCCTAACTATTCTTTACTCATCCAGAGTATCGAAGGGTCGGAGACGAGAGTAGAGAGATCATGAAGACCTGTTGCTGTGATCGCCCTATCGGTACGGACGGTCTGGGTGCCTGGCATCATTGGAAGCAGGGTACGTCGATAGCCCTTGATGCAAGTGACATGGACGATCTACAGGAGGAGCGCATGCCCGCCTTCGCCCCATCAGAAGCTGCCATTCCTGTTCTTCTGTGCGCTTGAGCTGATGCAACTTATCCAACAACCTAATACGGAGGCCAGATCTCTCGCCGCGGAGAACCAGCGTTGGATTTGACCATTTCTTGCCGCTCATGTACTCATTGGTTGAGCGATTCGGTCAATCGTGCCACCATGGTCCACTTACCGTGCATATCTGCGATGTTGTGGAATCAGGCCACGCTGCGTATGCATGCAGACCACAGCCCTATGTATACATTAGAGTAAGCGCTCATGAGGAAGAAAAACATCCGCTCGCAATCCTCCGCAAAGCACTCACGACCACCCTCCTATTCATCTTCCCATATTCATTTAGCCTCCTTCCCTGATAGGTTCTCCTTCGCCGGCTGCTCTTCCAGCGGCCCCATTTTCACAGCCATCTCGAGCATAACGTTCACCCAAGGCTTAGGCTCAATTCACCGGGACCCGCTCACGCGCGGGGCTTCTATAGGATGTAAATCCACGTTTTCGGCTCCCAGTTGCATGGAATGCGGGCGAACGCGCCTGGGGGAAACCCCCAGAAGCGTGCTCTGTTCGCCCGATGCCGTACGATGGTCAGTGGGTTATCGTGCTCATGACCGCCTTCGCGCTCACCTTCCGCCTTCTCTCCATCACGTCTTTCCCTTTAGATGCACCGTCGCCCGGCCCAGGTCCAAGCAAAGGCAGAAACTCAGAGCGCGGAACGCGCCCGGCGAAGCTCGGTGCGGCTCCCGGTAGCTGGAGGCCCAGAACCATGGCGATCCTGCAAGCTTCAGCCCGTGCCCTGCCCTGACACCGTCATGGAAATGGTCGCACGAGGGCAGCTTCCTCGCTCACTGAAGCCTCTCTTCCTTCCACTTCTTGCAAATCGCCCTGTCTCACCTGTCCCAGGACGGAATGGCGGAGGGGCGCGCAGGATTCGCACCGGAGGACGCATGAATGTTGTGCGCTATGCGCGCGCGGGCATCGGGTGTTTTCCCGTTCCCTGCACTAGAAGCCTGGAAAATGTGGCTGTGGAATGGGGGGCCCCACGGCCTTGCGAGATTCATGCGCGCAGCTCTGACTGCCAGAAGAGCGAGAGAGATTCTGGTCTGGTCGTCCTGGATACCGAGTCTGGCAATCTCCGCCCTGGGACGCAGAGACTAGTAATGCTCGAGGCGCGTGTGCAAATCAGAGAGAGATCGCGGACAAGGCTACTGTCAAGAGCGTAGTGGACATGCTCGTTTTGAGCAGGAGCGAGGCAACAGCTTCCGGATTAAGCATTCTCAGACTCGACGCCTTGCTTGCCATGCTGTTCAGCCGAGTACCGTTCGCGAGGCGGGGGTGCAGTGCTTGTGTGACACAACTCTATAACATACACGGGATGTGTGGACTCATGAGGCATCGAATCCTGGGAGGAGCACATGCTCTCTCCTTCATTCCCGAATCTGTGGGGTCCTTTGCTGTACCGCCCTCCAGCACACACGCCCGCACGCACACGGAGGCCGGTATGAAATGTCGCCGACCTTGTGCCGTTGCTTTGCAAAGAGCTAACTTTAAAAATTTGGATGCTCGTCTGGGCTACATCTGCGACGCCCTTGACGTACATGCATCCGTGTCACCAGAAATCTTCGTACGTCTGGAAAAACGACCAGGGGCGAGCGAGGCGCTTGTAGCAGAGCTATGACGCTGAGCTGGTTGAGAAGGGGGACACATCAGGTTTGAGGTTACAGAGCAGTAGAGGGGAGATGCGTGCTGCGTTCCGGAAGGAATAGTAGTTGAACTTTCGAAACGCATATGTCTTTTGTTGTCGTTCGGGTCTAGAATGGAAGAAAGCTCCGATAGGTGGCGAGGCGGATGTCAATGGAATGTGTTAGTTGTGCCACAGCATCCCGTGCACGCCGTCAGACCGTCAGAACCCATATGCACGAGCATGTGCAAATGAAGCCCGGTGGCGATCGCAGCTTGGTAGAGAGGATGGTGTCACGAAGATGACGCATGCTGTCTCTTCTGCACCTGATTGCTGGATCGTGTTCAATACAGACTCCGGAGACATTTCGACAGTCACGGAACCGTCAGTGCCTGCATCACAGCAGAACGCGCACAACGTCCTAAGATGGGAGGTGTCAGGGTGGATCACGGAGAAGGGGGGGACCATGACTGTTCAACGGTCATCGAACACGAGATCTATCAGAGCGGCGCTGGTGGTGAGAACGCAGTTCCCAGGCGATGGCAGCACTTATGTAGTCCGAGCCTAACGGTTATAAACGAGGGTTTGATCTGCGTTGCATTGCTAGAGGACGCGCGTCGAAAGCGGCCGCATTGGAGAATGACAACAGTGTAAGTGGTATCACGTTCAGGATTGATATCAGTCGAGACTGGCGCACCGGCATGCGTCGGCGTCGGCGGTAGAGCAGATGCTGGCACCGAGTTATACTCCAAGAGGCGATAGATGCTCCCAAAGATTCGTAGTACATACGACCGTCGGGTGCCGTGAGAGGAGGTCGACGCACAGGGCAGGGACTCGGGGAGAAGAGAAGAGAAGAGAGACATATCTGTTGGCTCGGTCAGCCGGCGGATGTAATGTATGACCAATGCAGCGAGCGGGGGCAAGCGGTGCGATTACTGCTGAGAAAGAAGGGGATTGGGAATGTCGAGTTGTTCTGGGGGCTGAGAAGAGGAATGAGAATATCCGGTAACGCGCTAGAAATGACCGAATGCTTGTTGTGATGGAATGCTGACAGGGAAGGTGAACTAAGTACATACAATATTGTGCTGCACGCGGGGCGTAGCGGACGGGATGGGCAAGGTGGGGCGGTTGGCTGTGGAAAGCCGTGGCCGAGGCGTCGAGGCCGCGTCGGGCGAGATCTGCACGGATCGGGTGATGGGAATCTGGTGCCCTTTGGTATTGTTTTGGCCAGCGCCTGGTGATGGAGGCCAAACACGGCCAAATGGGAAGCGGAGTTGATTGATCGTGGGAAACTGGACCAGGACAGGGCAGGCGTCTTCCCAGCGGTCAGGTCAGGATCCCGTCTCTATCCCCCATCTCTCAAGCAACCGTGCTCTTGCCCGTCTCTATCTCCTCCCTCCTCCTCATACGAGGCCCCCCATCGTTTTCGACCACGCCATGGCCAACGTCGCAGGCCGCAAAAAGTCTATGGTTGCATCTCTGCCTCCCTCCATCGATTCCCCCGTCGCCAATAATACCCTCCTCAACAAGGCCGCCTCTCAGTCCACTTCCCTCTATCAGCAATGCTCTTCCCTACGCACTCGTCTAATGCACCTCCAAGACTTCTCAGACTGGTTCTCTGTCGCTGCCCAGCCAGACTCCTCTAGGCGCTCCACTGATCCCGTAACCCAACTATGGGACGTATTCGCCCTCGGCGTCCCTCTGTGCTACCTCTACAACCTTCTACCTCAGTCTGCCTCCTCTCCGATAGCAGTCGAAACAGACGTCCTCTCGTTTGATCGCAACAATGAGCGTACGAAGAAGCACGCGATCGCTCTCTTTGCTATGAACGTGAAGCAAGTGCCGGGTTGCGAAGGATTTACGGTTAGGGATCTTTGGGACCGTAACTCGACGGATGGCTTCGTCAAGGTGCGTAGCATATTCTGAGCGTCGCGCTTGCTTACTGAGCGAATCTGTAATCTAGGTTGTCAACAACGTTATCAACCTCGTGCAGCAATTGCCCGAGGATCTCTTCCTCGAATCCGCGCCTTCCTCTCCCGCGTTGGCATCAGCCCTCGCGTCTACCGAATCTCTTACATCAGACAATACTCTTGCGGCATCCTTGATGGAGCCTGGCGGTGCTCGGGCGAACATCATCAAAGAGCTTGTTGACACGGAACGGAAGTATGTGCAAGACCTGGAAGTCATGCAGGTGCGTGACCAAGTCACCAATTTCTGTTTATCGGACGCACGGTCCAGATCTAATTACAATGCCTGCCATTCCAGAAATACTGCGACGAGGCAGTGTCCTACCTGGACCGGGACACGCTCCATCTCTTGTTCCCTGGTTTGAACAAACTCCTGAACTTTCAGAGAAAGTTCCTTATCAAGGTCGAGAGCATTGCCGAGTTGCCTTGGAATGACCAGCGATGGGGCCTCCCTTTCACCGAGAACGTGAGTCGATCCGCATTCCGGAACTTCGGACACGTTACTGAATTCGGCATAATCATTGTGTTTCTGGCTGGTGCTCTAACGCCCTGATGACTATTGAACGCCTTGATGAGGAACAATAGGAGGAGGAGTTTGCCGTGTACGAACCCTACTGCGCTAACTATACCATGGCGTCCGAGATTATGCTCCAGGAGGAGCACAACCTGACGGTGGGTCTTATTTCTTGGCTGTTCTGTTGGACGCGATCGCGTCTCCTTGGTTGCGTGCTCCGCTTACCGGGTATGGGATTCAGGCGCTTAATCATATCATCAATGTGAAAGGCGAACTTCCCGCCTTCCTAATCAAGCCTGTCCAGCGGATTTGCAAATATCCGCTGCTACTCGAGGTAATCCAGACCCTCTTTCCATCAACGCTTGGCGAGCTCACATGTGCTGCCTGATAGTCGCTTGTCAAAGCCGTTAGTAACACCGACTACCCTTACATCGACGAGCTCAAGGCCGGCGTTGAGTCTGCGAAGCGCATCACCGACAAGATCAACGAGGCTCAACGACGGGCAGAGAATGACGCGACTGTCAAGAACCTAGAGGGCCGCGTTGAGGACTGGAAGGGTCACCACATCTCCAACTTTGGCGCTCTCCTTTTGGACGACATTTTCAGTGTCACCAAGTCCGAGGTCGACCGCGAGTACCATGTGTTCCTCTTCGAGAAGATCATCCTCTGCTGCAAGGAGTACATTCCTCAGCCAGGCAATGGCAAGAAGGTGGGAAAGAGCAATTCGATCCTGAAGAAGCCGACCTCGCCGTCTACTGTCCTCGGCTCCACTGCCGCTGGTTCTTCAAGCAAAAAGAAGAATACCCCGCTTCTTCTCAAGGGTCGCATCTTTCTCAACAACGTCACTCAGGCTGTACCGAAGGTTTCTCAAGGTCAGTCATACTACCATCGTTCTGCAAGCGCCTTGAGCTAAGTTCGTACTGCGTGCCGTGCACAGGGCAGTACTCGCTTGCCGTATGGTGGCGCGGGGACGACGACCTCGAGTTCTTCACCCTCCGCTGCCGCAATGAGGAGCAGCTGAAGCACTGGGAGAACCAGCTCAACCGTCTGATCAAGGAGACTGCGAATCGCAGGACATCCGATCGAAACATCGCCCGTCTCGCGCAAGTTGCCAACAGCACCAGCCCGTCTCCTCAGATACGTTCGGCACATTCTTCCTACGCTCAGGAGCGTAGCTCCATGTTCTCGAACGGGTCGTCGGGTTATGCTTCGGGTGTGCCGCAGACGGCTTCTATCAACGGGCGCATGCGCCATCCCTATGCCAGCGGAGAGCATGCCGTACCGTCGTCTTCACATCCCTACACCAACGGATTCGCACACGTCCATCAAGACTATCCTCACGATGGTTTCGAGGCGGACCAGGACGACGAATACGAGGACTACCCCCCAGCGAGCGCAGGGTCGCCATCAGGTCGCGGTACGCCTATGGGTCAGTCGCGTCGCCCCGATTTCCCGTATCCGCAAAGCGCACGGCATAGCGGCCATGCGACATCGCCGATCATGTCCGGCGGCGTCGGCGGCTTCCAGGGTCCCGCTTCGGCGCGCCCAGTCATGTCTCGAAACACAAACAGCTACGCGTCGGATGCTAGCTTTGGCAACGCCCCTCCGCCACCTCGCCCCGGTCTCCGTAGTCAGTTCAGCTCGACGCGGCTGCGCTCTGCGTATGACGGCGCGGAGTCTCGGGGTGCGAGTCCTATGCCGACGCCGAACATGCACCAGCCCATGCGATCGCGAAGTATCAGTCAGCCGCAGGCATACCATCCTTCCCCGCAGCAAGCCCCTCCGCCGCTTCCCACGTCTACTCGGGCAGAGTGGTCGCAAGGATCCCTGTTGTCAAACAAGCGTGGGAGCGGGTCGAGCCAGTCAACGGACAGCGCGGACTATTCGCCACACACGAGCAGCTCGCCGATTACCCCGTACGGTTCGAGTGAGTCGTCGTTGGCAGGCATGTCAACTGGACGCTCTGCGCGGGGGCACATCGACCAGATGCCACCGCCAGCTCTCAAGGACGAGCTTCGCCTCTCGCCGCCTGTGAAGATCAAGGTGCACTTCAACGAAGATATCTTCGTTATCCAGGTGCCGCGGTCGACCGAGTACTACGAGCTGGTGGACAAGGTTGGCAAGAAGATCCGACTGTGCGGTCCCAGGCGAGACGACGGCCCACTCCGCGTCAAGTACAAGGACGAGGACGGCGACTTGGTGTCGTTGGGGTCGACGGAGGATGTACAGATGGCATTCGAGTCGCTAAGGCCTGGCAACCAGGTTACGCTCTACGTGCAATGAGTCGACGGTCTCTCGGCTCCCTCTCTCCACCGTCCTGCGTCACATCAACCTTACCTCTGCATGTCTTAGCATCATCTCTTGCTCACTGTCCCCCCCCTCTGTAGTCGCTGCCACTCATCCCATCACCATCACTATCATCTGACATCCGGCATCATCCATATATCTGGGGACCTGCACCATATGCACACATTCCTTTTTTTGGTCTATAGCTTCACTTCACTCATCTCATATCTTAGTCTCCGTGTCTCACGACCTGTACGATCCTTCCCCAGTCAGTTAGCCCTTATCGTGTCTCTCTATGTCCTCCGTTATCATAGTGCATCTCGATGTTCGTTCGCGTACGTGCATTGTTTCTATTTGACCGCCTGTCGCCGTCATCCACCCTGCATCTCTCGCATTTCGTCTTCGTCCTGGACGCGTTCCCTTGATCGCTGTATCAGTTGTTTGGAGCTACAGCGCCCTCCAATCACGCTCCTTGCCCTTTCCTCTGCGTCTCTCTTCGCGGGTTCCCCACCGCCCCCTCATGACCGGATGCCGCCCTCACCCCTATCGCCCCGACCACCACGCTTCATCCTCCACGATCAACGCCTCCCCCCTCATATACTCAATGTGTCAATGTTCCGCCCATGCCCCGTACCACCGTCCCCTGCCGTCTTGCCATCGCGTGGTCGGTCTCCGTCCCGAACAATTTGCGGAGCGAGCATCGCAGGCAGGCGGCGGGGGTCGTGGGATGTCCCCCTTGGCTCGCCATAGTGTTGTGCAGGCTATTATGTGTATCATCTACTAGAGTCGATCGTTTGCTTAGGCTGGCCTTCATGGAATACATACATTATTTTATTGAATCTTCTGTTACCTCTCCTGCGCGTGTGTGCTGGATCAATGGGTGCAACGCATACGAAGTCTTCGGCGTTCAAGATGAGTATGAAAAGTAAATTCCAAGAAGTGTTCCGTACAACCAGAACGTCCATATCCGTCATATACACCAGGAGTCATGATGGCTACGAGCCGGTGCGACCTAGCTAGGGCTCAACGCAATATAGTTCAGAAGGTCGATTTTGTTCACCTTCCCAATCCTCGGGCTAGTATCAGCGTGACTTACAATGAACCACCCTTCGGCATCAGTCCCATGCTGGTGAACGCCCGTAACGCAAACCATCATATTGTACCTTTCCCGTCAACCCCACTCCGCTCGACTTCAAAGAAGCCCTCCGCGAGCTTCGCGACGTCCCCGCCCAGCCCTTTCGCCTTCTCGACGATCTCCGCCACAACGTCTGCCGGGAGCCCCGCCGCCGTGCGCGAGTAGATGTCGAGCCCCGCAGGCGTGAACAACGTCTTCTCGAAGTACGTCACAGCCCACGCGGCGGCGTTCTCAGGCGACGGGTCGGCGCTGCAGCCCAGGAGCTGCCAGCGCGAGGAGGCAATCACCAACCAGCCCTTGCCGCGCCACTTGTACCGCGTCTGGGCGGACTTGTTGCTTGTGGCGACGGCGGCGTCGGCGGGCGCACTGCCAGTAGACGGGGCGTCACTGCCGCCAAGGGGCCCAGAACGCGCCGCCGAGGAGGCCGGTGGGGCGTTGGTATCGGGGCTGGAGATGAGCGTGTCGATGCCGACGACGCGAGAGCGCGAGGAGGTAGGGGGGTCGGATTTCGAGCGGTACTCGACTATGTCATCGAACTTGACTGTCTCCTCGGATGGAGATGTCTTCAGCGCGTACGTGATCGTGACATCTTTCCTAGACTACACAATTGTTAGTCATGGGGGGCACTGCACTGAGGTCGATGATTTGAGATTCGGGGCATGTCCGAAGGACGCAGGCGTCCTGTGGACAGATAATAGAAAGATCGTACGTACCTTCCAGAGGGGCAGCGTTGAGTGTATGACGTACCTATGCATGATCCTCGTCAACGCTCTATCGCCGCTCCGGGACAGAACATGCAATTTACGAACCATTTGCCCATGAACTTCTCGAGGTCTAACTCAATAGGTGGGTTGTGGGCATTTGGGGGATGCAACACGATTTCACCCGCGGCTGATTCTACCGTCATCCTGACGTTAGTGGTGATGGTTGGGTATCAAGTCGGTGCGCGCCCATCGCCCCGCACCCATCTCGGCCGCAACTCGTTTCACGAGATAAACTTCAAACTGTATATATAGAAGGTCGTGCAGTCTATGTATTGCGCCCATCCGTGAATGCCTGAACCATGTTTCTACGTATACAAATTGATGCGATGTCTCATGCTGACGCGAGGGCATGCTATAGCCATAATGCGGCGCTATCCGAGGTACAGGATCTGGGAGTCAGAGGGAGACAGGAATGCTATATGAGAATCTAAGAATCGTTGAGAACTTGTACGTGTATGATGAGGCTTGTGGGGACGCTGGGAACGGCGCCGGAGCTCTAGCTCTATGCGCCTATAAGGCATCTGGGGATATATCACCAAGAGTGTTCAAGTCCGCCGCGCTGTATGCGCTGTACAGCGACTGCGTCTCGTCGCCATACTCTGACTGCGGGTCCATGGTGTCCTGCAAGGGAGAAGGAAAACCGAGATGGCAGTGAGCACGTAGCGCCAAGAAGAACGGAAGGGAACCAGCGACGTACATCGAAGTAATGGTGCGCAAGACTGCGAGGAGCTGAGCAGATGATGATGACGATCAGCGCCAGGAACTTTATACCGAGCATACTTAGCGAGGTACTCACTCTTTGGGGTTCTGGGCAGCCTGCATGTCGCCCCGCTCTGCAAGATATGATACGCCACCAGTCCGGACCTTTGGAAGCATTTCAGCAGCGAGCCTGCAACAAACTCAAACAGACAGAATGATGCTCACCATCCCGTCTGATGCGACGCCCCAAGACCCCTCCCGTCGTCCGCATGGAAATACTGCCACGCAAGGCCAATGTATCAGCGTCCGCGCGTCCATCAATGTCTAACGCGACACATCGAGGCAGGACGCACCTCATAAAACCAGACATAGTCGCGGAAGTGCGGGTCGTGGTCGAGTTTGGGATTGCCGCCGTTGGCGGCGCGCTTGCCCTCCACGTCTCGCCCGAAGATGTGGATAATCCTGTGCTGGATCTCTTCTGCGACCTGCACCAGGTTCATGTAATCTCCGCTCCCCGTCGGGCATTCCACCTGTGGACGACGACCCACGAGTGTGAGATGTCATTGCAAACGCCGGGTGTTCTTACGATGGCATCTCGGACTAACCTGAACGTCGTCGCCGTAGAACTGATAGAAGCGCTGCAGACTCTCGATGAGGAGGAAGTTGACCGCGAGCCCTGGCAGATGCGGGCTCAGCACGGCGAGCATGGAACAGTGGGGCATAGAAGCCGCTTACAGATGGGACCACGCCAATTCGAGTTCCCGCCGAACATGCCCGACTTGGAGTCTCCCGGCCAGTAGTTCACTTCATACCGTTCGCCATTAACGTCCATCCCCCAAGGATGATCCTTGTGTCTCTTGGACAGCCTAAACGTCATATGATGAACGTGATTATCTATGCTTGCATCATGACCCTAGATGTCACTTACGAGCGGATCCCGTGCTCGCTAAAGAACTCGTCTTCGTCAAGCATCTTCTCCAAGATCTTGACCAAGCGTTCTTTGCTCGCGAGAGCCAACAAGCGACGCTCGCCACGACCACGCGCTGTAAGAACGAAGGTCAACTCCAATGACCATCTCAATTCATCAGCCGGCACCGACGCACCCTTCATGTTTGCCATGTTCCGCTCCGACATCTCCGGCCTGTTATCCATGAACCACTCCAAACGCTTCTTGAATCCCGGAAACCGATTCACCGTCGCCGGCTCCAGCACGAGCGTCGCATACAATGGGATCAGCCCCACCAAGCTGCTCACCGGCAGCTGCATCGAGTGCCCGTTGTCGAACTGGATCGCGTCATAGTACATCCCGTCCTCCTCGTTCCACAGGCTGAACTCGTCGTCGTCCCCGCTCCCGCCGCGGAACGTCATCGCGTCTGAGATGAAGATGAAGTGCTCGAAGAACTTGGACGCGATGTCCTCGTACACCTCATTGTGCTTCGCGAGCTCCAGCGCGATGCTCAGCCTGTCGAGCGGACCGCGGACATGAGTGTGAGAAAGAGCGATATCAGACATATGATTTCGGATTTTGGAGGCTCACATGTTCAAGCTGTAGAACGCCATCCATGCCGTTCCGTCGGCCTGGCGCAAGGTGCCACCAGTGGGGAGAGGCTCCGAGCGGTTGAACACGCCGATGTTGTCGAGACCCAGGAAGCCACCCTCAAACACGTTGTTGCCGCCCTGGTCCTTCCGGTTCACCCACCTATCGCCCCGTTCACCAATCAGCGTAAACCAAAGTTCACAAATTTGTTTTCGCCTACCAGGTGAAGTTCAGAAGCAGTTTCTGGAAGACGCGCTCCAAAAATTGCACGTCCTCGCGGCCGTACAACTTGCGCTCAATCTTGAACACACGGAACGTGGCCCTGACCGAAAGTGAGGACATGTGCTTCCTTGACCACGTAATTGTCACTCACCATGCGTGCACCGGTGGGTTGACGTCGCCAAAGTTCCACTCGTAGGCTGGAATCTGGCCATCAGGCTTCATATACCACTCGCGTGTCAGCAGATCGAGCTGCTTCTTCGCGAAAGTTGGGTCGACCACCGCGAGAGGGATGCAGTGGAACGCTGTGTCCCATGCGGCGAAGAATGGGTATTCCCACCTTGATGTGGAAATCAGCCAAAGACATGAGCGCATACATTTCCGAGGACGCACTTGTCGGGCATAGACAGGATGTCCGCGATGTACAAATGTTTCCAATCCTGCCGTGGTTGTTCATGAGCATGTGGGAACCCATGGTCGATGCGTTTAAACGTACCCTATTCCTGATGTACTTGCGCTCAGGCGGTGGCGGAGGCTGAGCGGGGTCACCCTTAAGCCAATCCTTTTGGATGAACTGGTAGAACTGCTTCGTCCACAACATACCGGCCAGAGCCTGACGCATGATTTGCTTGAGATCATCGCTGATGGGGCCCATGACGAGCCCAGCGTAGAACTCGTCTGCCTCCTTGCGCCGCTCTTCGACCGTCTCATCGAAGATACCCTCGTCCTCGATGCTGGGATCAGTCCGGGGAGTGCGGGGCGTGAGCTTCAGGCGGACGACTGCGCAGCCTCCGCGTGGGGGTACATCGTGAAAGACGTAATGCGCCGCGGATTTGGTGCCACGCTTGGCAGGGTTGACGTAGGACGGACCAGCGGGGAACGGGGTGCGGGGGCCTTGTTCCTCTTCAGAGCTGGGGGTCTCATCATTGCGTCCGTTCTGTTGTCTCGCGTAACTGGAGCGGATCTTGGTATGGAAGAAGCCAGGATGTCCGTCTTCGTCGCCTTTGGGACGATGCGAGGGTATGATATGGTCGTGGAACGCGTCCTTGACGTATGGTGTCTCGTTGTTGCCACCATACAAGCGATTGTAGTTGGTGTTGTTCTCAGTAAACAGCAGGTCTGCCTCGACCGCCTCAGGTTCGCCGCTGTCGCCCACCAGGAGCTCCCCTTGGCTGTTGACAGGAGGTGGCGAGGGAAGACAGTACAGATGATATTTTCCAAGGGTAGAGTGCTGTGCCGTGATCACGCCGTCCCCCGAGGCCCACATTGACGGCTTAGGAGGATGGTCCTCGGACCACGACCAAGTGTTCGGGAACCAGAACTGGGGAATCACATGAAGAGTGGCGGGCTCGGGTCCACGGTTGTAGGAGGTGATGCGAACGTAGATGCTCTCTGGGTCCTGCTCGTCTTTCGCGTACTGCGGAACGGCGTAAGTTCTACTGACGTCACGAAAGGAAAACACACACCTCCATGAAGACGTCCCAATACCGGTCATCATCGAACGCATCCGTATCCAGTATTTCGAACTCCGAGACGTCACGGTCGCGGTTCACGTTTTCGCGGACGAGCTCTTCGTACGGGAAGGCCTTCTGCGGGTACTTGTACAAGAACTTCATGTACGAGTGGGTCGGAGTCGAGTCCAGGTAGTAGTACAGCTCCTTGACGTCCTCGCCATGGTTTCCCTGGTGCCCGGTCACGCCAAAAAGGCGCTCCTTCAGGATGCGATCCTCACCATTCCACAAGGAGAGCGAGAAGCAGACCCGCTGATGGTTGTCGGATATGCCGGCGATACCGTCCTCGCCCCACCGGTAGACACGCGACCGGGCGTGCTCGTGCGGGAAGTGGCTCCAAGCGTCACCGTTCGCGGAGTAGTCTTCGCGCACCGTCGCCTATGCGCGCACACGCGTCGGTCCCGCGAAACGACTAGCGTTAGCGACGCGTTCCCCAGAGTCCGTAGCCGATAGAACAAAGCGACGCACCCATTGCCTGTCGCTTAGATAAGGACCCCACCGCTTCCAATGGCGTTCCTTCTTGTTGTCCTGATCTAGGCGGAAACGCTCCGTACCATGATAGTTTTCGCCGAGCTTCTCGGCGATCCTCTGGCGGAACGGCCTGGTGTCGACGTCCGGGTGGGACTGCTTGGGAGGCGTCTGCTCCGTGGGCATCTTAGGCGGATCGGGCCCGTTCTGTGTAGTGCCCGTGAGGACGGGATTGGGTATGTTGATAGTGAGGCCGGCGGCGGAGGCGCCATCGCCAGTCTTTGTGGCCTTGTCGTCGCCGTCTGCGTCGCCGTTCTGGCCACGGAAGATCCTCGCCTGGAGCTTCTTCAAAGGGGTGTTCTGCTGCGACATGGCGGGCAGCGGGAAAAGGGACTGGGGGTGACGGGGAGGGGATGAAGGGGTGGGGGAGATGCTCGAGCCCCATGTTGAGATGGAATTCTCTAATACTCGCCGCCGGGCGCCTCTGTTCGCTCCAAGGCCGGTCTCGCGCAGACGCGACGCGTTCTGTCACGTTTCGCTGTGACGTCATTCTCTTCGCCATCGTGCCCGGGCTCTTGACGGCCAATCGCACTCGGCGTAGCCTCCCGCGACGTCGTCCTCGTCAGTTGTACGTACTTGGCCTCACACGCGGGCACCCACCCTGTATCTCAGCCCCAGTCTTCGCCAGGACAAGCCAGCTGCTAGCCGCTTCCAGGGTCGGCCTCGTATCGCATCTACGCGAAGAGCTAGAATAGGCTCATCTCGGAGTGCCGGTAGAGTCTTCAATTCACTTAGACGCTCACAATGAAAGAGTAGACGACCGATAGATTGATAGGCGATAGATTGTAATATTAGTTAAGTAATGTCATAAGTGCGACGACACAGACGTTACGCTGGCTAGCTGCTGGTGCGAGAAAGTGAATGATATGGGTCGGGACATGGCGAGGGCGATTGACTGGGTCTCATCGGCGGCATGCGGGCGTTGTGACCCTGTTGGCGTTGTGCGGGTGGTACCGTGTAAATTGTAGAGCGGGCGACCCAACAGCGGATGTGAGAAGACACTGTGGGCGAGCGCAGATCGCAGATCGTAGAGGGCAGGGCCAGAGCATCAGAAGTAAAGGGAGACAACAGGGGCGACAGGCTCGCAGTATAAGTAACGGAACGAACGACTGAACGGATGTCCATGGTACGCCCAAAAGCGCAAGAGCTATATGTGTACGGACGGGTACCCCGGCCCCGCCCCGTGCGAATGGCCAGACGGCGAAGCAAGAAAGGTTTGACAAGATGCACGCATGCAGCGCCGGCACGCCGGCACTTGCAGAGCCAGCTGCGAGGCGTGCATCCTATGTACATGCAACCCAACCGAGGCGTCCTGTCGAGACGCTGGCGGGTGGTGGATACAGCCCCCGCTGCCGCAGACGTGGCTAGGAAGAGGAAAAACGTCTACGACGCTTCTCCGCTCGCTTCTGCAGCGAGCAGCACGCTCCGCGTCCAGTCGTCCTGCATCTCCGCAACGTCGACATCGATCGATGGCGTATCCGACGCCTGCGACGCCGAGCGCGCCCGCTGCTGTGGTGGCGCAAGCTCACCGGCGGTGTCAGGAAGAAAGAGTGATGTCGTTCGACCGCGATAGAAGTCTGCGATAGGTGTCGACTGAGGGGTAGAGAAGACGGACGATCCGCCAGAGTCTGAGCGCTGGCTAAGAGCGGGGACGTCTAGCTTCAGGGGGTCCACGACCGTAGCGGGCGCCGAGCGAACGGTGCTCGAGACCTCCCGAGTTCCCCTCAGCTGATTCACATTCGCTTGAAACCCCAACTCGATAGGCGAAGAGGAGATAGAGGTATCCAATCGAGGGGGCGAGCTCGCGAAATGGATAGCAGGTCGAGTGCTGGTGGCGGTCGCGCAGGCGCTGCTGGCGCTAAGGGAGACCGCAGAGGTGTTGCCTGAAGAGCCCGTGGCGGACGGCAGCGAGGACGTCGACTTCTTGGTGAAGAGCAGGTGCAATGACGGTCGCTTGACGCGCCGCAGCGGACCGTTCGGAGACAACTGCTCATCTTCAGTGGTGACATTGGGGGCTGACTCCGAGCGGAGGTGGGGAAAGGAGAGAAGCGTGAAAGACTTCTTGTGGGACAGCGCAGTAGGTTTGATTGGAGAGTGAGGAACGCTACCACCAGCAGACGGGAATGGGACGGCAATCTTGGTGCGAGGAGAGATGAACGACGGTGACGTGTCTGGGATTGCTAGGGAGTTGGCCGATGCGAGGGACTTGCTGTCGCCGGCGTCTCGCGCGGATGGAGGGTCGGGAGACACCAATTCTTCAGAGACGGAAGAGGAGTCAAGGGAGTCGGAGGAAGACAAAGGAGGGACGGTAGAGCCGTAGATGAGGGGACTGGGTGTGCGGGATGGGCCGTTGGAAGTCCGCTCCAGCGCAGAAACAAAGGACGCAGCATCGTCAGGACTGTCCTTTGTATTGTTGTCAGGCACGTCATCCAACTCGATCACTGGCAGACGCAAGTCGATCGAGGGCGTCATGGTTCTCGATACTGAGCGCGAGTGTTGAGGAGCGGGGGCCTCAACAACCGGGCTGTTGCCAGTCGCCTCCTGGACCGCCTGCAAGACGGCTGGTTGAGCAGGCGGTCCGTCCCAAATTCCTTCGACTTCGCACAAGACCCGCAGTAGAGAGGGACTCATATTGAGACTGGGGCAAAACACCAACATTAGATTACCAAGAGGCATCTTCGTCTCTTTACTGCGCCCCGCAGTGGCTTTGATGAGCTCCACGACTGTGAAGATCAAGTCACGATTCTCTTGAGGTAGCTGGGAGATCAGCCAAGAAAACGCAGTGCGTTGAGCCTCAGAGATGACGCGAACGCCAGCGAAAGTGGGCATAGCCAGCGTTGAAAGAGACGGAGGCTTCCGGAGTCCAGGCGTAGGGTGAGAGGGCAGTGGTTGCTGTGTGACGTCCTCGATCCGCCGGCCATGCTCGTCTGCCAAAGCGGATTCAAAGTAGTGCAGCAAGTCCGTTGTCAAGATCGGCGCAGGAACTACAAGCAGTCGTCAGCTCCAGCAATCTCGAACCAAACGTGCACCACTCACGTTCACGCAAGAAGGTCTTGAAGATGGAAGAGACGGCATGCGGGTCGAGATCGCTGGGGTCCGCTTCGATCAGGTTATAATCGCAGCCTGTGCGAAGCTTAATCAATGAAGCTCAGACCTGAGTCGGTGATACTCACCCGCGTCAAACTCTGAACGCAACTTCGCCACATGAGACGACCGCCCGCTGATTCTAAGATGTCATACGGCTCGATCCTCAGCCCATCTCGACAGCATGGAAATGGCGGACGTACCGGAATAGACCCTCCTCCTGAATGCCCCAACGTAAGATGTGCTGTGCACAACGAACAACCAGTGCCGGCAGTGACCTGGACTCCAGCGGTCGGAAACCGAAAACCTCCGCCTGCTCCTCTCCGCTCGCCAACCGTGTTGAGACAGCGTCGATCGCCGTCTCACGGACGGCCGAGCGCAGATCCCTCTTAAACAGAAGACCGCCCACGATGCTCAAGCCGGAGCTTGAGAGCTTAGGACCGCGGAGCCGTCTTCCGAGATGCGGACCCGGGGGCACAAAATGGTCTTCGGAAGACGATGAAGTAAGTGACGAGATGCTGGACGCATTGGAGAAAGCGTGCGGAGCCTTCCGCCTGCCTTTCCGACCAGTCGGGCCGGAATGGTGTGAGGGAGCATATACCGAAGCGCTATCGGACATGCCCGTAGACGATGAGGACGAGTAACCAGAGTGATTCGAGGCGCTAGATGTGAGACCTCCCCAGGCACGCCCGACCTTCTCGACGGCCCGCTTGCCGAAGCCCATCGCGAGACCAGCGGCTGGCGCGAGGCTACCGGTCATGCTTACTGCAGTTTGTCGGAACGTAGGGTTGACTGGCGGAGGAATGAATGCGCCGGGTTGTCGACGAGGTTGTGGTGGTGGAAGGTTAGGGAGCGGGCGTTCGACTTGGGCATGCGGAGGTGGAGGGGTGGCGATGGCTGGCACAGCAGTCCAGGCTGCAAGGCGACCACGAATATCGTTACCTGTGGTCTGAGTTGAGCCGGGCGATGTGACAGGAGATATGATGCCTGCCGCTGCAGTACGTGTCAAGGTCGGCGTATCGCGGGTCGTGGAAAGCGGGGCGTCGGTGAAGTTGCGCGACTGAGAAATTACAGGAGGCGACGACTTGCCAGACGTACGGGATGGCACTAAGCTAAGTGACGCCGACCGACGGTTGCGAGCCTTCAGCGAGCCAGTCGGCGACGGACGGCCTGATGCGGGGTGTCTAGAACTCGTTTCACATTCCGATACCGTGCCATCCGTCTCTTCGAACATGGTAAACTCGGCGTCAGTGATGAGCGCGCTCAGTCGCTTGTTGACAGGCGGTACGATCGTGTTCCCGGAATGCGAGGATTCCGCGAGGGATACCGGACGTGGTGACCGGTTTCCAGACAGTGCGCCTGGACGGATCGTGCTATGGCTAGCCATCGTCGCGTCGCTCTTCCGCCAGTCCTCCTTGGTCTCCTTGACCTTGTCGGCGTCATGCGCGCTTGGGGCGGCTTCCGTAGCAACGAACGCACCTGAATCCGCGGCCTCGGATGACCTCGCACGGCTCGACGATCGAACGGGAGCAGTCTGTAGTCTCGTCACCGGTGCTGCGGCCGCAGGTTTCGGTGGAGGCGGGGGTGGCGGGGGCGAACGCAAGTCCGGGACCGGCTGCGGCAGCGGCTTCTGCAGGCTCGCTTTCCGGCCACCAAAGACACTCGGAAGATTTAGAAGCTTCGGCCCACCCCCTCCACGCGATGGAGGTCGCTCCAATTTCAGCTCACCGAAATTGGGCATCGCTGATGGCGGGGCCCTCGTCGCAGCTCCCTCCCAGTCGCTCTCCCTCCCCGTCCTGTCCGTCGACGTGAACATCGCGCTGATATCTTCCGACTTCTTCCTCCGGCCGGCCCACGCGCGCTTCAGTCGATTACTGGCACTAGACGTGGTGCTGGGGGCCGGCGACAGTGGTGGGGGACTCGGCGCTGCGGGCCGAGCTTGGCTTTGACCCATGGTGGACGGAGGCTTAGAACGAGAGCCAGCAGCAGCGCCGGGGTTAAGAGCAAGAGGGAAGAAGCGGGGCTTGGAGGACGAGGTTTGGGAGGAGACGGAACGATCAGATGTTAAGATATCGCTCTGACTTGAACTAGAGGGCGGGGCTGCGGGGAGGAGGTCGGAAGACGCCCTCGAAGAGGAGAACGAGGACGTCAAAGAACTGGAGGATACACTGCTGGGCAGGGCATGGGTATCCGTGGTCCGGGGCTGCGACGAAGGCGTGACAGGCATTTTGGTAGACGCAGGCCGAGAATAGGGCGAAAACGATAATGATATGTGGGCCGAAGAATCAATGGGAGTCTGCCAACGCCTATGTCTGGGGATTACAAGTCAGATAACAGACGGAAGTGGGGCCAGCGCAACGAGGACACAGCGAGGTGATCCTTCCCTGCCAGACCAGGAACACTCACTGCTGTTGGACTGCCGCCTAAGCAGAGATGGTGATCATCAATAAGAGGAATAAGTAGACCCTAGACCGTCGCAGAGGTGTGCGAAGGACAGCACGGGTGGAAGGTGGATGTGGGGGGAGGAGAGTATGGCGGGAGTGCCGGATATGGGACAATCGAAGTTTCGGTTCCGGAATTCCCACAGTTCGCAGCCAGGCCCGAATCAAAAGCGAATTGTTGATCATGCCTGTACACAGTGGGGGTCTGCTAATGTAATGATAATCTACAGGGGGACCATAAAAACATGCAAAGAAGGTCGCTAGAACAAATACTAGTCTATTCGCACTGACATCTCCCCGGTCCTCTCACGCCTGCCATCGTCCGCGTGCGAACTAGACTACGCCTGATAGTCATGAAGCACCCAGCAGCTCCTTCACAAGCTCATAAGTAAAGAAGGACGTGGCAATGCTCGGCGCAACCTTCACTGGAAGTAGCTCCCATCAGCTCTGCTGTTACCCATGACGCAACCGTAGTCAATGAAACACTCACGGAGATTCGGCCAGAGCCCTCTATACAGTCCTCTGACGCCCTCGTCCCGGATAATATGCTGAAGCGCATCCAGGGCACCGTTGTATTTGTATCCGAGCATATTCATTCCTGTCACCTGCATCTTCCGCCGAAGAACATCGAACGGATACGTTAGGGTTTGCGATACCGAACCGGCCAACGCGCCGCATGCCAGCTTCCGATGCACGCCGCTCTTCCCAGGTGGTGTAATGATTGCTCGAAGTGCCTCGTAAGCGGCGAAGTTGATACCTATCGCGAGTGAGCTCAGATCGTGGGAGAACGAGGATCTCCACATGCTCAGCACACTCACCAACGTACGGCGCGACGCCCATAGCCGTCGGTATCAGTCCACGATATAGTGCTCTAACTCCTCCTTCTTCTCTCATCACCCTAAGTGTCATTCCCCATACTGTGAGATCCTGTGGCGAAAAGACTGAGTGCGTGGTCAATCGTGTTGTAGCAGACGCTGTATGGTATGCCGACGCCAGGGCTGATTGCGCGGCCTTCGAAGACGAGGTCGACGCCGCCGCCGCTTGCAAGGGGATAGATGCCGTCGCGATGGATAATCGCGAACGAACGAGATCTAATGGATATGTTGTGCCTGTTTGATGAGATAGCGAATGTCAGCAAAATTCCGGAGTGCGCAAAACGATCCGCGCGGGACGGACTATGCTGTTCGTTCTGGACAACAGGATGTGAAAGCGGTCGAGGGTACTGACTGAGCAAAGTCAGAACGGCCGCGATGCAACAGTTCATAGACGCTCGGAATTGGACATGGGCGACTTTATGGATCGTGCGCGCAAGTGTTCACATGCACAAGGCACGAAGTCCTTTGTACGGATTGAACAGCATAGCGGCAAGACTTAGAATACGCACAGACAGAAGTGATTCCAGCGAGGGCGCCAGCGCAGAGCCGCTTCGGGGTATCGAGCTGTTTGTTCCCGTATCCGGTGAACCACTGAAAGACTCAAGTGAATTCGTGAGCAGCGCACAATACGTCCATACGGCTGACTTACTTTCTTGAGCTGCTCATAGGTCGTAAATTGGACTGCGCTGCAGGAAGCGTGAATCTAGCCTCGTTCGGCACAAGGGGGAATAACGGATTGACGCACCTGTAAGGTATTATCCGCAAACAGTTGATACCGTTGCCCCTCATGAAGCCCTTGAAACCTTCCTCCCTCCACATGCGGACAAGGCTGTTCCACACGCCCTTATACTGCCTGTCCGAGGATGGAGGTTGCACTTGCCTTCCGGTCCGCAACCGCATGTTGAGTGCCCGCTATCCACGACCAACCACCTGAAGCGATACCATGCGACTCACTGGATGATTTTCAGTCTCTCCAAGGGACTGACCACTGTCCGCGAGGCGGCGCCTGCGATGCCTCCGGCGATAAAGTAAGACGAGAGTTGGGGGCTCAACCACTTTTCCGTAGGCTTTTCCGTGGGTCTCTGCTCCTGCTCTGCCATCTTCACTTTGTGCGAGGGGGACACCATGTTCTGCTTGGGTTGTAATGCAGGCGCAGTCGGTTGTGGTGATGTCATGACGTGAGAATTGGGCAACCGTACAGCATACAAGAGATAGTCGAGGGATGTCAGAAACGTGTATTGAGTACGTCGAGACTAGAATCACGACGAGAGCGACAATGAGCGGTGACTGGAATGTCGGGGTAGTTGAAGTTGCAAGATGAGAAGTGTAGCCAAGTGCTGCAGTGGGACAAGACAACCTGCCACCGAATAAATGTAGGCACGTGACTGTACCGCCAAGCTTCCGAACCTGCGGAGAGTTTTCGGAATTCCTGATGACGTCTGAATTTCACAGAATTTGAAGATCGCCGACAAGACATTCACACGACTCAGAGCACTCGTCCAACTACAAGGAGTGGAGAGAGCACTACATCAGAGCAGTAGATTGACAGACAAAGGGGAATCAGCGGACAGGTAGCAGTCCGCGCTATGATATAACAACAGTCCGATCAAGAATGACTGCTACCTCACCTATTTTGACAGCCTCAACCACACAGGAGCAGCGAGCGAGCCCTCGTAACTTCAACCTATGCCGCGGCGGCAGGTCCACCCTGAGCGCGAGCCTCCTGTTCACCTGCACGATGAACTAGTTGAGGAACCAATTCGTGAAGGGGGAGGTCCAAGATGGGCTCACCTCGTCCTCGACCCCTCCCGCCGCGACCGCCGCGCCAATCCCCATCGGGCCGCCCGCGAAAACCTGACAGAAAGACGGTGAGGAAAACAGTATTTGATTGTGGGGCGAAACCAATACTTACCACGGTCACCCCCTCGCCATCCACCGCGACCACCGCGTTCGCCATGCTCGCCACGGAAACCGCCGCGCTCACCATACTCTCCACGGAAGCCGCCCCGACCACGGTGCTCACCGTGATGCTCTCCACGATGCTCTCCACGATTATCTCCACGATGCTCTCCACGATGCTCTCCACGGTGTTCGCCTCGGAAGCCGCCGCGATAGCCACCACGTTCACCGCGGAACCCGCCACGCTCGCCACGGAAATTGCCACGTTCACCGCGGTAGGCACCACGCTCACCGCGGAAGCCGCGTCCGCGTCCGCGACCTCTGTGGGGTATGGTGAAGCCATCTTCATCGACAAGCTGACTGTTTCCGTTTGTCTGAGGAGTCTGAGGAGTCTCCGGAACAGCGGGTTCGGGTTCGGGGGCAGGTGATGCTTCACTGGAGGTGCCGTAGTGAGCCTGGAGGTTAGCCAGCGAAGGAAGCTCTTCATGGTCCTCGTCCGCCCAGCTCAGCTGGCCCGAGGCAGCAGGCACCTACAAATCGTCAGTCAGCTATAGCTGCGCAGAAGACAGAGAGTGATGTCTGACCTCGGTTAATGTAGTGATCGTGACAGTGTCCTCAACGATTGTATGCCCGTTAATCTGGGCCTCAACAACGGTCTCCGTCACCTCAACCTCTGTGGGTCCATTTTCTGTGGGCGCAACCTCGACCCATTCAGTGCCGTCTGCCTGGTTGTCAGCCTCGACTTCGACTTCGACTTCGACTTCGGCTTCGGCTTCGGCTTCTGCAAGTTCATCCGTCATGATGAAACGAATCTCCCCGGAGGGACCCGCGCTCGGCGGGACACCACCGACAGTTGTCTCCTCAGGTACAAACGCGGGAGAAACATCAGCGGGCGTCTCTTGAGGCGGCGGAGGGTGCAAGAATTGATCCTGTATCTCCCTGATGCGCGAATCTAGGTAAGACACTGGTGAGTCAGGTAATAATCTAGTCTTGGGGGGTACTTACAAGGTACGCCGAGATGGTCGCCCTCGCCAGTGAAAATGCCACGAATCACCTCAGACTTCCCCTGTGGATTCTCGTGGAACAAGGTGTTTGTGATCGAGTAGATGACACTGCCCTCCGTCTCGCTAAGGTTGAGGGTAAATGCCTCAGGTTGCCCGTTTGATAGCACATTGAGCAAGCGAAGGAAGGTTACAAGCTCAGCCGTCTTCTCGAGGTATTCGGCCTGCTCCGCGGGGGGAAACATGAACACATATCGTGGTGAAGAACAGGACACTGCACACCTGAGTAGCTGCGACAGCATCACGTAGCCTCCCCTCCTGCACGCGGGCGGCCTGGGCTTTCACGAACGCGAGCTCCTGAGCGACTTCTGCTTCGTGAATCTGTTCGTAGACAGTGTCAGCACGACCCTGCGGGATGGCAGCAACCAAGACTAATCCCCTGACCTCGATCGCCTTCTTGACTTCTTCAAGTTCCTTGCTGACGGCCTCAAGAGTCGGGAGGGTCTTGAGCAAGCGCTTCTGGTCTTCGTTCAGCTTCTCCGGAGGCTCATTCTGATATAGCTGTATCCTAGTCTGAAAGACGGAGTGCAAACGTAAGTCGCCATCCATGGGTACGCGAGCAGTCCAACAGGCATGACGTATTCAATCGCAGTGGCAGGCGACACGAGCCCGGCCATCCGCCGATCAACAAGCACGAGCACTCACGATCTTCTTCCCGTTCGCCTTTAACCTCTTGTTCAGCATATCAACGATAGGAGTCGGCTTGTGTTCGCCGATGGGCGTCGCAGCTTCCCCCTCCGATGGCTGCGCGACCAGCTGGGGGGCAACAATCCCCTCCTTCACATCACTCTCCTTGGGGGCCTCCTCGATCAGCGCAGCACTTGTCGTGTCCGGGACAGCGACATGAGAGCCGGCCTCGCTCTCTTCCTTCGTCTTTGCGCCACCCTTGCGCTTCTTCTTTTGTGATTTAGATACAGGGGCCGGGGGCGGGGCTCCGGGGACCACGCGCGGTGTTACCGTGATAGGTGTATCGGGCATTTTGGGTGGAATTCTGAGATGAGTGCTTCCTCTGATAGCTGGTGAGCTGGCGGGCGTTGTAGGACGCGAGAGCGGCAGGGACGCGAGGGAACAAGGAAAGAATTTAGGTTACGGTCATTGACCAGCGAGTCTGGTCGGGGCTGTTCCCACGCTACAGCTCGACTCACGTCACCCCTTCGTCCGATGCGTTTCGTTCCCTAGCTTCTCCCTCTGCTCTGCAGTAAGTAGTGTCCAGGAACTGCTCCTCCTCTACGACTCTCTGGCATTATGCATGACAGTCGTTGGATAGCTATGCTTACTTGTCGTACGATCCGGCTATGTTCGTCGAGATGCACTCCTGGGCATGTGCATGAATGACGATCTCTTCACTCGAGATCATCGCAAGGACCGCACCTAGAGTAGACACCTTTGAAGGTCGTTGGACTGCTATAGCAACACTCTTGCTCCTCTTCCTGGGTAAAACGACATCACAACTATGCTTGTCGGATGTCCTCCGCCGAGGTGTCCCATTCCGTGCGACTGACTTTCGTGTCTAAAGCGAGAGAAGAAATCCTTGTGGGAAGTCGCTGTAGTGGTGTGTACGCAATTTCCTTGACCAGCTTTTCGTGAAGACTCACATGTCTGTTCAGCTACATGGCGCATTGCCTTCTGGACTGCTCATGTCCGAATACCAGGCCCTCTATGCCAGATTACGACCATTGCTGACAGCCCCAGAGGCTGACAATGTGAAACCCATGAGAGCCCCATGTGTTGAAACGTTCGCTGTCCGTGTCCCTACCGTTGGCTCGTCAACCTCCTACTTCTGCCACCCAAATGTGCGCGACTGTCGTCTCTATGGCCACAGACTTTAGCTCCAATCGATGCGCCTCTCCCCTCGAGGAGTATGAAGTGCCTATCAGGCACCCCGATCTCTACTTCGAGGACGGCAACCTGTCTATCGTCGCTGGGCGACAGTACTTCATCGTCCACCGCGGGCTCTTATGCCGTCACTCCGAAGTCTTGCAAACTCGCATCGATTCCATCAAGACAACGGACGAACGCATGCTGGAGGGTCTCGCTGTACTATACTTGGACGACTCCCCAGAGGACCTCGCTCATTTTCTCCGCGCTTTGTACGGGTGAGTAGTCCTGGTTCTGTGGTTCATTGCTCATGATGCTCAAAGCCCGTTTGCGCGTAAGTAGGTTGTCTCATGACAGCACAGCGGAGGAATTTGCTATGATTTCTGCCGTTCTTCGCCTCGCTACGAGGTATGGAGTGGAGACGCTGCGCGAATCTGCCCTAAGGACCCTATCACTCTCTTGGCCCGAGACGCTACCAGTATGGGAAGTACGCGAAAAAGCCGTCACATCCGTTGATGGTATCTATGCTCCTCGTCCCGGACTACCTCATCCCCTGTGAGTCTATATAATGCTCTGTTTCCATGCATGGATGTTGACAAGTGCCATGTAGCGTGCTCATCAGGCTTGCCCGGGAGGTCGACGCCCCTCGTCTCCTTCCCTCGGCATTCTACGACCTATCGCGATACCTTCCGAGTCAACTCATGGAAGGGCACACAACGGCGGACGGCGTGCACCACGAGCTCGACATCGACGACCTATGCCGCGTTCTTAGGGGCAAAGAACAAGCAGCGCGCTTCTTCTCCACCTTCATCGTCACCGAACTCGAGGGACGCACTCCCTCGCAGCTCTGCATGCACCGCAACGAAGTGCAGCCGTCGCTCAAGCGCGCCTGTCAGATGGCGTTCGAGGCGGTCACTTTCGAGCTGATCCGCGACGTCAACGGCATGGTCTGCAATCGGAATAGCGACCCCCTCTTCTCGATAGGGGAGAGCGTTACGATGCAGACGCGAGATGACCATCCTGGGATCGAAAACAAGGCCGCCTACCGGGCGTGTGAGGCCTGCCGGTTGGAGTATAGCGTGATCGTGGAGGTGGCGAAAGAGGAGTTTTGGAGGCAACTTCCGTCTTGGTTCGAGCTGGACGTGAAGCGTTGGGCGTGACCTGCCCGCGCATCGACGAAGGTGTTGATTGTAGTACTTACTTTGCCATCCTCAATGGGTACACGGTCAATGTTCGCTCGACTTCATTTATGGTTCGCTGTTCGTGGCGTGACAGGACAAGGTAGGTCACAACGTGACTTGACCGTTTGTAGTTTGATATCTCGCCCCACCGCTGAGTCCTAGGCTTGTCTCTTGCAATGAACCGCTGTGAGAACTTCATGGAGGTATGGAAGGCCCATTTTTTATGAGGATATTGTAACTCATCAGCATCTCCAGCAGGACTTGGCGGGCCTTCCTGCTGAATATAACGGCGCCGACCTTTCCGACGTCGACCTATTGAATAATATAAGCGACGAAGTCGAGGTTCAGCTAGAGTTATCCGACGACGAAATGTTCGAAGAGCGTGAACATATGACTCATGAACGGCTGGAAGATACGGTCGTGGAGGCCGACGCTCAACAAGACGAGATTGAAGGAGTAGAGTCCGAACGCGATGAAGATCATGACGATTCTCGGTATGCTGTGTTCTACGGTCAGCACCTTCTCTCCTGACTTCTTGAACCATTCAGGGATGTAGTCTTGGAATGTCTCGAAGATTTCGTTCTATCCTTCCTCACCAAACTTGCCGACGCCGCATATAGTCAACCAGGAGGTCAGGCTAACACATCAAAGAAGATCATCGTACAAGTCGCGGATAGGACGAAGGAATCTTCGGAAGAGCACGTATGCGTTCTACGTCCGAAAGCATAGGCTGACTTTCCAGCGCATATAGTCGGTCGCCAATGCGATCTCTGGTCTTTCCTCGTGTCTCCAAGACCCCTAGCGCACGTCCCTTCGGTAAGTAGGATGCATACAATAGTAACGACTACCTAGGTGCTAATTCATACTAGCACAACTATTTCGGGTTATCGATTTGATTCATGAAGCTCTTGTGGACGGCGTGCCAGTGACAAAGCGGTACTTGCACCGTTTGTTCGTATCCATGTCATTGAGCATTTTTCAGGGATATTTATTACAAGGACGTTCAACTATTCCGCTCACAGGCGACTGTTGATCGAGCATGTTTTCTCCGTGCTCCACGGAGTTCTGCTGCATGGCTAACTAGTAGTCTCCAATAGCTCGTCGATGATCTCGCTGCGACACTGCAGCTGACCCGCGCCGACCTAGATGTGGTAGGTCTTGATGGTGGCGGTATAGAAGCTATGGACTACTACCTCGTTCACGTTGTAGCGCGCATCCTCGAAAGGACTGATGTGCGGCTCCGGCGTCACAATGCACATGCAAAGTGGAGAAACCCTTGAGCTGTGTGACGGAGACGTAGGCGCGGTCCATCCCAGAAACATGGCTTCACGTACAGCTCCTGACACACTGTCCAGGCTTCCCTCATCCCTCCATCCGAGGACATCAAGCGGTTTGCAGTAGCTCAGACCCTAGCATGGGTACTAGTAGTGGAAAAAGAGGTCAGAAGCGTCTCCAATCGGCTGCCACTCCCCAATGATTAACATACCCCTATTAGGCCGTCTTCCAGACACTCTGCAGGCTGCGACTGGCAACACACGAAACGTTACCAGGATCCGGCTTGATCGTGACGGTATGGTTTCGCACACACACACATCTCTCTCCAAGTTCCGGTTGAAGAATCCCACTGGTTGTGCAGGGAAAAGGGTATCCGGATGTGGCAACCCGCCAACTTGTCAAGACCCTTGCGGACAACCTCCCGGCGCGGTAATTTGTTTCCTTCCTCTTCGGCCCACACAAGGGGGACCTGATCGGGTTGCATTGCGCAGCGTCCCGATCCTGGCGTTGGTCGACGGAGACGCCTACGGAATCGATATCCTTTCCGTCTACAAGCACGGAAGCACGCGGATGCGGCACGAGAACTCCCACCTCGCGGCCGACCGGGTGCAATGGCTAGGCCTCTGGGCCAGCGAGCTTGCCTCGTATGTCCTCCCGCCCTTACGAGGCGGAGTCCCCCTCCCGATCCGCCGCTCACACCTTACTGATTGCTCGTGATGACCGATCGACAGGCTGGGCATCGACAAGGATGCGCTGCTTCCGATCACGAAGCACGATGAGAAGAAGGTAAATTGTTTGGCATTCCCTTCATGAAGACTCCGGTTGCTCTCGCATTCAGATTCTGTTCTGCTCTTCCATGATTCTGTTCTTCCGTGCTCCTGTGCTCTCCAACTCGTACATATTGAGCTCATGCTGATCCGTTTACGCTCTCAGGCGCGCTCGCTCTTGAAACGAGAAAACCTGCCGGCGCGGTGGAGGTGAGTCTAGAAGACTCTCGTCTCACCCTTGGAGCTCTCAAGGTCCCGTATCGGGAAACCCCGCCAATTCGTGGACGTCTGAGATTGCGGCAGCTGAAACACGGTCGCGGACTAACGCCTGCGTATCCAGGAAAGAGCTGCAGTACATGCTCTTCTCACGACGCAAAGCTGAGATCGAGGTGCTCGGAGCAGCCCGGGCGACCCAGGAGAGCATCGCGGACCTCACTCAAGCTGCCTCCTTCTCACACTGTGACTTCAATCGTGAACGCGCAGGAGGGAGCCCCGGGACACCCTTGTCACGGTACTTGGTCAAGAAGATAGGCGACGCATGTACAGAATCGGGGCACAGTTCGGAGGATTAAGTAGGGTTGCCCCAAATGTCACACCTCTCAATCATGCGCGAGGCTGACTGCGTACGATTAGGTATGACACGTACGCAGCAGACACGTTCTAGCCTCGTTTCTTGTGCGCGCCCGGCTACTTCGGTCCAAGCTGTATATCAAACCGCTCCGAATTCGACAGAGTCTACCTGCGCTCAACAATGAAAGACATGATCTAATTATCCCTGACTCGATGGCACCGTATGAGACATACGAGCTCTGTCCATGATGTTCTCAACAACAGCATATCTGTCCATTTGGTCATGTCCAAGCTGGAATCAACACATCACGTCTAGTTTTCGACCGAAGGGCTGTACATTGGCGGTGGATCGGCAGGTACGCTCGATCCTTCTCCGATTCTGTGTTCCCTCATGACTGCATCCTCCGACTCCTTCCTATAATGCGCCTCCAACGCCTTCTGGTATCCTGCTATCTCCTCGTGGAGACTGGAAGACGTGGTGAGGCGGGACGTCTGGGTGCCTCCCCTAGCAAGCAACAGCGCGCCAGAGCCTGATCCTGAGCTTGCATCGCTGTGGAGCTCGTCGTGGGTCCACGCAGACGGTGCAGTCGACTGCCTGCGAGAGATGCGCGACGCACTTGACGCGTACGGGGACGTCGGGTACGACGGGGATGTAGGAGACGACAGGAAGTCGTCTCGTGTTAGGGGCTGCGGAGGTGTATCCCCGTCGTACGGGTTCGGCAAGGGCGCCGAGTCGTCCGTTGGCGGAGCGACGTTCCGATACTCTTGCGTCGCACGTCGGCCGATACTGTCTGAGAAGTAAAGAGGACCAGGTATGATGTCTGTCGGACTGCTGGCGATCGTCGACCTTGGACGCAGGTTAGGCGGGTGCTGCACGAGGAGGGGCGTGGATGCTAAATTTTCCTTCATCTCCGGGGCAGCAGCCGTGACGGCAGCAGCTTGAGCTTGCTTCCGTGCCTTTGCTCGTCTCCGACGGATGCAGCATACGACGAAGAGAAACAATAGCAAAAGGGCAATCACTATCCGAGGTGAATATGCTATACTCCTGTAGTGGAACGTGTTACTCACGGCATCCTATAACAATACCAACCATAGCTCCTTTGCTCCGACCATGGCTGGAAGAAGCGGAACCTCCGTGGTGACGCGCGTGCCCGCTGTCGTCGCCATCATCGCTATCGCTGTCATCTCCGTCATCGTCGTCAACCCTATACAGGAAGTATAAAGTTGACTTAGCAGTATTGATAGACGTCACCCGTGTTCACTCACCGGACATATAGTTTGATGCTGCGGGAAGCCAGTGATGCCGCTCGCCCTGAACTGGCGAAGACAGCGTGCAGCAGCGCGAGGAGGTACCAATTGGGAATTTGCACTCGCATGGGGGTATCGGGCAGCTCGTGCGAGGAGCTGTCATTTTGGCCCTCACGATATATAGGATTTGAGTACGTGCGCACTGCCCTACTGAGAAGCCTGCCGGCCGCACGAATGGCATGGCGTGAGGACTAGAAGAAGGTGTGCGAAGCCGCAAGCGTGCGGAGGGAAATATGATCGCACGGCCGCACTATTTCCGCTGCGCGAGGAGCATGTCTCTGTAATGAGCCGCGCGACGCGTCGATCACGTGAGAGTGCGTCCTAACGCGTCGCGTTGACCGGCGGAGTCTGAAACCGTGTTGTGGCGGCCCTACTTAAGCGCCAAGGCCAGCGCCTTTCCTCTCGCTTTTCCCCCATCCACGACAAGACTTCCTCCCGGCTCCCCTCGTCGCCGGTCGAGACGGCGCTCTACAATTGTCGACAGGTGCTTCTTACTCTATACTACACCAGCGATGAGTTTGCTACGAGGAAACACGGGGTCCGTCCTCGGTAAGCGGTCGCACCAGACCACCCAGGTAGAGCAGCCCGACTCGACTTTCTCCGATCTCGACAATGCATTGGCCCTTCCAACCCCTGACCCCACTCCAAATCCTAAACGCGCAAAAACCACTGGTAGCGTGCTCGACGGAGATCATAACAAGGAGAACATCCCGCCTTTCGTACTTGAAGCGATCAACGCGTCGGTCCCTTCCAGCCCACGCCGTACTCGTTCATTGCGCCGTACCAGCACAGTGATCGAGGGCGGATCGTCTCTTTCAGGCAGTGAGTTGAACTTCGAGTTGTCGCTAGTTGTAGTTGCTGACGTGGTCGCCAGCGCCTCGGCGTTATGCGTCGACGTCTAACCTCCGGCAAGCGGTTGTCGCCACTCCGGCGACGTCACTCTCACACCTCTCGCTGTTCACCCCACCCTCGACCCCTCCCTCTCTGCTTCTTCCTTTACATGTCCGCGCTCGGGCGCTACTCCGTCCTACGTGCAATGATGGACCGCAGATGGCCGGTCGCGAACAAGAGCGGTCTGAGATCGAGGCCTTCATCCTCGGTTTCATCGGCAATCCTAGCTCCGCCAAGGACGTTTCTGCCTTGTATATCTCTGGATCCCCTGGCACGGGAAAGACCGCGTTGGTCAACGCGACTCTTGCGGACCTCGCTGGCCAGCTTCAGGATGTTCGGGTCCTAGCTGTCAACTGCATGGCGCTCGATGGCGTGGATGCTGTGTGGCAGCAACTTGCCGAGCTGTTCGGTGCTGGGAACAAGACCCCCGGGCGCGTACGCAAAGCGAAAGACAGTCCGCAGCAGATTGTGGAGAAGACGTTGTCGTCTAGCAAGCAGAAATGGTACGTGTTCAGCCGCAAATTCGGTCGCTGTATTGATGTAGAGTTGATTGTTCCAGTCTTGTCGTTTTGGACGAAATGGACCACGTCGCCTCCTCAGCGCAGGCGCTGTCCCCTCTGTTCAATCTTGCGCACACATTCTCCGCAAGCCTAAGACTCATTGGGATCGCGAATACGCACACCCTTACTGCCTCTTCGACCACCTTCTCCCTCCAGTCACTCGCCGGCGTACAGACGCTTCACTTTGCGCCATACACGCCAGAGCAGTTGCTGAGCATTCTTCAGTCAAGGCTTGCCCCTCTACTGGGAGAGAAGGAGACTATGGAGCGTACCAAGAAGTTCTTGCCAACTGCTACGCTCACTCTGCTTGCAAAGAAGATCGCCGCTCAGACTGGTGATGTGCGCGCTGTGTTGGAGGTTCTCCGCGGTGCCATCGACATCGCAGCCATCGCTTCTACGTCGGACTCCCTGGATGGCCCTTCTCCTGCAGTCACGCCTTCCCACATTCTCTCCGCGCTGAAGGCATATGCGCCCGCCGGAAAGACCACTCCGGCGTCTGCTCCGTCCGCCGCTGCCGGAATCGTTCGCAAGGCTAGCGATAGTGAAACTGTTATGAAGGTCCGGGAACTTGGTCTTCAGCAGCGTCTCGTTTTATTGGCGGCGTTTCTAGCCACGAAGTCCATTGAAGCCGGCGTCTCAATCTCCGCTTCCCCCGCTTCGTCTCCGTGTCGTTCTCCGGTAAAGCGCACTCAATCGTCTTCGACCGCGTCGAGCCTGGAGATGGGCCAGCTTCACGCGTTCTACACGACGATTCTTGGACGAGCGGACAGCGGCGTTTTCAAGCCTGTCTCAAGGAGCGAGTTCGGGGATCTTGCGGGCGTCCTCGAGGTCGTTGGTCTCTTGACGCTGTCGAGCAACAGCAGCAGCCTTCCGTCCACACCTCGCAAGCCGGGCAAGAAGGCGTTCAGCCGCTCAGCGTCCTTCGCTGGTAGCTCCTGCACACAAGAAGTCCGCTTTGTTGATGGCGTTCGCCTCGACGAGGTCGCTCGTGGTCTCGGTCTCGGTCTTGACGAGGCCCCAGCAGACGCCCGCGAAGAGGAAGTCCGTGCTCTATACCAACGCGAGCAGGCTCGCATCGCCCGAGAGGCGAAAGCGCGCGGACACGTCTCTTCGGAAGTCGTTGGTTTCGAGGAGACTATGGAGGATTAAGCCTTCGGCCGTCAGTCTCGACCGCCATCATCAACGTCGCAGTCAGGGGTCGCCATGCTTGCCATCGAATCAAGACGGCTTCCCTCCCCACATCTCACTTATTTCCTCAATATTTTCTGTGCTCTGTCATCACTCATGCTTGCCATACTATCTGTCTCCTCACTTCTCCCGACCTTGTCATCACACCATCTCGTACCGTGCTCGCTACAGCTACGTGCTCTGTCCAGTTCGATCCCACCATGCCTACATGTTCTTCTGCATTGTTTTGTCATCGCACATCTATCTCCCGTCTCATTCCACCTCGTCTCGTCACATGTCGAAGAACTGTCAGTCGCAGGGACCGTCATCATGCATATATGTCAGTGCTCCGTGTTAGCCTTCGGATCGATGCCTCGTGGATCACATACCACATCCCCGTATCAACAAGTAGCTGTAGTAGTCTCCCTCTGCCAATGTAGTATATCCGTACCTCGTAGTATTAGTTTTGTCACGCGGCATGGTTTTGTACACAGTGATGAATGCAATGCAATGGATGAAGTGTTTCACGATGATTACTAGTGACTTGCTCTTGATTGCGGCAGGAGCGAAGCATAGCGATACACGTGCATGAACATGGTTGTGGCACAGATCTCCCACATCATGGTGCTGCTTTCGCACCCTCCTTCCTGGTCCACCAATCGGACATGTTCAGTCTTAGCAAAAGCTGATGCAAGTTCGCCGTCGTCCTCGACACCCGCCTTGCGCCCTGCATCATGTGGAGCGGGATGTCGCTCAGCACAAGACCCGCGCTGTCCGCCTCCTTCTCGACCAACGCCTTCAGCACTTTCACCTGGCACACACGAACATCCACATCAGCAACTCATTCGCAAGCACACGCGACACGCGCGAGCACACTCACAAACGTCGTCATCTTCGCCCTGAACCGGTCCCACAGGTCCTCGAGGAGCGGCGCAGCCTCGTACTCTTCCAGGTGCCCGTCCTTCAGCTCCCCCGCCAAGACCCCCAGCTCGAGCACGAGCTCCATGCACTGCCTGAGGATGTCGCCCACCGCCCTTTGGCCCGACCGAAGCAGGCACGAGCTCAGGACGTCGTCGAGCACGCGCGAGTGGTACTCTCCTAAGCTGAACACGTCCGCGAACGCCTCGGGCTCCGTTTTCACTCTCCCACCGTCCGTACTGCTGGCGCTCTTGTCGAGGCCGGCTTCTGCGCCGCCTGCGGCGGAAAGGCGGGAGAGGAGGGAGTCCATGTTGCTGCCGATGGCGACGTCGTAGACGTACGAGGAGAGGGCCATGACGAACGCGTGTACGACGAAGCGGAAGTGGAGGAGGCGCTTGTTCGAGGGCGAAAGCGTCGCGAAGAGGGGCGCTGAGGGGTGGCGGGTAAGGCGGAAGAGTGTGCGGACGACGTTTTCCACTGGAATGCTGAGATTTTAGCACAAGCAAACGACCGGGGTAATTCTGGAGAGGCAACGTACCGCGCATGAGCCGGAGATTGAAGGCGAACATCCGGTGATACTTGGATAGGATGGCTGGCGTGATGAGGACGTCGAGAGGGAAAGGGGGCTGATAGTGCATGTAAAGGAAGTCTAGAGCTCTGTGTGAAAGGGTAAGCCAAACGGCGATACAATGATGAACTGAAGCAATCGACGTACTCAACAGCTACGTGCGAGAAATAATCAGCAATATGTCCGGGAAACCTATAGGAAAAACATACCGAGTGGGTTCAACCACTTCTCCCTCCCAGTCCCCATAGGCAAATCGCGGATGGCGAATCCGAGCCTCCACTCCGCCTCCTCCACAATCCTCCTATGCGCCCTCACCTTCTCGTCTTCCGCATGGACGCCTTCCTCGCCATCCGCGGCAGCGAAAGCACGTCCCTCCTCCAGCGCATCCACCACGACCGTCCTCAGCAGGAAGTTCAGATCAGACCCCAAAGGCGGCCACTTGTCTCCAATCGTCAGCGCAGGCGACAGCCCGACGACTCTCTCCCCCTTCTTCGGCTTCTCCTCTCCCGCAATTACACCGCTGGCAACGCGGCTCCGGCTCCGACTGCCGCTCGTCTGGCCGCTCTTCGTCCTCGACCGCTCTCTCGCCCGTTCCCTCACCGCGCCGACAGCATGCATCCTCGATCCAACGACCGCCGCGCTGATGTCCTCGGCATCGCTGAAGAGGGCGTCCTGCAGGCGCGACTTGAAGGCGTGCTCTGTGAGGAGGATGTACCCGCGGAGCAGGACGAGATGCGTGTGGAGGTGGAGGTGCGTCGCAGGGCTGAGGAAGCGCGCCACGAGCGCGCCCGAGAGTGCTTGCGCATGCGAGACGAGTGGCGAGAGTACTCGGGCGGCGAGATGCGACAGAGTCGGAGTGGAAGGAGGGAGAGACGACGGGAATGCGGCGAGGAAAGCGCGGAGGAAGGTCGTGAAATGGGCGTTGGATAGCAGGTTCGTGGTCGGGTAATTGCCAGGTGTAGGGTCACTTTCTCCAGGGAGGAGGTCGAACACCTTGAACGAATGCAAGACGTCCTCTGAGGTTGGGCCTGAGTCGGTCGATCCTACATCCCTCTCGATAGCTCGGGCTGGTGTCCGTACTGAACCGGCGCTGAACGCGAGCCCGTCCTCCATATTCTCCAGCTGCTCCTCCGTCCACAGCCACTCGATCTCCGGATGGAGGTGCTTGCTCGTCAGAAGCGGGTGCTCGGGATCCGCCGCGCGGAGAAGCACGAGCGACTTCCTCGATCGCGTGAACACCTCCGCCAATTCCGGACGAACAGATTCTGGAAAGCCATCCACGTCGAAATCAAAGTCGCCTTCTTCCCGTCGCCCAGTGCCATAGTAGTCGTTCTCATCCTTAGGGAAAGCCGAAGGCAACCCGTCGTCATACGCTACGCGTGCTTTGGTTATGGGGGGTTGCACGGTGGAGCTGGGCGTGCTGTATCCGACGGAGGCGCAGAGGTCCTGCATGTATCCTCGCGACGTGTTGGTGAGCATGAACGCTAGGACTGCGGTGACCAGTCTCGGGGACGAGCGCTCCATATGGTCAGTGAGGTGATTGTAGATGGCGGAGAGAAGTGCGCTAGATGTCGTCGGCAGAGGAATGTAGTCCGCTGGATCCACGTGTTCTTCCTGGCGGTCGATCTCAGAGACATCACAGAAATTGGCGCATATATGCACTTACTCGACCACAGAGGGCAGCCAGAGCTTGCAAGATGCTGCTCATGTCCTCATATTTGGTCCATAATGCCGTCAGTCGCGCATCTGCTCCTAGGTTCGCTTGCAAATCGATCGGGATGGCGTCCGCATTCTCTCGTAGATAGGCCAAGATAGATGACAGTGCATGTCTGAATGCGTGGAGGATGGGAGTAGGCTGGCCACTCGGACGATGATGACTGGGAGCATAGATGGACGCCAGGACCCAAGGGGAGCAAGGGTACCACATACCTTGGTGCTCGATCGTCAGTCAATATCTCCAGACGCCTCATCAGGTTGCCGATAGTGAGAAAGCGCTGCAACAGACTATGTTTGAATCAGCGCAGCGCCTCTCCAAGTCTCGTTGAACTCACCTTGCGCTCACGATGTCATCCTTTCCGACTATGACGACCTGCCCTCGCTTCTTCTCACCCAGACCCCTCAGGAAGAATCTGTGTCGGACGGAATCCCATATATGAAGATGCGATGATGTTCCGCTGACTGTTAGCAGGAGTGATTGGAATAGGTCTGGGATCTGAACGTATACGAGGTGTACATCGGGATCCTGGATAGGTGGACGTAGACTTGTCGGCTGTGAGAACGAGATACGTTCCCAACGGCGCATTGAGTACTCACTGGTACCTGGCCGAAGCGAAGGTGCTAGTAGTCTGTTCCGACAAGAAGGGGGAGGCATTCGCATGTGGACTGAAGGTTGGACGGAGTGCGTCCCATGAAAGCGCTTGGTTCTGGGAGAATCTACGTCTCTGTAGCTTATCGATGCGCTCATATACTGAAAACTCACCATTTTGTTATGCTTCCGCGATGCAGCTGACTGCCAGATGTCTTCAAGATTGCTTTGCCTCGCTTGCGCGAACCTCAGGAGGTCCTCCGACAACGATTCTAGTTCCGGAGGCAACTTGGATGTCTGCGGAGCGGGGAAGGGTTCCGTTTGCGACTTGTTCCGCAACAGACGTAAGGTGTCCATGATCGGGTTCTGTGGCTTGTCGTCCAGCCGTGGTATGAAGAAGCGTGGGGGTAAGCCAGGAAGGGCAGCAGCGTTCTTGCGGACATCTTCAGAAGACGTTTCGAGTCCAGAAGAGAGCGTCGGAAAGATGTCTGTATACTGTCGTTGCATCTCGTCCCCGTCGTCTCGAGAAGTACTTGGGCTTGAGGCGACAGTGGAAGTGACTGCAAGAGCCCGGCCCGGCGCGCGGGGAAACACAGACGTGACCGAACCGAGAGCGCGTTATGTCACACTCCTGACAATTTAGATTAATGCGCACCTTGTAAGCGTGCCTCAGATATTACGTGACTTCTACTCCCGCTTTCGGCCATGGGCCTTGCAATGAATCTACACTCGCGTGGCATATTACCATTAATATACTCTCAACAGCCGTTGCGGCCAAGGCTGGTGAAGAACGAACGTCCCTCCCAGTGGCTGGTAAGCATGAATTGTCTGACACGATCACGTGAAGCGTGGGATGTTTAGATTGGATTGATTGGAAAGGCGCTCCGATGTATCCGGAGTAAACGGATGTACTTATCGGTGCGGCCAAACCTTGAGCAAACCGCCACCATCCGTCATCAAGCTGCCTGAAGATATCTACAGTTTCTAGCCTCAATGCACGCTTGAGGCTGAGCTTAGGATGACATGGACTGGCGTGCGAAGTGGAGATCTGCTACGCACAGGAAGCAGAGTCTGCTCACGCAATGGTCAGAGAGCACAATTCGTCCGTTGAAGTTGAAGCAAAGCTTGAAAGCTCTCCGATATCCTTGTGATGTACAGACTCGGTCGCTTTCGTTTTCAAAAGCCCTCAACGACGCATTTGTCGATCCAGCAGACGCGCCATTAGATTTGAGACGGACGCGTCGCGTCGAAAACACGCGTTATTTGTTTGGATTGATGAACCAGATCGTTTCGTCACGCGTCTCTTCACCTCACACCCGTCTCGCCTCGTCGTCTCTTGCTCTCCTCCACACTGCTTGTCTCCTTCTCCCTCTTTCATCGCCCTTCTCATTGTGCTTCTTGCATACACCCTGTCTACCCTACCCAGTAACAAGGGACATCAACCCCGTGTCCCATAATACTTCCACACGCATGGCCACAGCCGCTGCCCTTCCCCGCAACCCTCTAGCTACACGACCACAGCAGCACAACACCGGCATGTCCATATCCCCTTGCCGGACCACGCTCAAGAGGGCCAACATTGTGCTCAAGCGGCCACACTCCCCCGAGCCCGCTGACACCCCCACCGACCACAGCTCTAAGCGCGTCAAGACGACGCCCAGTGCGCCTGTGGTTCAAGAGTCGCCGACCCCCGCCGCGGCTGCCCGCGCAGAGGCAAAGAAGGAGAAGGAGCGGAGGAGAGAGAAGGAGAGGATCCAGCGAGAAGAAGAGTTCAAGGCCAAGTACAGCCGGGCCTTCCCCAGCTGGGTCTTTTACTTCGATCTCGACTCCGGCAACCCAGAGACTGCGTTGATCAGAAACCACCTCGAGAAGCGGGTATCATACATGGGGGCGGTAAGTGCTGTTGGCGTTCATGATGGAACATTGATTGAACTCTGTCGCGCGTTCGCGTGGTTGGCCGTCGCGTGGGCTCGTGCAGAGGATCGACGACTTCTTCTCAAAAGAGATCACACATTTCATTACGCTGCATGACGTCGACGATAAAGAGAACAAGGAGAAGGAGACTGTACGAGCGGGAGCAGCTTCTGCTGCCGCGGCTGCTGCTGGCGGTGGACTGCTTGCGAGCCCGATCAAACTACGCGGCCGGTACGTTTACTTGCTTGTCACATACATATTGCGCTCATCTCAGTCTTTCCATCTGCTCAGTGCTCTCACGACCGGCACAAAGGCCGAGTCCCTAGTGCAGAAGGCCCAGTCGTTCAACATGAAGATCTGGTCCGCGACAAAGCTTCACAACGTCCTCGACCGCTGCGAAGCGCCTCGTGTGTCTGCATCCGGTGCTCTCCCCACAGCTGCTCAACGATCATCCAAGGATCACAACCTCGCTCAGCTACTCAGGACCGAACGACTGCACGGCACAAGCGAACGCGACCCCTCCCAGCGTCGGCATGACTTTACCTACTTCTCCAAGGACAGCTACTTTGTCCTCGTCGAGGACATCAAGCAGGAGCTCGCCACGGTCGCGGCCGCGGAGTACCCCATCCAGAGGACACGGGATGGGAAGGAGAAGGGCGCATGGCCCGTTCTCCACTGCCACCCCCACGCGCGCGGGCCGTTCCTCGAGTACGATGAGCGCGAAGAGCGCCGGCGACAGAAGCAGGAGAAGGCGGAGCACGACCGGCGAGAAGAGCGCGCGCGACGGAAAGCACGGCTGTTGCAGCACGAGCGGAAACGTAGGGCGCAGGAGGTCCGCATGCAGCAGCACGAGCTCCGGCGGACCGCGTCCATGAGCAACCTCCATCGCCGCGCGGCGTACCCCGACGCCAGCGTCGAAGCGCTCGTTGATCTCGACGCTGACTTCCAGGAAGAGAGCCATGCCGAGCAGGTGCACGCGTCCGGGTACCTTGCATCTGCAGCGTACATGGCGGCTTCCGGGAACAGTGTCAACATCACGTCGAACACGGGCACGTCCACCGCCGGTGGCCTCCTGCGCTCTCTGACTCTGCCCCCTGCGCTGAAGGACAAGCTCGCGCAGCAGATCACGATAAACCGCCGTGTCTCTGCCGCGGCTGTGCCCACTGACCGGGACAACAAGGAAAACGTCATGGGTCCCCCGACGACCATCCCCGACCGCGTGAAGTTCCTGCGCAAGAGCAAGAGCACGAACACGCTCAAGCTCCCGAAGCGCGACGAGGTGTCCAAGCCTGGCTACTGCGAGTGCTGTCGGCAGAAGTTCGAGGACTTCCGCGAGGTACGCGCCCTTCTTTCTCCTGCCTTTTTGTACACGGGTTGATTGACGCGGCACTTGTTGCAGCACATCGTGGGCCGGCGGCATCGCAAGTTCGCGGCAGACGACAACAACTTCAAGGCGCTCGACGCGGTCCTTTCGCGCGTCCGCCGTCGGACCGTCGATGAGGTCGCCGAGGAGAACGAGCGCTGGCTAGCGGAAGTGACCGGGGGTATCAACACAAACGACGATGACGACGACGAGCTGCTCTTGGCGTCGAGGCAGGACGAGGCGTCGGATGACGACGTGCACTGGGACGAGTGGATGACCATGGACGGCGCGAAGGTCGAAGCCAATGCCTGATCCCCCGACGACGACATGGGCACGACCGTCTTGCAATTTACGACTGGTGCCGAACTCCGTTCTGCCCAGTATGGTAGGTTATATATGCGTTCCCCTTTCCCTTTCCTCGCTCCGCAAGCTTTCTATATGCACGCTTTCCATTTGGATCAGCTCTTACATACATAGCACACTGTACAACACCAACCACACCGCACGCCTCGCACGCATGCACACAGCAGGTCTCTCACACTTGTATCTCTCTACATAGCTGGAGGACAATAAGCAATCTCATGCACGGAGTTATCAATGTCGTTCGGTACAGTAGTCAGGGAATGCAGGTGGATATCCTCATGTTGTCTGAGGAAGCCGCGCGACCGCTCTCGCGTTCGATGCGTTTCATGAAGTATTTTAGGTACTTGTTGCCGGCGAGCTTGAGAGCTCGTTGGTCGTTCCGTGATAGACACCGCGAGCAACTGCTTCCAGGTTGGTGTTCTATCACAGCAAACCGGGGGTAGCCGGGTTTCCCGGTGTGCTGTGGCTTACCCCCCGAGAATGCGGCGATGTTGGTGATATGGTCGTAGTAGGCAGGGTATCAAGCGAACAATATTTTCATTCATACCAATGTCACCAAGCTAATGATATCGATACAGGTATACATGTATGCATGCGAGAAGTCGTAAACCGCAACGCGGCAAATGTCAGGTGTCGTGACAATCAAGCAAACTCCTACAGTACATCCCCTCCTGGGACCCCAGACGACGATATCCATTAGCTCACTGGATGGTGACTGTGAGCAGGGTGACGATGCCGTCGATCGCGATGTCGTGGTTCACGCCCTCGGTGCCGGTGGGCAGGAGCCCAGTGATGTTCTGTGCCGTAGTCGAGTACGTCACGCCGTCGTTGCTCGTGATGCCGACCGCGGACTGGACGAGCGTGTCCCGGCCGATGTCGTAGCCGTCGGGGACGATGTCGTGGTTGTCCGTCACGGGCTCCTCCTTCGAGACACTGCATGCATATGGCAGGCACATCCCGCGCGTCAAACAGAGTTGCGCCAATCAGCTTCCGCCGAAGGGGATAAAAGAAAGGCCTCATGGGGCGTGGTGTAGAACGGGAACTCACGCGAGGAAGGCCGCACCGCTGTTCGCTGAGGGGCCGTTCTGGAAGAACACACGGAAGTGGTTGCCGCCGATAAGGGACTCGAGGCAGGTACCGCCGTCCTCGTCGCCGTAGTCCTGACGGAGCTCGACCGTCTGGTTCACAGGGCCGTGACCGTCACCCAGATTGGCGGGGAAGGGGTTGCCAAGGTGGATGCCGAAGCACTCCGTCGAGCTGAAACAGACGCAAACGCTTTCAATGTATCCACTGGTATAGAAGGAGTGGACGTTGGTAGACGTACAATCCGATAGCTTGGGCATAGTTGATCAAGCCGTCCTCAGTGAGAACATCAGGGGAACTGAGCCCCGAGATGATGACCTGCAGTGCCAGGCAGAAAGGTCGTCAGGGATGCTAGATGGGAGCAGTAGTACAAGTAGGAACGTACGTTCAGAGGCTCCCCGAGACCGTTACCGGCATCAGCGAACATACTTCCTCCGCCCGCCGTAGGGTCGAAGTAGGCGACTGCACGCCTCTGGACACTCGCGCCAATAGCGAGAGGAGAAGCCAGAAGAGCACCAGCAAGGGCATACGCCGAAAGTTTGGCGGCGAACATCGTTGCTAGGGAAGTGTGCTCAAGAGGGAGGGGAGGCCTGAGGAGCAGACGGCTGAGGAAGCATGGTACGGAAGACGGCCAACTTATATAGTCCTACCCCTACCATGATGGCTTACAATAGGCTATTATTCCAAGGCGAAGCGAAGTCGACACGAATCTGAGAAGTGACGCGATGTGTCGGTCTGGGAGCACATGGCTTCTGCAGGTAGTGAGGAGAAGGCGGCGTGTTTGGCATCCTCCCTACTGATTTGCGGTTTCAAAATAGCCATTCCCATGTGATCTTGCATCACCGCCGGTCAAACGCGACGAAGGGCGGTCTTTACTGTTGAACCCGGGGGGCGAAGGCCTCTCCCACGGGTGGCAACGACAGCGGATAGCCTGCAACTCACCTAGAAGGGTTGTTGGTTGTAAGAGGCTTGTTAGAGCGATGAGAGGAGACGTTCAAGTGAACTGAACTGTAGATTGGGGGTACAGAGGTCCCCTATATATACTACTGTACATCTGTGGCTACGTAGTACTATACAGTACCTTCCCAGGATGCACAGTCGCACAGAGAAGCAGTGCGTACACAGCAAAGCTGTGTGTGTACCACATGAGTAGTACAGCCTCGGTTATTGCAGTAACCGGCTGTGCCGTTCCATATCTTGTGACGGCTGTGTTAGGCAAGCTGTGTAAACCAGCGCCTGTTCAACACTCCCCCTCGCTAAGTATCCGAATGGTTACGCAAGCGTAGCAGGCGCTTTAAGCAGCTCTGGACTTTGGGAAGCGGAGACCAAGTTGTGAGCGAAATTTCAAGAACTTCACTACACCAAGGTTCTTGGTAAAGATGT